GTTGGAGGCAAACGAATGCCACCAAAAAAAAAACAGAAAACGCAAAAAAGCTCGGAAATTGCGTTCTACGGAAAAAAGTTGAGAACGAAATTATTAATGCTTATTTATCATTTACGCCTTGATTGCTCTGATATCTGACTGGCCCCCTCTTTTCCCTGCACCCCCCTCTTTATCTCTACGCTCTGCGTTGTTGACATCGAGTATTAATATAAGAAATTTTCGAGCTTATCAGAAGAAGGTGATAAAAAGAGAGAGACAACAGCGATGAGTATATTTGCCGTGCTTTCCGACATTTGTTTTTCATTAATTCCACATACATACTAAATGTGTATATATGTGGTATATATAGTATACATGCAGACATCTGGAGAGACGGCAAGAAATGTGATTTTGGTGGCACATACTAAAAGATCTTTTATCTCTTCTTTTATGGGAATGACAGGGGAATATGACACTCAGATTAGATGATCAATTATTAATCTTTATTATCAGTTGGATTAAGTTTATAGCCATTAGCTATGCATTCTTAGTCTTTATATTAACATAAAGAATGCTTTATTATGCAGTATTAACTTAACAAACCAAGCTATATATAGAAACCTTTTCGGATCCTTTGACACTAGTATGAATGTCTGCCTTATATTCAAATTTCTCAGCTTGAATTGGCCTTTTGTCGTGACACGAGAGACAAGCAAATTGGCCAGCGGCTGCTGCACTTGACCCGCCTCCAACGCCCCTCTGCCACTTGAGCTGCCTCATCAAATCTTGCCTGGAAACTTGCCTCGTTGCACATCTTTCAATTGTTGCAAGTCGCACACTCGAGCAACGCCCATCCGCCCATTCGCCCATCCACCCACTATTGCCACACCCAACTAGTAATCCCACACTTCAAGGGTGTTGAAAGAACTCATCATCCAGCTGCCTTCTAATCCTCCTATCCCTGTCCTTGTCTCTGTCCCTACCCCAACCTCTGGGGAAAGCTTTCACAAAAGGGGGAGAGCAACAGCAGCGTTCGCAAATATAATTACACCTAGAAAATAGATGTCGTGCCGGCGGAGCAGAAAGATCTGATTAGTGCAGCCTGTTGACAGGCAATCCGATAAGGAATCACAATCACAATGTAAGGACTATAAAGACACAGTGGGGCAAGTCCTTGAAAACTACACAAAACGGAAGTCCTTGGGACAGAAGATGATTAAAATTTTGTTGATTAGTTTGGGAAGATAACTAAAGATTGTTAAAGATAGATGCTATCAACAACTTTTAGAAGTGCATTACTTCATACAGGTCAGTCTGCGGACTCCTGCACTCTTTGCCAGCTTTTTAATCACGTTCTATCGAAATGGAACCTATGATTTATCACTACTGATGACTTGGCAAACAAAAGTTGTTTTCCTATTTCTGGCTGATTGTGGACTTTGTCATGTAACAGCAGGTCCTCGGAGCATGCTCGAAATGTCAATCCCGGTAAAGAGCCCACTCGATCCATGTGAAGAACCCCGGCAGGCAATCAAAAACAACTCAAATGGCCACTCAAAACTCAGCTCAGACGACAAACAACCAACGAAAATGGCAATTTTAAATGCAATTACAAGTAGCTGGTAATTGCAAGTAACTATTAACGAGCATAAAACTGTTGCACATAGCCCACAGTGGCGTCAGTGGTCCTTAAAAATGAGGGGGGGGTGGCTCCTTAGGCGAGAAATGGTTATTCGGCGGCAGTTGGAAATGGAAAATGGAAAATGGGAAATGGGAAATTGCCTGACTGACTCACTGGGCAGACACACCCAAAAGCGTATTTGCATGCATGTACGAGTATAGCCATAGTTATAGTATGATTGTTAAATCGAGGTAACAAAAATGTAATTCTCCTTTGACATGCAAACTCGTCGAAAGCGTCGACCCACTGACGTCAAGGGTAAACTTTTTCGGATTGCGATTGTACGAGTGTAGCAGGGAAAACTTTGTTGCTCCTTACAGCCTGGCTGGTTGTAATTAAAATGTGCAACTGGCTCTTCTCCTTTTACACCGCCTCTCCCTTACGCGATTAATCCAAGTCCCAAAAGTTCATTAGCCACTGCGATAGGGCCCCTACTTAACATTATGTAAACCCCTCTTATCAGTCAAGTATCTCGCTTGCTGTTTACCTCGAGCTTATCACAAAGCCTTGATTAAGACTCGGACTTCGTCATACCTCTGTAGTAAAAATTAAAAATAAAACTCAAGGTTCTCCAGGCCAGGTGACTTCTGAAGAACTCTTTTCTTTTGACTCATCCCTGCGCCATTAATTAATTAATTCTTCCTTCTTGAAACGGTATTAATTGTCTGGATTTTTCATTGTCATGCCGAGAATATCGATGACGAATTTGTAACATTTGGACACTCCTTATCGCCGCTTACAAGCCGCGCGTCATTCTTTGAAAATGATAAGCTATTCGGCCATAAATCGGCATTGGTATTCATAGATTAAGCTGACGCAAGGCTCAAAGTTTGAATCACAGAGGCAGAAATATTAATTTGATTAATCCACAACGAGTCACAGATGGTCACCCCGCCCCCTTTGTGGGGTCCAAATGAAATATGTATATAGTTGCCAGATGTTTTCCCAGATCAACAGGGCTGATATGCGGATTGCTATTGAACATTGGACTGTGCAGCATACTATAGATTTACTTACATTTATATATAATATATTCTATATGCATGGAGCATACGTGAGTTGAAACATGTGGAATTGATAAGGCCCCGACCGGTTCGAAATCGGTTTCAATGTCATTGGGGATAATGCAAGTGTTACAGCGAGAAGAACGAACCGATTATCATGACTTAACAAAGAGGACAAAGGCCGGTTGGTTGTTTTCTATATATGCAAAGAATCAAATTAAAGCTGAGCAATAAACTCGTTATCGTAACGTATTTATATTACCTATAAACCTAGAGAGATTGCCAAGTTCCATTACAACATTACATTCTATATAATTCTGCACGAAAGTCTCATTGATTTATAGATCTTATGTGCAGTCGCGCCCTTAAAACTTATAATTTCTCTATAAATAGATTGCAGTTAGTAATTATGAACGAGATTTAAGGCGACTCGTAACCTTTGTAACGATTAGAGCTAAACCCCTCTATAAAATACCATCTACGTTCTGCCCCAATTTGACTTCTCATATACAATGTTAACTTTAGTTCGAAGCAGTAAATGTTGATAGCAAATGAGCCCCTTTTGATAGGGATCGGTGTTAAGATAAGATAAAGACAAGTTGAAGAAGCATATTTTCTTGTCTTACTGTTTTCTTGGGTCCGTCGGGTTTTGTTTTCCAAAAGGAGAGATAATAAAGTTGGCAACGAAATGGGACTGGGCCATACATTCAGTATTCACCTGAATATTAATGTCTCTGTGTGCGGGCCAGTTATTTGATAAGTTTGCCTGATTAGATTGCACAAACACTAATGTACAGCTCGCAAATAAGCCAAAGACTTAATTAGCCTGACAAACAAGGCGAATTGCCGAATTGGCTTTAATCTTTCGGGTCGGCGCTATGGGCCTCTGGGTCTACAGTTTGGTTCGGGGAAAGCATAATCGTATGTATATCGCTCGTAGTAACAGAGCTCAACTAAACAGAAGCGGACTGGTCAAGTGCTTGCACTAATCGCCTCAAGTGGCGGCCACTTGGACATTGAACCCTCTAGAGAAATATTACACAGAGAAAAAAGTAAGGGATCTGGCTAAATATTCGCCATACCTTCTTAAGCTATTTTCAATATCAGTACTTAGGGACAAGTCGGTTATACCCCTTATACCCTTCCTTTAATTGTTTTTTCCTATCCTATACCTTGCGGTTCTGAAAAACTATCGCAGGGGGCCAGCTTGAGTCAAGGGTATTTGGCATTTAAAATTAATTAGAAACAAACTAGTAAACAACAAGACATTGAAATTGGACATGGCCCTCCTGTCTGATAACGAATTGCGAATCGAAACTGAAAAAAACACACTCACTTCTGCCACTGATAAGCGTGAAAAATAAAGAATTTTGTGCAGCTTACAGGTCCAGCCCCCCCGCAAAAAAACAGTTAATGGAAATTGAATCAAGTGCTTCGTTTTCGAATGAATGTTGAGTACCGCTGAATGAAGATTCTTTTATAACTTTTTGGTTTTTTTTTATAGTAAGCCGCTCTCTGGTATTAGCCGTAACGAAATTCCCCATGAAAAAGGCCGCCATTAAAACGAAATGAGAACATTTTTGCTGGTATGGCGACGTGAACAACTTTGCACGTTGCTCATAAAAAGGTAATAATTTTTTAGTTATTTATTTCCGAAGATAAAACCGAGCCCATTGCTCCTGGCTGGGCTCAAGTGATTTGAAGGCCCTTTAGTGTTACACCATATCCTCTTATGAGGCATATCAAAAACGTGTGCCAAAATTGCGTAAACTATACTAAAGGATCGATAAGCGATGAAGTAATTTCAAGGTAACAGCTGTATCGGGAGAAACGTGGATGGACAACTTTGTAATCTCCTTGAAGTGGGGGTGATGACTTTCCCCCGAGTTCTATAACCTCTAGGCAAGTGATCTTTGCAATGCGTAGTAATGTGATTATAGAACTGATTAAACTGTAATTAACGATAAGCCTGTTCTTTAGGAACGATTAATAATACTTCAGGTTCTATTATAAAGAAGATCATTCAAGATATCTGGCTTTATATAAGGGCACTACTGATTTCATAAGGTAATGCAATGTGAAGAAATGAGGCAACTTAGAAATCTAGAATAGATTTATGTTTCACTGTCCTTGTATTAGACCTTCAAGTGAATTCCTAATCGGATTTCTATAGATCTTAAGCTTTATACAAGTATATTTCCTTCAAGCCCTAACAAACCATAAAAGTGTTTTCAAAGCCATATACTATATCAAATGCAATGACCGCTGAACTGCCATGTGGCTTCTATGGAAAACTACCAGCAAGTGAATTCTATCTTTAGCACTGATGAACTCACCTTCTCCAAGCATTCCTGACCATTGGCTTTGGGATCCCACTTGACGGCTTGCTGGGTGCCGTTGGGCAAGTTGACAATGCACCACATATTTTAGCTAGTTCGCTGCTGGAACGGCCGTTTGATTTGTTGTCTAACAGGTAAGAGCTCGACTCAGCTGCGGTTCAAAACAATTGCATCTGGGATTGGCTTCCGGCTTGTTTGCACAAAAGCCGAATTCAAAATCAAAACCCAAATCAAAGCCGAAGCCCGAGCTACAGGTTGCAATTTGTTTTTGCTCTTTGGTTTTGGCGCAACAAATTGAATTGGGCTGCCGTATTTGGTTCCACTCTGGGAAACTTATATATTTCAGTTTAAGTTTGCTTTTTATTTTCTCCTATTTGATTTGTTTGTTTGTTAACTTTGAACGTTGAGCACTGCGGAGTGATTTAAATAAATTTGCACTTTTGGAATTTTGTACACATTTTTATCAAGCGGCAACGAACGCACAAACACGCTTTTCGTATAAACTTTTGATTGTTGCTGCAGTTGTTGGTTATTCGCTTTTTATACGTTTCAGCTTTTTTATTGTTGTCTTGTGAAACGCGTTAAGTTTTATACCGTTTTTTGTTTTTGTTCAAGAATCAAAATATATTTTCGTTATATTTTTCCCGGCGATTTCACGGATATCCTTTGTTGTTTTTGTATTGTGATATTTTGGTGTTTAACACAGCGCTGCCGAAAATAGAGTGAAAAAATAGCAGCTCTGCGTGCTGCTTAAATAGATTTCTGCTCGCTCGCTCTCCCTTAAACTCTCGCAATCCCAACGGAATCGACAGAGCACTTAAGGCAACCTCATCACAAGCATTTCTCTTTCAAAAGAGAATAGTAAACTCAGAGAGTGACAAATTGGTTATATGGAAAAAATATACAAACAGAATTGTCTATAAATCTTTTACATTTAAGAAAAATAACTAAATTATCTTTAAATAATTAAACTTTTGTTAAGCTTTTTAAGCTTTGTTAAATAATATATTTTTATATTTTGTGTTACTTTTCTTATATTTTTTCCTGTGCATTAAGAGAGCCCAATAATGTTTGTGATTCACTGCGGGGGAGAGAAGAGAGTTAAAGGCAGCTGTTACTTCCAGTTTCATTCAACTTCTCTGTAGCCCAGCTGTTGCTCTTGTTTTTGTTTTTAGCCACTGGGCTTTTGTTATCAGATTTCTGCTCGCCGCATTGAAATTGAAATGCAGGTAAATTGACAAACGAATGCAATGGCGCATGTGCAGATCTCTTTTCTTTTCAATGCAATGCAGCTGTTTCTGGTTTTACATCTTATTCTCTTCTGGCTTACTTTCATTATCTCCACTTCAGCTGTTTGTGTTTTTTTCGGGCGACCTGCACAATATGAAGACTAATGTGTCGCTCTGAAAACGTTAGGGTGGACCGGCAAGGGATGTAATTAAAAGAATTGTCTTGTAAAAAACCTGCTGAAACTAAAACGTTTTATTTAAGGATTCATGTATTTTGATTAGAAGTTTTTGACTTCAATTTATGTTTGGACAACAGACTTAAGCTTGGTTTGAGTCGCTGAGTCTTTTCAGTTATTTTAAATGCAGCTTTTACTTAGAATACCTTATAGTAATCCATAGGCAACAAGGTCGGTATATAACTTCATTATATACACTTCTGTAGGGATAGCAGGCAGGACCCATTTAAAAATACTTACCAATATTATATAATAATTATTATGTTTTTGAAACTAGAAACTGGATGTGAAGAAGGTTCACCCTCAATTATCCTGAAGATCTTCGAAGTAATGGCACACACAGAATTCAACCCAACCGCAGGCTTAGTTGCAAATGCAGTTTATTCCCTGCCGAAAGCGTCAGCTTCCAAATGTAAAGTGACTTGCATAAGTCGCCACACCTCCGACTTGATACTTACCCCCATTATGTATGGAATACGTTTTGTAGGTCAGGTGACACGGTCGGCACAGGTGACACAGGTGGCACTGAATGGAAATGGACGGCCAGCCGGGTCACGTTTCCCCCAAATCCCACAATAATAGGGTTTGCCCGGACTAGAACTGACCTTGGCTATACCATACTACCATATACTGATATAGTATGCACTCGTAATGCGTTTCCATCAGGGGTTTCGGTACAGAAAATCAATATCACTGCAATGGCCATCGGCAATTGACAACGGACAATGATTGAATGGGGGATAATGGGGCCTACTAGGGTCTGGCCAACATCAGAATGGCATTTGTACAACTTCTGCCATAAACTATGCAAATCTGGCGTCTCCTGGGATATTCCCCATCCGCCGAATGTCGTCTACATTCTCTCTGGCAGCCAATTTAATTAGTTGTCAGGCAAACATTTGGGTAATCACTGGATAAACAGTTTATTTAGCTGTATGCGGCTAGGAAGGTCGAACTAAATCTGGGTAGCTTAAATTTGCATAAAATGCGCATCGGATTATAATGGAATTTATAAAATTAAAGAATGTACGTTTTCATTATATTTATATACAAGACTTATCTTGACAAAAATGTATGAAATTTACAAAAAGAAAAAATAAATTTCAACAATCAACACTACATTTTAAAAATTAAATAATTTTTTAATTTCTTTACTTGAATTTTAAACTGTTTTTGATGACAAAAGAATCTTACATGCAACCATAGCCTAAAGTTACATTGTTATTTGATTTTTCTTTATACATACGTTTCTGCGTAAAATATGACTCAGTTATCTGTTATACCCAAAATAAACACGAAAGCTTTTAAAAAATGTTATTTATTCTCGAACCAAAACGATATTTCCAGATAATACGCTTCGTGTAAAATACATGTTAGATTTGGCGAAATGTAAAAATTTACAAATCGTTTAATAATGTAAATAACTTTTAATATTCCAATTATTCTAAATAATTCGCAGTGAATAAAATTTGCATATATAAAGTACATTAAATTAGCGTTTAAGACTAAAATTAACAAATTTTAACAAACAAAATATGTCTTTGGAAATACCTCATAAAATCAATTTAAAAGATTTTCATACAAGCTGACAATCAATGTGATTTAATTATAAATAACTTTAAAACATCAATGTAATTATTATTATGCTATGTTTATTGAATCCATTGCCTTTACATCAAAAATGCTTTTACCTAAATTTCAAACTAAATAGTTAATGTTTTTAAGTTTTTATTTAAATAAGTTTAATATGGCTCACAATAATATGAACATTTCTTAAATGTCATTAATAAACGACCAAGAAGCGATTTCAAATCAAAGGAAATCCAACCAAGTGCAAATTGGACTTAAATAACCCAAGAATGAGCATTAGGGAGTACCCAATATTTGTACCTATATAACAATTATTAGTAAATTCTGACTAACTTGTTAAAATTTAAACAGCTGCCCCACCTAGATTGTTTTATAAATATATTATAAAAGCTTTCCTAAAACTACCGAAATTTCCCACTTACCTCTTCAATATACGTAAAGGAAATAGCCACTTTTGATACAATAAAACTAAGAGCACACTGCAAATGCACATCGATTCAAAAATATCCAAAAGAGGATTAGATTTTAGATTTGATTTCTTTCTTTTTGAGAAACTAACGACGCATTCAAAGAAAATATGTGCAAAAAATTAAAATGTTTTCGTAATATATAACTTTTTAAGTATGACTTCAAAGAGTTACAGAATTATTAACTTACCACAATATAAACTTGTTATTTTATTCAACGATTAAATGAAAAATCAAATTCAGAATATATAAACATTAGATAAAAAAAACTTTAAAACTAAAGTTCTATTTAAATAGCTATTTAAATATTACCCTTACCTAGACATTGCTAAAACCTTGCTTTTACCGTGTACCATACTTGATCGAAAAAAACGAAGTACTTTTTGCTGCACTGCCCCTTTATGATAAGAATAACCAATTCGCGACAGCAATAATTTCTTTTATATCCTTCGATCGCTGGCACACTTCAGCCTCATGTTAAATGGATTATTAAAAGCGATCAAGATTATGGAAACTAAGTGGACTTTGAGAGGGGCGAAGTCATTCGCAGAATGTGTGGGTGGAAATCAGGGCATGATTTATGGGGTCTGCAAGGTGAGTACTATATAATTCGGCTGATGACATTACTCATCTAGGACCGAGACGGAGACAAACAAACAATGGCGGTGGGTGACCTCCCTCTGATAAGGGAGTCTCGACCACCGCATTGTAAACACTCTGAAACGTATTTATAGCTGGCGATCTGTAATCTTCGGCAACAGGCCACTATTAATAAAGAAACAGCAGTTTCCTTGTGCGAGGAGATCCAGTTAGCAACAGACCATTGATCGATCAATAACCACTTACCAGCAATAAATCAAATGTATGAATTTGTACAAAAATTCGCAGAGTAAGTGTCATAATTTATGCTTTTGAGATTCGTGTCGATCTGATTACCGAAATCACTTGTCTGGCGAAATACTATATACGGAGAGAACGTGTTTCCCTGTCCGTTTAATTGGACTAATTAACACAAAAGCGAAAGAAATCGACATAAAATCCGTCTGATTGCCTTAATCTTCAGCTCCAAAGTTCATTGCCGAGCCAAGGAAATCATTGTTTATTATTTGTATTCTATACTCGAATTTAATGACAATGCCCTGGATATTATTGTTAAGAATTTCATCGAAATATCAACTCCCACTAAGAAATAAACAAAGGTTTAATATAGGCAAAAGCTTTGTTGCAATTCTATTAATTAAATCAATGCTGTGATTAGGCTAATCAGCACTGCATTGTTTGTTTGCTTAGTATACCTTAAACTAGGTCTTCAAATATAGAAATCGCGATGGACTCAGCGATCGCTGTCGGTTCGTCGTCTTCTATCAGAGGAGCCACTTTTAAAGTTTATAATTTCCCACACTACTTTGCACTTACCCTCTTTAATCTACGCATTATTTCAATTATTTTATTTCTACCACTGCTAATCTTAGTACATCCAACCCATATTTAAAGTCCTCTCAGATAATTTACTGATTTTATTGGTTCTGAATGGATTTCGAAACGGATTAGTACGAGGAAATTGATTTTGTTTACGTTTAATCAAAGGTTATCAGATGAACTCAAGGTTGCCCCCAAAAAGGGTGATTTTTATTGAAAACTCATTAATCATTCCGTATTATAAAGATTTAGTTTCTTATTTGCATTCGGGAAATCACCGTCACGCAATATTTAAATCCCCTGCTTTTCCCAATGGAAAATTTATTACCATCCATGACCTTCAAAAGCGTAATATTGTCACTTAAAATGCGGAAAAATAAACCAATTAAAAGTTAACGTCTATTTAGGGGAAAAACCGATGTCGATTCCAAGAATTTGATATGCAATTACAGTTTCAGATGCATCGTTAATTATTGCCTTTCAAAGTGAGTGAATGCATCTACTCTGGTCAACAACAGATCTTTAAAAGGGTTTCAAGATGAGATGAGATCATCTTGGGTATGCTTATCACAAAATTATGTGATGAAATAAGTTTTTTTTTTTTTAGTATTGCCGGAAGTAGAAACACTGGCCGAGACATTGCACAATTCAACTGCGAAGCTCCATTGGGATCGCAATGTACTGTCTTAATCAGTTAGGCGCCCCTGAAATCCCCCTTATCAGCAACATGATGATGTTTTACTAATTGACTGTGTATACGCAACATTTATGTGCACTATGCGATCGCGCATACGAATATATTACTTCGATCGTCATGGGCATATAATGCATTGGAATGGCTTCAAAGCTGGGAGAGTACTCAGTTAACAAGCTGCGTCAGTCTGTTCGAAATCAAATTTCCCAGCTTTGTTTTGGATTTTACATAAGATGTAGAAGAAAGTCATAAGATTAAATAAATATTTTTAAAACAAATGCTTAATATTTTGTAAAGGTTTTGTTTTTTAATAAAAGCTTTAGTTAGTTAGATCTATCTCTTAAGTGTCATTTGTGGACAAAAAATAATATTAACAGAAATTTCGATTCAATCTTACAAACAAATCTAGCAAAAGATCTAAATTTTGTACACTTAAAATATTATTAATTGAGCAATTATGATCTTTATTGCAATCTTTAAAAAAGAAGAACATAAAATAGATTTAGGATAGGCTACATAAGACATACCATCAAAAAATCTAGTATGAAGATCGGCTAAGGCCCGTAGTTAACTTTCCAAAAAAACATATATTTATTTTTTTAATTTTAGTTTAAAAGGTGAAACGTAACTGTCAACTTGTCGTATGAGTAATATTTAAAGAGAACCGTATGAGCGCCCAGCCCAAAAGTTTATTTTTTTTATTCTACATTCTTATTCACCATATAAAACGATAAAAAAAAAATTCCAATTAATTTTAGGCCGTCTGGCTGGCCAATCATTTAATAGAATTTACCTTTAAAATAGATTAAGACGGAATTTCAGAGTCACGCGTAAAGTTCCTGTCTGTCAATTAGTGGAAGCCCAAATTATGTGAGATTACCAAAGCCATTGTAAATACCACGCAAAGTGATTGCTTTCAAGGGAAAAGCCCCAATCCTTGCCATCACAACGGCACGTTCTGCCAAGATAGTAGGAAAGCGCCTGTTGCCGACTATCGGCAATTATGTGTCCACGAATGCTGCACGATCTCATCACGATCAGTTCGTTGGCTTGGCCCGAAGTATAAAAAGTAATGCTCGAGCCCCGATAGCTTCCAGTTGCGGTCAGATCGTCTATAGAATATAATACATCGAGAATTGCACGATTTCGTCGTGGTGTTAAAGAAAAAGTATTAGAATTAACCAACGAAATGGCTAAGAAAGTAAGCACAAGCATCAACATCTGTCCCCGAATAATCAAAATGCCAAATTCAAAGTCTAACAAAACTCCCGATGATAATGCCAAGTGCTAATCAGCGATCGAAATAAACCTTGATACAAATAAAGCAATTACACTTCAAAATGATTTATAGCAGGTGCAAAATGAAAAAACACTCGAAAGTGAATTGAGCAATAAATCGAATCTATTTACGAAAGTGAAAGCGATTTATTTTAATTGATAATGTGAATAATGTTTGGCCGCAAACGTATTCTGTGAATTGCAACCGGAATTTGTGTCAAAGCCCCTACATCTGATTAAGCAATAAATATAGTATTTGAACAGTCCTTTTGTTAGGGTGTTTCCAAAGACTCCAACAAACTCGATGGATCCAGCTCAGATTGAGCTAGAACCAGACAAAAGCGCATTGAACGGCCTTTGGAGCACCAATTGTGTCACACAGCCGAAAACTCAATTAACGAATTGTTCAACTTTCGACTGATTACAGATCTTCTGCAATATATTGATGGTGACCCTAATCGTACTCAGTGCCGATGCCCGACCCTCCACGGGTGAGGTTAACGTTGATCCCAGCGAGTATCACGGTAATCTCTCGGTGGAGACCGTTCTAAAAGTTCAGCAATGCGAAAAGGACTCCAATACGATGGAACTATGCATGAGGTGTGCCAAAGTGACGAAGTCCGACTTCGTATATCCCATGTGCTGCAGCAACGATGACGGCATCAAGGACTGGTGCAGGGAGTACGTCTACTATGGCAACGAATAGAACTGAGAGGCGGGTCAGGAGGCGATCCCATATCTGTAAATTAATTCGTACTCCTGTATGGATTGGCTGTGATAAACCCACTGTATTTATTTAAATTATATTTAGGAATAAACAAGGCTAAATTAGCGTATTTGTGGTCTTTACCCTTAACCCCACGAAAACATTCTCCATTTCATTTTAAACGTTTTTTTTTTATTTATTTCTTATTTTTTTTTTTTTTTTGCCGAATTTTGTTTTGTAAATTCATTTTTGCATTTTCAGAAAACTTTATAATAATTAAATATGTTTAACGATTATTGAAAATTGATTTCGAAGTAAAAAATAAACTTGGCATTCTCTTTCGATACGAAAACCATTTATAATTGGCTATCAAATAAATTTATGAATTTTATAAATCGCGCATTGAAATTAACGAGTGAAATTGTCGCCCTCGAGCATGCATTAATGGCGAGTAAAAATAATAATAATGTAGGAAATTATAAACGGGAGTTTGGATGCACATCCGTTCAAACTTTGACCCGAAACATATACTTCGAGCGTCGGAGAACGTTGAACTTGCACTACACGATCTATATAAATGTATATAACAAACAAGGTACAACCTAGCAACGATTGTTCTTTTTTTCTTTGTTCTTTTTCTCTTTTTATGGTTTAGCACTCGCTGCTCTGGCGGCTCCTGATCATCTACTGCTTGGCATTTGATTTGTGGGTTTCTTTCTTTTTTTAACGTTGACTGAAAGCAACATTTAAATATTAAGTCGCGTGAAGAGTCCAACTTACCAGAATTCAAGCACGCTATTGATTTTTATGATTATACATATACTCTTAATGTTTTAGTGAAATTTTTGTTTTGTTTTTGTTAGTTATTGTGAGAGAGATTTGTCTTTGGCAGCTCGTTTTGGAGATCGGGGCGGGCTAAATGCAGGTAGGAACAGTCCGTGTCCTCACAGCGACCCATCAGATCGAAGGGGCAGATAGTGGCGTGGACATCGAGGTGGCTTTGGAATGAGAAAACAGAGCAAATTCATTTCGCCAGGAAACTGATCAAACCATTACTACTCACCTGTTGTAATTCCGGGACATGGGCGTTTGATAAGCACTTAGATAGCTTTTTCCATAAAGCTCGTTTGCCCTCTCATCGCGTAGTTCCCGCATTGTGGTTACCGTATAGGGAGCTGCGGTTTTTATATCAACTCCTATCGTCATATCCTGCGCCTGATCCTGAAAATAAACTCAACCGTTTTGTTAGTGTTGGGTTTTGGAGGAAAGTTCGTGATAATTATGTTGAAAAATAGACTCAATAATAACAGCGGAAAATCCCGTTGCATGAGGTTCTTAGCAAAAGTTTTTGAAGCAATTGGTACAAATCGAAATCCACGCACATCTGGAGTCTTTGTCTCCGCTTCAGGTTCGTTTCCAATCGCAGGCTCTGTCTCTGTTTTGTGTTGGTCTCCAATTCCTGGATCTGTGGATGGTTCTAAGGAGTGCGGTTCTTGGGGATTTAATTCCTCTATATCTTTTGGGTTCTCCGGTTGATCCGTATTAGGTCCCGTTTCGATCACAGTATTTGGTTGACTTAACTCCGCATCAGTCAGTTTTTTAAGGTCTTCGTACTTCACTATGGAATTGTACAGGCGTATCTGTTTGGTAAGCTCTGTAGATTTGCTGGTGATGGCCGCCTTTCCCTCGTCGAGTAACCTGCAAGAAAGTCAAACCTATAATCGCATAGAACTCTATCCATTCCCTCATATTGAATTGGTTTCTTTAATCGTTTTGTTCCAGCTTTCCCACGCCGTTCTGGTTGCTGTTGTGGTTGACCTGGTAGTACCTGTAGTCTTTGCCCATTAATCCACGGCCCAAGTCCATTGCTGCCGTATGGAGCTTGTGACGTTTCTGCTTAAGTGATATGATGATCTCATGGCTGGATTGTATTTCCGGCTGAATCCTTGCCAGCTTCAGTTCTTCCTGTTTGACCGCCTGCCTTACAATCTGCATTTCGGCATAAAGTTCCTTGAGGCGCTGTGAGCATCGCAAACGTATTGCCTTCGACTTTTTGGCCTCTTCAACCATTTCCAGTGATTTATCCAGATTAACTAGCATACTCCCCCTGGAATGGAACACAATCAGAGATGAGTTATTTTAAGCTGAACCTACACCTGTATATCTACCCAATTTTATTAAACGAATTTTCAAAGGCTTTTAACCGACTCTCCTTGGACAGTTGAATCGGCTTCGCTTTTGTTTTTTGTGATTTTATATCCGTTGTTTTTTCTTGGGGGTTTACTGCTGTTGAGGTAGCTTTAGTGGTCATGGTAGTGGTATTTTTTGCTTGTGCTAAAATGGTCTTTGCTGAATTGTTAACTTTTGACGCGGTTGGTGGTGAATTGTTTTTGGACGATGGTTTCACCACTGTGACCTTGCTTTTAGCCAAAGGAGCAACTGACTTGGCTGCCTGAACTTTCTTCTGCTCCAGCAGTTGCATACGCTCTACCAATCGTAGGTATTCCTTTTGCGATGCAACTGGTAAATGGCGAACAGCCTGTAAATAGAGTTGATTTTATTGCCAGTATTTTAAACAATAATACACAAACATACCACTGGCGTCGTCTTGTGGGCCGGCTGTATCTTTGGGGTAGTGATTATAGTTGGTTGTTTCTGATCAACCTTGGGCTTTTCTGGAATTTGCTCAATTGTCTCCTCCGGTGAGTTACTTGCGGGCGCCTTAGATCTCGCTTGCTTCAGAAAATCATCGATCTTCTTTTCAAAGTATTCATTGATCACAGTTCGCCTGAGATTGTTATTGGCGCTCGGAGTAGTTTCCACAATCTCTGATATGGGAGTATTTGATCTGGTGGTGGAGCCACTGAAGCCGCCCATTACCAAACTTAAGGGACTGGCAATGTCTGTGTTGACATAAGCATAGCAAGAGCTCAGCTCTAGGTCGTCATCGCTAGCGGCTGACTCCTCTGCTAAGCTAATAACCAGCTTGTTAACCTTGATACTAGCTGGATCTACGGTGGTAATGAGGCGTGTGTTGGATGAGACCGCGGTCAGACCATGCAGTGGAGCGCTGGGCTCCTTAATCATTAATGCTGATGGCCGCTTAACGCTTAAAACAGAGCCAGCTTCTTCATTGATTGGTAGTTTCCGTTTTGTCGTTGTCTTTTTGTTGATCACCTTGTTCGGCTTGACAATTTTAATGATTTTCGTGGAGGGTGAAGTTAATTCCTTGGCCTGGATAGTAGGTTTGAGAACTGGCTGCGGGGACTCCACGGATGCCATCTGGATGGGACCAGCTTCCAAAGCAATCGGCTCCACAATAGCCTCATTTAGCGTCTTATTCTCGGTTTTTAGTTCTGTAATCTCTTCTAAATTGGGATGCTGATCCTGGGACTGTTCATCTTTTATTGGCAACCCAGTGGATTGAAAACGCTTCACAGCATTCTTAAGTATTTTTGGACTAAGACTTGAATGTTGTGTTACGCTACTGACCCGCTTTTTGTTAGCTATACTGGATAGGAGCAATAAACGCAATACCTCTGGATCATCTGAATCGTTTTCTTGGTTCGACTCCTCCTTAAGTTGAGCTATTGAACCAGACACAGGTGCAAGATCAGGTAAGGGTGTGGAGAGTGGAGCAGATACAAGAGTTTTTACGGAATCTACGAAAGGATCTGCAACAGACGATGGTACTGAAACAAAAGCGGAAGTATCTGGGGGAGGCGGAGAATCTGGAGGTGGTGGTGGTGGCTTTATTGCCCGCAAATTGGAAAGCAATATGGCCCGCAGTGCTCCCGCTTCATCATCACTTGATTCTGGATGGAATTGATCAAAACTCTTCACTTGCGTCTGCGAGTTTTCCATGGAAACAGACTGTATTTCCGTGTTATAACTATTATTGGAATGCTGGTCGACGAGGTGCATGGCATCCCGGGCATCATCATCCTCCAGATGCATGTGTGGAATGTGAAACGGCGGTGGTGGAGGCGGAATTTCGTCGTCGTCGTAGTCGTAAGCTCTATTCTCTCTGCTAATTATATCATGAGTTTTGATATCATCCTCATCGTCTTCATCTATCACAATGGGCACCGAAACAGGGGGAAGGTTGTTTGGCAAAAAGCATCGCCAACTGCCACCAGCATTGTCCATGGTGTTCCAGTTATTCGACCACGGATTCCAGGCATCTTTATTCTGATCATCGCTGTCTGTTTCGGCCAGCTCCATGTCCACAGGCTTTGTATCCACGGCATACTCTGTGGAGTATCTTGGCGAACTTTGTTCTCGCTCTGGCGATGCTGCCGGACTGATCTCCATGAGATCATCGATGTCCTCGTCATTGGAAATGACAGGATGCACACGATTGATCATATCAGTGGGTGAGTAGGCCCGTTCTGCGTCGCGCTTTTTTCGCGCCAGATGCTTTTTCAAAATGGCAGATTTAAGAGCTATCAGTCGGAGCTTGAGCTCTGCAGAATCTTCACTTTGCGGCTGTTCCTGTTCAGGCTCATCCTCCCCACCGTCGGAAAGTATTTGCAGTGGCGAAAGTGGCAGTTCCTTCTCCTGCGGGTACTCTCTTATGTTCTTGGGACTAGGCGCCTTGGGCAAGCGGTACTGCAGTCGGTCCCTCAGGCTGCTTTTGTACTGACTTATGTCGTACTGCCGCTCTTCTCGAGCCAAGGCCTCACGCAGCTTATCTCTGCTCAATTTAAGCCTTTTAATGTCAATTTCATCGTCCTCGTTCTCAATGTTCATGTCGTACTCGCCTAGCTCATCGTCGGTGATGCTGTCCAGTGAATCTTCAAGAGCGAAATGCTGCTGGTGGCGGTGTTGGTGATGATTGGACGGTTGGTGGTGGTGATAGCCCTGACGCCTGCGGTGCGTGGTTACCGGAGGAGGGGGGGATGCATGCTTGTGGCGCCTGCCAAGGGGATTCCTGCGGTATTCGTTGTGCACAGAATGGTTTTGCCTTTTGCTCAGCTCTACGCGGCGCATCTTATGTTTTCTAAATTTTCGCTGAGCTTCGTACTCATTCTCTGACTGGCTAGACACATCTGACAAGATGTAGATAGGTGAATTTTGCTGGTAGGATGGCAAACGCGGCATAGGCTTTGGATAATCTGTAATGAGAGGTCATGACCCGATCAGAACGAGTGAATAAAACGCGCTTCCCCAAGTTAAACCCCCTAGAAACCATAGTCTACATAGGTAGAATCCAGTATTTCGCTTACTATATTGATGGGCCAAATTGGCGGACAGCATGTCCATTCGCTCCACATCCTTGTTGTTCTCCTCCAGCTGCTGAATACGGGCGCGGAGCTTGAATTCTTCGTCCTCGGACGATATTATCAGCTCGAATTCGTCCTCAATCTCACCCTCCTCGCGATCCTCCGCGACCCCACTTTCAACAGGGTTAACAAGTTCGAGGTTTGCGTGACTATCTATCAATTCCGAAAGCTCCTTTTTTATCGCGGGTTGTTGCCTCGTTTCTGGTGGCATCGTTCCTATGCAAACAACCATTTTTTGCACGGATAATTTTGCACTAAAAGCACTTTTTGGGTTTTCGCTGAGACTAATGAACTTATATTACACTAGATTTTCATTGCCTTTGTGCTAGTAATGGGAGACTATCGATGACTCTAGAGATGGTCAGAGTCCAAACGAAAAATTGGTTTTAAGCAGCGATGGTATGAATATATCGAAACAAAATATATAATATCCTAAATTTTACAGATGTATTTAGATACATATATTTTAAACAAATAATACATCATGTATTCATATTCTTCATATGCGAAATTAAAATTGAGGGAGTAAAATTCGAACTATTTTATTAGAAGCGTGCTTACCTTAAAGGATTTAAAAAATTAGATAAGTAGTTATTTTAGTCAATTTTAAAATAAATAAAATCACAGCCTACTCATTTCAATTTAAATGAAATTGTATTCAGTGTATCTAGTTATTTTTTATTATTGTTATGATTTCTAAAGAAAATTTTCATATACCCACTTACATATCCTAAATACATCTTTAATATTTCGCAAACGCTTTAATATGTAAAAAACATATTATGATAATATTATATGTCTTAAGATTATAAACAATGTGAATAAATAATTCGATAGATTATTCCTTCACAACACTTCATAACTGATGTCTATTTTTAGTATTTTCTCACTGACAGTTGCCCGATTGCCAAAATCCGGTCACTCTAACTGTCAACGCGACTTCCGCTCTTTTCCTACCCAACTCGCGGAGCAAAATGCAGCAGAAGGTATTTGTGCCTGTGAAAAAACAGAGAATTCGTGTGTAACTAATGTTCAAAATGTTGCAAATATTTGTTTTTTGCAGCGCAGAGAACCCGTGCAGGCAGTCCAGGTCTTCGGACGCAAGGTGTGTGTGAATAAAACAGTAGTAATTCAGCGAAATTTTCTTACACGTGCAGACAAAAACTCGCGTCAGTCGGTAGCGGCTTATATTTTTCGCTGCCGCCTCGTTGCAGAGGTTATGTTTGTGTGTTTATGCGGGAGTTTCGAACTGGAATTTACATTTTAACCAGAATCTCAATGGAATGGATAGTAATAGTAACCTTTATTATTGCAGAAAACCGCCACCGCCGTCGCTTACTGCAAGCGTGGCAGCGGCCTCCTGAAGGTTAACGGTCGTCCTCTGGAGCAGATTGAACCTAAGGTCCTGCAATACAAACTGCAGGAGCCTCTTCTGCTGCTCGGCAAGGTATGTATGCGAGGCATAAGGCAATAAGTAAGATCAGGCTTCCGTCTACCTAACTTAAATGTGCACCAAAATAATTATCTGAATGGGCTTTAAAAGCCTTTAATTGATAATATGAGATTAAATTCAATACATTTAAGTTCACTCTACACGGAAGCATGACTTAAAAGCCGAAAACCAGAATGATGATAACATTTATCCCGAATTCGAAGCCAAATGAGATTACTATTTGTTTCTGATTAAATGCAAACAAATTCTAATGTCAGACTCTTTAAATACGTCTATTAATGACATAAAATTGTATTTTCCAGGAGAAATTCGCCGGCGTCGACATCCGCGTGCGCGTCAGCGGTGGTGGTCATGTAGCCCAGATCTACGCCATCCGCCAGGCCATTTCCAAGGCCCTCGTTGCCTTCTACCAGAAATGTAAGTGAAATTTAATAATTCTATTATTAACCAGTGGCTGCAAACAAACTTATAGGGTCCATGAAGAAAATAGGCACCTTTTTCCAGATTTTTGTTGGAATTGATATCCCTTTTCCTTCGAATCATTATTGAAAGGCAGATGAAACATTGAGCATATACCAACCAAGCTGCAAGATTAGTGTGCAGATTGGGTGATGCATCAAGAACATATTGAACATAAGCCCCTTTTTCCAGATTTTTGTTGGAATTGTTTATCCTTTTCCTTCGAATCATTATTGAAAGGCAGAATAAACTAAATTATGAGCATATACCAACCAAGTTGCAAGATTGTTGCGCAAATTGGGTGATGCTTCAGGAACACTAAAACGTTTATAAAATCCTAGGCACCTTCTCCCAGATTTTTGTTGGAACCTAAATCCGTTTCCAGTAAAAGACTCGAGCAAGGAAGAATAAGTGCATATCGCAATCAAAGAGGGTAATTGGCAGATTTGACCATTGCTATTTGAGGCTTTATCGACACTTGTACCCAATATATTGTTTAATTTCTTTCAGAAATATGTGGTTTACTAAATCTTTGAATCCTCTATTTACAGACGTCGATGAGGCCTCCAAGAAGGAGATCAAGGACATTCTGGTGCAGTACGACAGAACCCTATTGGTTGGCGATCCGCGTCGCTGCGAGCCAAAGAAGTTCGGTGGTCCAGGTGCCCGTGCTCGCTACCAGAAGTCGTACCGTTAAACTACTCTGTCTGGTTTTCAATTTGGATTAGAACTATTTTTTACAACTTGAAAATGGTTTGCACGCAAGTGTAAATAAAACGGAATAATTAACTGTACAAACGTGTGGTGTTGTTACATTAGAGGGGGGAATATCAACTACACCAAAAATTACAATATTTTCTCCTTATCAGCATTGCTCTATTCGAAGAGAAAGCTGTATAAATTTAGAGTGCGTTACTGCTTTAACTAACATAAGAGTTTGGTATAGGGCTTGTAAAAACAAAATAAGGGTACTATTCAAGTTATCCCATCCAAAATATTCTAAAGGTACGAGTTCATTGTATAATTCCTCCGAAATAAAACTGCCATTAAATTAATAATTGTCAAATTTTTTTTGACAGCTGTGAATTTTTATCTTCACTATATTGAACTAGTTCCGATCGAACTGATATTTATGAATATGTCGCAATATGTTGTTGCCCGCCAACTTTTGATCAGTTTTTTAGTTTACATTTGATATCCACAAAAACACTTAACTTTATTAAAAAGAAAAAATGTTAACATACTTATAAAACATTGGCATAATGTGATTATATTATAATTTTCAAAAACACTAGAGTTGTGGTGGGCAATTAAAAATTCGTATTAATATTTTTACCTATAACAAAACAAAACTTTAAATAGATCTTATCCAGATCTCGGAGAACAAAGATATGTATTGTTCTATTTAAATTGCGCAAAGTCTTTATACAAATTATAAGCTGTGGTTGTTCATCGTTTTAAAATGACCAAGGTTACACGATAACGAAATAAATTTGTTTTTCTAGAATTCGCCCTATATTATTAATCTTTGATTTCTGGTACAATTGAATATTTACAAATAGCGTTCTATTTTGGAAAGAAGCTTTTCAGATAAGATTAATGTTAAAAACAATAGGTTAATATGTCGTCATTATACATCCAACTTCATCTGCTACATATGATATGATATTCATAAAGAATTTAAAATTCCTACACAGAGTAACGAACAGTCGCGGTATTTTAAAGCGAAAATGCTGTGTAATGTTGATTTAAGTATATATTTTATATTTATTAGGTGGCCAAATAATACAGTATAGAATAAGAAATGTTAAATATTCAAATAAATGAAATCCAAATGTGTATTATTATATTAATTGTTGAAGTCTTTTACCTCCATGGTTTGTGTATCTACTAAAAAACATAGAACATTTCATTTTTGGTATTTATTTCAGAGTCTTATTTCAGTAAAAACGTAACGGCCACATTTGAGTGATGTGAACTATCCAAAAAATATGTAGCCAAAAGACCTGAAATATCTTAATGTAGCTGAGAAGATGTATTTTAATATTTTAAATGCATTCCTCACAGTTAACAATCAATTGTATCCCAACATTTTTTGTTGTTGTTCGAAGCTAAATGTACTATACATAAGTATTGTCAAATATCATCACCTCTTTGGCTATCATTAATCCAAAGTGCCATCACTACCACGTAGTTAGTCATGGGAGCTTTGTTTGGAAAAAGCAGCAAAAAAACGGCTCCTAGCCGGATAACCGAGGAGGACAAGGCGGTTCTGGTGAGTTGGTGGTCACTATGTCACCCATAACCCTCCTCAAACCTCAAATCTTTATCCCATTGCAGCAATTGAAGCAACAAAGAGATCGCATCAAGCAGTATCAAAAACGCATCGAAACGCAGCTGGAAAATGATCGACTTCTGGCCAAGAAGTGCCTGCAGCAGGGTCGCAAGGAGTATGTCTAATATTGAATATATTTGATGTGCTCCATCTTACTTAGCCCTCATGATTCTCTTTCAGTCGTGCTAAACTACTACTGCGCAAAAAGAAGTACCAGGAGAGTTTGCTAATCAATGCCGACAAGCAGTTAGAAAACCTTGAAGGGTTGACCGCAAACCTGGAGTTCGCCCAAGTGGAAATAGAGGTGCTGAATGGCCTTAAAGCAGGCAATGCGGCTCTAAGGAAGGTACATGCAATGCTGGACATCGATGAGGTGGAACGAATTATGGACGAGACCCGCGAGGGCATCGAAAAACAGCAGGAAATAGACGCCATACTGACGGATGCTTTGACCACGCAGGACGAGGAGGATGTCCTAGCCGAATTGAATGCCCTCGAGGCGGAGGAGGAGCAGCAGACAAGTGTACAACTGCCCGAGGTGCCCACCGAGGATTTGCCGACCCCCGTCGAGAGCGAATCCGCCGAGGAACCGGAAAAGACCAAAACAATCAGCAGCAAACCTAAGAAAGTCTTGGTTGAGGCTTAGAACGTAAAGTAAAACTAAACCAATGCCATTTTGTATGTATATATTGCCGTTTAACTACATTTCTCGATAAGTCCAATGTGAAATATGTATTTTAATAGACTATGCTTTTCTAGAGGAAACGAAGAAATTCCTGTCTATCTTTGGGTTGTTGGCTTCGTCGATCGGCGCAAGTCCTCCTTGACTTTGCTGCGCAGCATCTTGTTGGTCTCGTTCAGCTTTTCGATTTCCTCGATCAGGATCACGTTCTCCTTGAACAGCTTGTCGTACTTTCTCTGTACAGACTTGTCCTCGGCCACAGATTTATACCGTTCGAGAACGTTCTCAATTTGTTTGCGCTGCCGCATGAACTCATCTCTGACCTCTGCGTCTAAGGTGACAAAACGCTTGAGTTCATCATCGGAGGCGTGTTTACGGAAGAGCTCCTTTACGGCTTTCTTGAGGCCCTCAGCCGTGTTAATCTCTCCGGCTACGTAGTATATGTCCGAGCAGATGGCATGCAGACATTCTCGCGAAGCCTTCGCCCGATGTCGTTCTGTTCGTAGTTCGGCTACATTGCTGAGGTACTTGTCCTTCATCTCCTTTAACTGCAACTCCAGCTGGACGTTGTTTTGGTTAAGACCTTCCAGTTCCGCTTCCATCTCGATGATATGCTTGCGTTTATCGTTGATCTGGAACTCCCGCGGCTCAATCTGCGCTTTCAGCTCGGCTATCTTGTGTCCCAATACCTGCTTGTACTTGTCCAGTTCCTGGTTTTTATGCAGCAGGTCTTGAATACGTTTCTCCTTGCCATTTATGGCGTAATCGCGATCGGCAATGTCCTTTTGCAGATCCTCGATATTGCGCAACTGCTTCTGAATGTTGCGTTGCGACTTATAGTGCTCCTCCTTGAGAATTTCCACTTCTTCAAGAAGGTTGTCGATTTCCCGGCTTTGTGACTCGAATTTCTTTTGAAGAACTCCAGCCTTGCCTCGCCACATTTGGGTTTCATTTCGCTCGGTGGTCAATTTATTTTCGTATTCCGTTTGTGTGGAGACCATGTTACGATCGTTCTCCAACTCCACTTCTCGGCAATATTCTATGAACTCGGCTTTCTTGTCCTGCATTTCTTTCATCAGGTCGCGGATGAGTTCTTTGCGCTCGTTAAGCTGTTGCTTGTAGTTGTTCTCCAGGGCCTCCACTGTATCCTGCAGTGTGCCCGTAGAGTTTTTCAGCTTGTCCTCGTAGCTCTCACGTAGCTCCAGCATATTCTCTCGCAGATTAGTGAACTTTTGGTACTCGATCAGCATCCTCTCCGAATACTGAGTAGCCAGAGTGTCAAGCTGAACGCGATGTTCCTCTCGGATAGAGTTTATCTGGAACGTAATGTGATTCATCTCCTCCGTGTGCCTGGCCTCTATCTCATTATTCAACTCCTTCAGCTCTTCCAGTGCCGAACAATAACTTCTGTGGACTTCCTGCAACTGCTGCCCGTCGAAGATCTCGTTCTGACTTAACTGATACTGGAATTCCTCTGCCTGCTGCTTCAACCGAAGCTCTAGATTGGCAATCTGCTCGATTTTGTCATTGAGTTGACTGCGTGGTATCAGGACCTCTTGGCTGCGCATCAGATCCTGATCCATGTAGGCCACTTTGCCTTCGATGTTATCCATAGCCCAAATTGCCAGGGTTCCTTTGCTGGAGATCGCAAACAATAGGGTGCCATCGTAGGAAAAGCGAAGCTTGTTGACCGGTCCATCGAAGAATCGGAAGTTGGTGAAGGTTCCTCCTCCGGCCTCCAAGAATGGTAGTTGCATATTGAAAAGATTTCCTTCATGATCCGCCACGAACATTATTAAATCAGACCTGGCCAAACATATATCGGAAACGGAACCCTTGGTCCTTGATGGAATCGTTATTTCCCTCACTAGCGTTGAGTCCTGGAACTCACGAATCGTCCCGATGCTAGTTCCCGCAAAGATCGTCAGAGGATCATTTGTGCTGCAGGAGATGGTAACATATTCGGTGCCCTTTTGCACGATCTCCTGCAGCCGGGCGCCGGTCTCAATGTCCCACAGATAAATGGCACCCTCTGCCCCGCCGGAGATTAAGAATTTGTCGGTCTTTGACCACGCTACGGATAGGACAATGCCATTGTGACCCTTCAGGTTGATCAAAACATCCAGCTTGTACACCGACGTGATGGCTATGTTATTATCATAAGCGGCGGCCATCATGTGGCCAAAATTGGAATAACGCACGGCATTGCAGTGTGGGAAATTATATGTCTTGACAATCTGTGAAGCGAAAAACAGGAAACAACAATGTTGCCAAGGATATACTAAACTAAGTTTGAATGGAAACTCACATTCAGATCATCCATGAAGATCTGGGTGATACGCAACTGATCCGAGAAGCCTATGGCCGCCATTTGGCCTGTTAAACTCAACTCAACAATGTTGACATCCACTTGAAATTTGCGCACCAGCTCGACGAGAGCCGTTTCATAGTTCCAAATCCGGATGGTCTGATCCCTGGCTGTTGGATATTTAAAGAGATGATGAGAAGCAGAACAGAGGCACCTATAATCTACTCACAGGCAGTCATAATAATTGGTTTCCAGGCGCACACGGACATGGCTATGATTTCTCCCGTATGAATTAGCACTCCCAGCGGTTCAAACTTTAGCTGCTTGGTTTTAAGGGTCTCGGGAACTATAAGAATACCCACATATATCTGACAGTGGGATGTGGTGACTATTACTGTTTCCTGTTTGTGATCGATGGCCAAATTTGTGATCTGATACATATGCTCTGCATATAGATTCGTTGGCACCGTCAGGATTGTTTTCCTCTCGAACTTAAACTTGGATACGCGCTCAAAGACGAAGGCCCTATTAAAGATAATATAGGCAAATCCCTTGGGAAATGCGGTCATGCAGAGGACTCTCCTGTCCGGAAGACTAACTGCTTGCGTGGGCAGGAATCGTTGATCTTGCAACTCCTTGTCCCGATCGAAAACCTCCTGGTCGATTATCAAGTCTACGGTATCCGCATCGCTAGCCTTTTGCGCTAATTTCTGCTCCCCGTTCTCCACCAAGATCAACTGATCATCTGACGTGCCCACCATCAGAAGATCCAGTGAGAGAAATGCCATCGAGGTGACTCTATATTTAACCTTTAGGTTATTGCTAATATTAAATCCTCGCTCCGATTTACTCATTAGCAATAAGGTGCGTTCCCCACCGACTGCCAGAAAACTGCAATCATTTGGATTGCCAGCAATGCACTCGGCCCCTCCATGGGAACCTGGAATCGTTGCTCGTCCTTCAATCACTGTGCTGGTTTTATCCAGCACCAACATAATGAGCGTTTCCTCCGGCGGGCGGGTAATCAGAGCCACCGATCTCGAGTCGTTGGTGAAGATCATCTGCTGAATCTCGGCATTGCGATGGTTGCTGGGCAGCTCCAGGTGGCGACGCTTCTTCAGGGTGGCCAGCTCGTAAATGGATATATAACGGCCACTAAAAGAAGTTAGGAAAATCAATGTATTCAAGTTATGTTAAAGTTAAGTTTATAGCTTTCTAGTATAATTTAGATGGAGAGATGGTTCTCACTCACGAAAATATAAACTTAAATGCGAATTTATTCCTGCACAGAATGTTACTAATCCTGTATACATTCCCGATTTTTAAACATTTGTTTATCTTAGAAAACAAGTTTTATGTTAAGCTTCTTACTTCTTCGAATGCCTTTCCAGCACCGCCAGCAGTTTTCGATGGGAACTTATGGCTATCACTTCAGGTCGCGTATCCTCGGGTAATCTGCAAGATTAAAAGGATTTAGAAAACTTTTGGCATAACAAGAATATAAAAGCCCCTAACCTGAGAAACCTCTGCTTGTTTTGGACGTAGTCGTGAAATGCTAAGACTCCTTCCACGGGATAGATGACCTCCTTGGTGAGGTTGAAATGGATATTACCAATCACATCCGACCGCAGTCCGTAGATAAGCCGTGGCCTTATCGTCACCGTGCTATTGGTCAGCGAGGGTCGCTTCACATCATCCATCCTTACTGATTTTTTATAAAAAATATATGTACGCGGTTCGGGATAAGAATTTTAGCTGGCCGACAGACAAATTGGAGGAACTGAAATTCGATCAAACAACCTGGGGGGAAATCGTTAGGGAAGTCTCTGCCAGCGACAGCAAACTCCATGGCATCCAGAAAGTGAGAGCCTAACAACACCAAGTTTTCGGGTCTTGGGTAAAGCAGACTCTATTCCAATCTGAACAGAGCCGCGAGCGGCCATGAATAAGTAATTAAACGCTGCTAAGTATGCTTTTAATTTAAGCCCGTCGGATGAGTAGGAGGAAAGCTAAGCGCTTGGTAAAAACAACATTGGAATTTCCGTTGAAATTGGCGCCTGTTTCCTGGCCAACAATAACAAAAGCCACACCGTCGCACTTGAACTCTGGCAATGCGCTTTTTCGCTGAATATGGGTCTGTCTGTCACTCTGTCAGTCAGCCAGTCAGTCAGTCAGCCCAGCCAGCAAGTAAGGTCCCCAAATATTGTGCCAACCCCCAAAATCCCCTCAAATAGTTAAAGGCAATCGTCTCCTTGGCACAGCGAACACGACCTAACGCAAGGAATTGTTAGTTAAAGAAAAGCTGCTCGGCCTCTCTTCAACTCAAGCACTCTTAGCGAGGGGGAAAGCTTTTGTGTCCACAATCCTACAAGTTGGAGATGCCAAGTAATGGTTTGAGCTCTCCCAATTGGGAATAGTCTGGGTAGGGGATTGGCTTGATTAATGGTTTCCTTTTCAGACAACACCAATTTTTTTCTACCTATAAAATATTTAATGAGAGATTTTTTCAAATCTTGGTAGCTAGCGATACTCGTAAGAAATATTTTATTTATTGAATTAATTTTATCCAACCAATTAAAATATATATAATTAAAGACTTATCACAAGATTAAGGGTTATGTTGAATACTCTTCTTTCTTATTTATGATTAGTTTTAAGATCGTAGGTAGTACACTTTATTTCTGAGAAAGTCTAACGTGTCAAAGTCACTCTTGTTTGAAATCTTATTAAAAATAAAACCTTTTGAAAATTACAATTTGATTTATCTAGCATATATAATAATAATTTTCTTTATAATAATGTATCTTTCCATATAGCTATAAAACAGCTGAATGAGCATATCCATTCTGTGCGCCGTTTTCATGGAAAGCTTTCTCTCTCTCTCAGCGTTTCGGTTCAGTTTCGTTTTCATTTTGGGTTGTCCATTTCAGTAGTAGTTTTCGCGTCGGCCGCAGCACAACGAGCAAACGGAAACCGGAAACGGAAGTTGAAAAGGCAGTGGCTCTGAAGCACAGTTAATCGGGCAGAGAACCGAAAGCAGACAACTGACAACTGAGTACTGAGAACTGAGCGCAGTGAAGTGTTTGTTTTCGGCGTTATCAGTGGATGCACGCGTTTCCAGCACTGATTGCGAGTAGGCATCCAGGATAGGGATTGGGATTGGGATTCCAACTCAGATTCAGGACACCCGACGGACGGACGGAGGAGGCGGCGAGCCGGAGAGGCGTGTCACTAGCAGGTGGCTGAGCCGGTTAACCAGAGTCCGACGGCAAAAAGTAAATAAAATCCCACTTGTAAATTGTGTGACAACCTTTGAGAGCTGAATTGTGTGTGTTTTTGAGATTTTTCACTACGCCGCGAGCAGTTAAAACTTTTGCTTGTGCACTGGGAAAAACTTAAATTTGAAAGTATTTGTAGCTTAAAAATGTATATATATTTTTTTTATTACTTTACTTGTTAATTCAGCAAATAAATTCTCTTACTACAGCATTATATTATAGACTCACTTAAACATTTTTTGATGACAAAATTGCTTAAGAACTCTAAAAAAGCTTGTTTAATATTTAATAATATATTATTTTAAGTTCTCCTTAGTAAATACTTAAGAAAAGTATAGCTTTAGGTCAGAAAACTCATTTGACGCGATTGTTGAACATTTGAAATGGTTTTATTTTCTGTGTACAGATGTGTGTTTGTGTCTTCGTGACAGTCGCTCAATTAACAGGGCAAGTCCCGAGTCCTTTGCGGCTTTTCTCAAGAAGGCGACTGAATTTTAAGCCAATTAAATCGCGAAAACCAGAAGCGAAAGAAGAAAGATAAAAGTGAGATGAAAACGTAAATGAAACGTAAATGAAATGGAAAATGGCCTAATGGACTCTGTCAGCCTTCCGTTCCACAACAACCTGAAAAGCAGCCCAGCTGTGGCAATTAAAAAGTAATTTTAATGCTCCTGCACCGTTTGTTTGCGAAAACAAGCAACGAATTTACAATTAACCCGGGTGTTTTTGAATTTCTTGTGTGGGTTAATTCGACGCCCTTGCTCCGCTGTAAATCTTGTTCATCTCTCAATTCCTCTTGTTTTATTTGGCCATTCGGGCCGTAGCGAGTCGCACGTAATACGTTATTATAAACAAATCGCTTTCAACAAAGAATCCCCACGGGGAGTACACATATGCAGTCATAAACATATATATATATATATATATCCGCGCATTCACCGCAACTAGAACAGGTCAAATGAAAATCGGATCGGCGGCAAAATGCCCGGAAAGCGTAAATGTTCATTTTAAATTTAAATCCGTCGCAACCGCAGTCGCCGCATTGCGTGCATTGCTCCACCGTGCGGCAGTGTATCTAGACACGAGTATATACATGCAACCGATTCTATATATATATATTAGCAAAACTTGCTTCTGATATTTTTGGACTCTCTAGAGCGAAGTCGAACGAAATGCCGCAGAGTTTGACCGATTAAAAATGGAAATTTCTTCATCGCTGAAAGTTGTTTGTGCTCATTAAGCGATCTGTAAATAAATAAAATGGAATTGCAAATGACTGAGAGCATACGTACCAGAGAAAAACACATAGGCGTTTCCAAACTGTAAATAAATCAATCAAAAAGTTCGTAAAAATATGTATTCCCAATATTTCGGTTCCGGTTTTTGTTTAATTAGCTTAAGTGTGTACTTCAAAAACTATAAATTCAACTCAATGACTGTATAGAGCCCCATAAAAGTGAGCTTTGCATATAGATTTTTGAATGAAAATGGTTTAGGTTGTTAAAGATGATGAATGAGTTTGCTATTTAAAACTGATTTTAAATGAAATTCATTTATCATCTCAAAAACTTTAAGACATAATGTGCTTGCTCAAAATGTATGACATTTTCAAAAAGCTCTTTTTCATTACGTCGAAGTATATATCTCACTTTCCTTTTTTTTTTTCATAATATTTATTCCTTTGTTGTTCTTGTTTTCTCTCTGTAGACTTTTGCTGCTCATATACATTTTATTATGCTAAAAAGTTTACTATTTTCCAAGTTTGTACGTGGGTTTGTTCTTGTTTTTTAACTATCCAACTTCCTACATTGAAGTCTGCACAGGCAACACAAAATCAGAATGAAAATTCCTGTAAAGAAACTGAAACTTTCATTGTTGGAATTATTTTTTTTTTTATCAGCTGCCATCTTTGCGAGCTTTAAGCTGAAAGTAGTACTCAATTAAAGTCAACTTTAGCCTGCCATTTCGCGCTTAATTTTTTATTATCATCCTTGGCAGCCTGTATCCCTTTGCCCTTCTCTTCACTCCTTTCATCATCGACCTTTCTCCATCCTCCGTTACCAGCAGAGCTGCGGAAAATCTCGCCGAAATTGGAGTCAAGTGTTTTCCCTTATTTTCTCTAGCCTTTCCTTTTTTGTTTTTACAGCCAGGACATAATAGCATGCGCCCGCCCTTTATTTCGCCCTCTTTTTCTCTCTACAACGTTTTACACTCACACCAATGCACACATATGAACAAATACACCACGTACACTGGTCAAAATGTTAAGTTTTGTTGGTTTTTGTTTAAAATATTCTACTTTTTCGTTATTTAACTTTTTGCAGTTGCTTTCACAGGAACAGAGCTTTCCGCCTGGAAACATTTTTAAAAGTTTTAAATTAAGAGAAGATAATTTAATTAAACTTTTTGCAAGAATTCCTTTGAGTTTGTTTTATATACAAAATATATATTTTTTAGAGGATTTTGAACAATTACTATATGCCATATAATATGTATACATTATTTAACAGTTATACCTTTTGTTTGTCTCAAATTCAGATAAAATTCAAATAAAACCCCAAAACATATAAAATTGGACAAATAAAAATAGCTCATCCGCCCTGTTGACTTGACATTTCTGTTATTAGTAAATGTACATGTTGAATTCTCCATTTTGACTTTTTGGCAGTGTGCACCGGTGTAAAAGCTTGAGCGCAGCACACAAGCCTTTCCCCGGTTTTCACCATTTTCCTCTTGCTCACCGCTTTTGGCTTTCGGCTTTCGGCTTCAATTGTAGCAGCTAAGTTGACCTTTTTGTTAATAGCGCTCACATACCGCTACACGCGAATACCGATATGCTGGAATATATGGCAAGGGAGCATTGTCTGCGCAGGAATTTGATGTTGGCACAGCTGATTGATTTATTGTCTGCCCGGCTGACAATCCTGAGTCCGCCAGTTGGCAGCTAAGCCAAACAGACCCGCAAAATGCCAAAGGAGTCTCCGCGCCGCACTGTATGCAATAAAAAAGTATAAAAAAAGAAGGGAAAATTATCAACTGAGGCCAGGAGTGTGCGTTTCTGTGTGTTAGTTTGTTTGCCTGTAAAGGTGTGTGTGTGAATGCCTGTGTGCATGTGACGTCGCTATAATTAAGAGCGTTGGCGAAAGCGAAAGCGACAGCGCGTACTAGCCGCCATTTTCATTTTACGATAACTGCTTTCACCTACTTATTTGCCACTGCGGGAATGCATGCACTCGCTCCCTAATTTTCACACAATTCCAAACCCATTTAGTCACCTCCCCCAGCTACCCACCTGTCTGCCCACCGACCGTGCGTCACCTCTTCTGGCGTCTGTTTTATTATTCCCCCGTTCAATTATAAACTTTCTTTTTGAATTTTTAAATTTAATTTCATATTTGCTTTTGCGGCGTCAGAAATTACACTCCCTAACATCATTTTGGCACTTCTTTTGAAATAATTTCACTTCGTTTTTCCTGAAATGAACTCAATGTTCTTCCAACATTTCCACATTCCCTTCATTTATGCGCTCCATTAATTTCCCTTTAAATATTTACGCATATGTCATCTCTTCTTCCTTTGGTTTCATTTCACCGCTTTAATGAAATCCCTTTCCTTGCAGTTTTTTTTTAGATTTAATTCCTTATTCAGAAAGCTGTCATGTCCTTTTTATGCAACTGGGTTGGCATTATCCTCTATACTCCTCCACCGCGCATCATTTTTATTATTCCGCCCTTAAGTGAAATACTCCGCCTTGGAATTTTTAAATTTAATTTCTTATTTACTTCGTTTTGCGTTTTAAAATTATCATTTAAATTGCAAAGCGTGTGCTCACTCATTACACATTCTCTCATAGCTGTTGCTATCTCGGCCCGAAAGCCTCAAGCATGCCAAAGTGTATGCCAAAAGTTCATAAAACTTTTAAGGGTCTCTCTCGACCGACAAAAATGAGACATAAATGCATAAATTTAATGAGTATCGAGCGGTGGCCCCTTGATGGTCAAGAGGCGGAAACAAAAGCAGTGGGCGTGGTCAGTTTCAGAGTTCAAGATGTGGACAAGAGTGTCCATTCTTTGAGAGTAATCTCAATTATCTTTGGACAATGACAGCTGCTAACTAGAGTTATTTACCTAAGTGCAAATGGTAATTTTTCTTGGATAAGGTTAAAAGTTGAATGGGACTGCGAGAGCAATTTGATGTATTAAAAGATTATCAGTCACTTAAGCTAATACCCTGGGGTATAGCAAACAAAGTCAAGTCTTAACGACTCTTAAATGTCCCCTACCTTATGGATTTTATACTTTTTGTTTGACTAATACTTGCAGAAATTTAATAATGGCAGTTTGTTAAAGAAGTAAAACTTCGGCCGTCTTTTAGGTCGCCTACTTGGCCGTAATCAACACGTTTAAAGTAATGGAGCAGATTTGTAGGCAACATCAAATGTTGGTCCCATCAGGACTTTTTCCTTCCAAAGTTGGCTATAAAACATGAGTCCCTTTTTTTTTACCGGCATTTGAAAGCAATTCTCTTGATTGGTACTTCAAGAAGGAGAAATCGGAGAAGGTCAAACGACAACAGGTTGCGGGTTAAAAAACTATTTGAAAATGGCAAAACACGGACCACACATGTTAACCACATAGTTCCCAGCCATGCATGCTAATCGAAAATCTGAAAACACAATAGGAGAGGAGAATGGGAAAATTCCCACAAAACACACGCATGATCGGGGCAATCCACAAATTGAATTGTCTGCTGCAGATGAAACATGGAACGAATTTGGGATTATGTATAGCACATTAGGTATGCATCGCGCGAGTGTGTGTGTTAGTTTAGTTTTGGGTGTGTATTTCTATGTGGGTAGGTTGGCCACATGGCGTATGCGCAATGCCAATTAAAATCAAAAGCCTGGCCCCAAAAAGTATGCAGCACATAATGTAATTGGCTTTCATTTCTGTTTTCTTTCGCTTCGATCTGGTTAATGAATAACGAATGAGTCGTGTTCACTTAATTGTGATTGAGTTGAGAACACAGCTCATTATAATTAATGTAAATGTTCCATACACACACACACACACAAACACACACACACATAACCAGTTAGTCGTATAGTTTTTGCACAAATATATGCGCATATTTTGCCGCAAGCCATTAATGCCATTCTGATTTATTGCAGCCTCCTCTCAGCCAAAAACATTGGGCCATAATTAACCGCATGCCGCAGACCGCACCGAGGAAAAGCAAATAACAAAATCAAAACACAAAACATCAGTAACTGAACAAAGCGAAAGGAGAAAGAGCAAAAGGTGGCGTAAAATGCGGCCTAAATGCTTTGGCAATTATGCCAAAATTGTTAACAAAATTCGGAAAGTATCAAACTAAGTAAAAGGCGACAGCAGGAAGCCGCAGGCATTACAAAGGACCAAGGGCTAGGCGGCGACGACAGGTGGCAGGTGGTCCGCTGCTTTTCGGGTCTTTCTCCTTGAATTCGTTTCGTTGATATCTAAAGAAAAGGTGCTCTCAGACATACCCTTCGGTTGCCGAAAAGCAACAGAGCTCAAAACAGAAACCCAGACCCTTAGTCCTCGAAATTGAAACCTCAATAGGAACTCAAACGGAAGCCGAAACAAAAACTCACTTAGGTTGCCATCCAAATCAACGGCTGTCAGACAAAAAGTCGCTTTTTATTGATTTTTATAAAGCCAAGTAGCAACACCAAAAAGCAATGAACAGCAAAGAATAATAACACAAGCCGCAGAAGTAGAAACAAAATAAAAATAAAAACAAAAAGCAAACGCAATGTGAATAATTCCCCAGTTGAGCAGAGGCGAGCACGAAACAGAAAAACTGTTGGAATATTCCTCACACCACCAACACCGAACCCCCCGCTCCCATTTTACCCCCCGCCCCAACCGGAGTCCGCCGACTATATAATATAATATATATACCATACTATCGAAACGTTCATCAAATGCGATTCGATTCGATGACGATTCAAACAGGAGACACCGGAGAGACGGACGCACACGGGGCCCCATAAAAATGTGTTATAAAAATATACACGCATAAGTTCCCCAACTCCCCCTTTCGCAAGGACATAAACATATATATATATATATATATATATCAAACAAAGCCTGGCCGGGAAATTTTAATGCAAATGTCATTGGCAAAGTCAATTAGCAAGAAAGCCAACGAAATGAGCTGAAATGCTGCGACGGCACAATTGAAAATTTGAAAATTGATCAAGGTTTGAAAGCAGCGACCAACAAAGGAAAAGCGGGATAAAAAGCAAGACTGATTTTTAAGTTTAGTTAGATTATTTTAAACATACATGCAACAACATAAAAAGAACTACTATTTTGTGAGGAAAAACCGAAACTGCAACAACGAATTAGCCAAGCGGAAACCGTAGCAAAAGGGAAAACCGCCCACAGAGAAAATAGGAAAACGGCAACAAAGCAGCAAAAGCAGCTAAACCAGGCAAAAGCAACAAAACCAACGACATCCAACAAAAGCAAACGGATTCATACGAAAGCATGTTTGTGTTCATAGCTGTGCTGTTTGTTAACGCTTGCCTAGCGGGTAAGTACCAGATCCCAAGTCCCAGGATTCAGGGTCCTAAGCTTGTCCCAAAAAAAAAAACATAATAATTCGGAGTAACAAAGTTGTGTGCCATATTACCTTGGCCACCTTCATTTGTTGGCATTAACATTACTTCTTTACTTGAGTTTGGGATACTATACGTTAGCTTTATAACTTTCCAGAATTCAGTCACATTTTCACGTCGGCTTCCCATACTTACACACGTATTGTTGAGTGTCGGAAAGTTGGACAACAGAATTTATCGGTAGTCTAATTCAAACTACAGTTTATTTTTGGACAAGACTACCAGGATAAATATGCCGTATTTATTGTCTTGGGCATAGAGTAAGGAATGACAGGAATTTCAGGTCACACGATTAGACAGTTAAACGAACATAAAGATAGTTTATATTAAATATAAAACTTTAAAGAATGTTCTAACTAATTAGATGATTTCCTTTTGTACTTTACTAAACTTGAATTTCATTAAAAGATTTTCCAAAAAGCTTGGCCAACAGAGAAATAAAAATTAATTTACCAGAAATAAATTTCCGCCTAATGGTGCTAAGAATTTAGGTCAAACGACAAGCCGAATACAAGCATTAATCAATTTTAATGGTTTCAACACATCGTGTTTTGAAATTTATATTGTTTGATAGTTTGTTGCTTAATTTGAATATATTTAAAATATATTGAATGTTTGTTAAGATTAAGAGTCTTTAAAATGTCTTCGAAACCATGATCAAGATTATCCCATGTATTGCTTTCAATGTTAAAGCTTAAGCCTTGATAAGAATCCAATTCTTAAAGAAATGAATTATCTAAAATATATACAACATAGTGTCCATCTGACAAATCGACAACAAACAGAATTAAATAATAATCCCTTAAAATGTAAAAGAAGTAAACAATTTACATGAAAAGCCTGCTTCATCTGGTCAATTGATATAAGATTGACAGCTGAATCAGTGTCAATCTCCTTTAAGGGCCGAGAAAACTTGAAGAAAATCCACAAAGCTTCTAATTTTATGACACAACTTAAGAGCTGACGAGTTTACGATACGGCTAAAGCAAAATCCAGTTAATCCCCCAGACGAATAAACTTGGCTAGTGCCTGTGAATTACTATGTATATGCCATATACCATAAGCATTTACAAGGATAATGGCATAATAACAAGCAATTATTGTTATAATAGGCACCATTCCGGCTACGCCGGAGAACATAACCGTTACGTTCCTGACGCCCACGGCGGTCCGAGTGTCGTGGCAGACGCAAATCGATCTAAAGGCACATCCCATCGAGAAGTACATCGTGACGTACAAGCCGACGGATGACAGGTAGGTACCACTAACAAAGCTAGAACTCAATCCACCGGGCCACTTGACTGTCTAAATGACGGTAAAGCACACTTACTTACCATTCAGCTGACGGGTTTAAAGGGGCTTTGAGGTTGGGGGGGTTCTTTCTGCACGAGAAAAAATATATATACATTTAGCCGGATGGCCTATTAAATTAAGCCTTTTATCTATAATCATACATAAATTATAGATTGTGTAGTAGAAGGTATGACGTATTTGATTGTGATACATTATTAAAGCTCTCTTTAACTCTTTTTGTGGGAATTTATGTATTGAAATTATGGATTATAGTAAAATATGAATACCATCATTAGTTGTGTTTTAAATTTCAAATTTTTAATAGAATTCCTTTTGCCTTTTTTAGGCTTTAAAACTGAATAAAGGAGACTTTGAGAGCCATGAAATCCTAAATAACTCTTTAAAATATTCTTAAGATATCTTTCATCATTCGATATTCTTCAAATCAGGTTGTAAAAATACAAGATTAAAAGAAGAATTTACTCATAACCATTCAAATTTCCCTCAGTGCTAGGCGCTTGCAATTGCATTTATGCAGAATACAAAAGACCAGAAAAAACTCTGCCTGCAATTGACGGCCCATGGAGTGAGTTTTGCGGGCCAGACGCAAGGGCCAGGGGTGGGCGTGGCAGCGGTCAGTCAAGAGCACTGTCTGCTCGCAGAAATTTGTGAGTGTGAGTGCGCCTGCTTGGAGCTTGTGGTTTTGGGTAAGGGCGATGGCGATGGCGATGGTGGGGTGTATTTGTTTGGCCATGAGCTAAATAACGGGCCAAGTTAAAGTAAACCAAGGGGACGCGGGTGGGATTGGGGAAAACCTCAAGAAGAAGAAGCAACAACAACAGGAAAATGGTAAACTTGAGGCCAAATTGACCGCGAGTGCAGGCCAAAAGAAAAACAAAAGCCTCGTGTACTTGTAGCCAAGTTATTTAAAACAAAAGGCGAAAATGCGAGTTTTTTGTACACAAAGCGCGGCCAACTTCTCAGGAATTACAACTCAATTTCCCTTAACTCGAGCCACCTGCTGGAAAATTATGTTGGAACTCATGAGATGCTCCACATTTTCGTCAAAAATGCTGCCTCACAAACTAAACTTATATTTGAATTCTTTCTTCCTAATAAAAAGAGATTAAATGCCGAGACTTCCTAAATTTGTCAATTTGGTTTCCTTATCCTTTTCTGCAGAAAAATGAGATTTTAGTTGGGAAAATAAAAGTATTCTTTGAAGATTTTCTGATTTAAGTTTTGTATGCAAATGAAATTTAGTTTAATTTAACCAAAAACATAACAAAATATACCTAAAGGGGGCTTTTCTTTGCTTTAAAACAAAGTTGAAAAACTTATTTACAGATTTTATATTCAAAAATTAATATATCATAAAATATTTTATAGCTGAGCCATAAAGTGTAACACAGAAAAACAGAAGATGGTTCAAGGCTTAAGAACTTCGAACATTATTGCCACTCAATTAGGTTCGATTTACGAAGAACTCGAGTTGGGAAAAGTTCAAGTTGGCCCGTATATAGCCACTGGCAGAGAAGCCATATTCATGAGCAGCGAACTCATGTGCATACACACACTACGAGTACTACTAGTACACCATATGTCAGGGACTTTGCGACCGTGCCAGTTTCAGTTAACTCTCTTGGCAATATTCTTGATGATTTACCGAAATAATGCAGCCCAGCTGCAGCTGTCTTGCCTGCAATTTACCATCTCAGCATTCCCATTTGCATTGCCACCTCCACACCTCCCCACTTTCCTTTCCCGCTGATTGCTATTCCTCATTGCCCGTGTTCGCTGCGTGGCAACCGGAAGAGCACCAGTTACCCATGCACTGGGAAAAACTTTAAGTTTCTTTAGGTTACCTAGAGGTTGTTTAATCACAGCTTGTCTTTATCGTTTTCGAGTTCAAAATTGTCTTTTTGTCATATTTATAATTTATTTTTATGAATTTTTTTAATCTTTTTATCTATTTTATTAAGTAGTGATGAACTCGAAGGCAAATTACAAGTGGAATCTTATTTGTACCTTGGGCTACGCATTCTTCTTATAAAATTCCAACCGAAAGATCATAATTTTTTAAAATTATGCTTAACACGATTATTTTAGTATCCAATATATCCACATATATTATAATTTGGCTTACCAAGCGAATCGATTTTCTTTCTTCAGAACCCTCATTATACCCGTTACTCGTAGAGTAAAAGGGTGTACTACATTCGTTGAAAAGTATGTAACAGTTAGAAGGAAGCGTTTCCGACCCTATAAAGTATATATATTCTTGATCAGGATCAAAGCGAAGTCGATTGAGCCATGTCCGTTTGTCCGTCCGTCCGTCCGCCACACCCACCCATACGCCCACCAAGCTCAAAAGACGGTTTTCGCATTTTCAAGAAAACCTGATATCTCAGTAACTATAAGTGATAGAAAGTTCGGATTAAGCATGTAGATTTTTATGATGCCCCAAATGCGAACTGTTTTTTTCCATCTAGCCACGCCCACTCTAACGCCCACAAACCGCGAAACACTGTGGCGTCTATAATAATATTAAGAATGGTCGTTTGACCTTGTATAACTTATTTATGTTATTATCTATCGATTTACCAAAGATTTTTCAAATCGGAACATTATTTCGCTACTTATGAAGAAATCTAGGTTATAAGGCCTCACATGGTTTGTGACGTCACTATCAGTTACTCAACATGCTTCCTCTGACAATAGGTGGCGCCTTGTGAATTTCCACTAGCAAAATGAATATTTTAAAATTGTGTAAAACAGTAACGGGTATCTTATAGTCGCGGCACTCGACTATAGCGTTTCCTTTTGTTTTATATTTTGGCCATAAAAATAAGCATTTTAAAACTCAGTTCGGCACGTTTCTTTGCCTGTACTTAAAAATATTCCACTTTCATTTATGTATAATCAGATAAGGTGTATGTTTTTAACAACATTTTTCTCGTCTTGGCTTTATGAAACTTTGTTCTTTAAATATTTTCTAAAAGTTCTTGGTATCATCAGATTTTCCAAATAATAATAACTAAAGTCCGTTTATTTGTTGTCTTAATAACTAAACATATTTAACATCAACTGGGAAACATTTTTACAGTTTATACTTATATTATAGGGTTATCATTTCTTATAAATAGTTAAAGCAAATATTAACGTCTAATAAAATACTGTTGTTAGGAATTAAAATACTTAATCCGAGTTTCCCATATAAGACAGGTTTACAGGAAATATTTTTAACTTCTAGAACAATGAAACATTCAACTGAATTGAATTAAAACCAAAATTTTGCGCAGAACGAAAAAGTGAAAACTGTCCCAAATGCCTTGCATTGAGAAATTCCTTAAATATGCAAATTGAAGATGCATGTTTTCGCCGTGTACCCACTGATGGGTATGAGATGTGGGGCGAATGGCTTGCATATTTCGCCAACAAACTAAGCACTTCCGCTCTGTGTTGGCCAAGTCGGGTCCAAGTGGCAGCTTGGCTAGCCCGGTTCTTTTAGCCAGTTCGCGCTGCCATGGAATGCCGTCCGTGTAATAAGTTAAGTGCTCGGCTTTTGTGCCTTTTGACTGCAGTCCGCTGCCGACTGTTGGCCAAGGTGTTTTTCAATTTAATGGCTCGTGTTGCGTGAGTGTGTGTGTGTGCGGTGTGTGTGTTAGCCATTTTCTTTTGGCTTTTAGCTGCATGAGCGTGTTTTGTCTTTTACTGCCCACCATTCCAATGCTAAACCCGCTCCTGTCCCGCTCTTCTATAAAGTTCACGCCTATGTCAAAAATTTTATTACAAAACTTGGACCCTGGCTTGTGGTTTTTGGTAGTTGCTTGGTTCGTTTGGTCATTATTTATTAGTCAGTTTGTTTTTAATTTTTGTGTTACTTTCCTATCGATTTTTGTTGTATTACATACTTCCGACTGCCAGTCATTATGGTGGGCGGTTGTCGGCCAGCGACGGTGGTTTCCCTGTTCTCTATCTTCCTGCCGTTTTTCGAGTAAATTGTGCCCGTGAATAATGTATGATTTGTACATAGACACGTTGACGGTGAGTCGGCTCGAGCTTTTGCTTTGGCTTTGGCATTAGCTCAGGCTTCGCCTTGGGCTCGAGCCCCCAAGTGGAATAGACTTTTGTCCTAGACGTTTCAGACAGGTATACAACAGATATGCCCCTAGAACACATCGATATCCACCTGGCCATGCACTGGGAGAATTTTGTGTGCTTGCTTTTGGGATATTAATTCTTTTTATGTTTATGAAACGAATTTATGGAAGTGGACAATTAACAATTACTGATGATAGTAAAAACATAGAAAGATAGATAGAAAAAAAATCATAAACGAACAAAAAACATTCAACTTTGCGTGCTCAGAACTCAGACTACATTAGCACCGAATCATTCTCAATCGCCTAACACATTCAACATTTCCAGAAAGCAGAGAAAAACATGTTCTTGTCTAATAAATCACTTTGAAACATTTATTTTCCTATCACTCGCCATTTTCCCTCAATGTACGATACATGCTCCAAATTGCTAAGTGGATTTATGAAATTCTTGACGAACAATGAGTGGCTGTTGTGGGGGTTGGAGTTCAATACGTCCAAGCATGTCAAGCACCATCAATAACAATAATAATTAATAACAATTACTGTCCCATCGGAGGCGTAAAGGCAGGGGTAGAACCAGGCGTAAAAAGGGGCGGGGCCGGTAAGGACATGTGCTCATTCTAAGAAGGAGGACAAAGGCGGAGTAGATGGAAAGTCCCAATCAATAGCTAGCCGTGTGCTAGATTTTATTCATTATGGTTATCTGCGTTTTAAGAGCCAATTTGACATTATTAAAATTGAAATGTCAAGGTTCTTCTTCCAAATATATATATATTGTATATAGTATTGGAATAGTTGCTGTGTAATGGCTAAGCGGATGAGATTTGTGAGTGCTTCCAGCTGTGCTGTGCTGTGTGTTTCTCTCTCTGAGCGATGACGACATAAATTTTCCAGTATAAGCCATAAAAGTGCACAGGTCGCAGTAACAGGAAATGAAACGGAGAGCATACGGCCAACATAACATAAACCTGATTTGTATATGGCCCACACATGGCATACACATAAGCAAATAAGCAGGCTTTGTGCTGTTGCCAAGGAATTCGAGTGTTTGCATTCGGCTTTTCCTTGGAAGTTCTATCTATCCAGCCATTCCGCCCAATGAAGTCCCTCATTGATCATTGATGGGCCTGTCCAAGGGGGCGTATGCGTATTTTTAATTGAATTTTTAAGTTAATGCAAATGCAGAACGATTGTCACGAAGCACCGTGCCTGCCGATCAAATAAAAATTGTTAGTTACATCCGGGCTAACACACACACACAGAGGCTAGCTGAAAGTAAAGTTCTACAAAGCCAGCCCATGAACGTCATAAGTTATTAAATAACATCAGAAGCCCAACTGGGGGGGGGGTGGTGGCCTGTCGTGCGAGTACACATTTGTATATTTTGTATGACATATTGTATGCATACTGCGAAGTTTGAGTAACGAATGCGAAAGTTGTTCGGCTGCCCTGTAAGCTAATTGTTTATTTATCAAAACGGAACGAACCGGATAACGCTCACAAAAGGGGACATTAAAAAAATGAAAGGCAAAGGCCGCCCGAATTGCATATCCAGCCATATTTTTTGAATATCAAATGACTCAGAGCCCGCAATCAGGCCGTAAAGGGAAAGGAAGGAAAACCGGCGAGAAAATTAGAAACTTCCTTCCTTCCCTTTTCGAGGAAATTCGCTTGCATTTCTTATGGCCAGCCGCGAAAGGGCAAGGGATCCACCCAGAAAAATACCAGTAAAACTGGAGCCATGGCGTGAGTTTAAATTGTGTATAATAAGCGGCTTCCTAGTCGAATTTAATGCCATAAAAGCCAGAAAAGCGGTACGAGAACCGGGGATTAAATTTGATTTTCCCTAGGCGTCGCCACATGATGAAAACTTTAACGGCGAAACTTTAGACAACGCCTGGCACTGTCACATATGGCGGATCGGATCGCCCGCCGGTTGGCTGATGTTTGCCAAAGTCGGCCCAATTCCAGTTACCCTACGGGCAAGGGTCTATTGGCTGCGCGCAAATGGATGTGACACATGTGGCTAATCAATTATTTAGCCGTCGGCGCGGTCGAAATGAGAGGAGTTTTTTGCGGACCAGCCAGATGTAAATTCACAATGAACCGTAAAAGCCCGCTTATGTCCTTAAATCGTACCAATAGGCAGGCGTGGGCGGAGTGCTGCTTACACAAATTCGGATATTTGTCATCGCTTTTACATTTTTAAGCAGCTTTCAGAAGCAGTGAAATCGAGGACTTTTATTTAAATCATTTCTAGGATTTTTGCCCTGAAATAACCTTTTACTTTCATCGGATTCGGCTGTTATAAAAAGGGCTGAGCCTAAAAATGAGTAATAAACATTTTATTTTGATATTTCCAAGCCATTTATGATGGCTATTTTTAAGTATCTTGCTAGCAAGAATTTTTGATCGCTTAATCGGATTTATTTTTGTATAAAAAACAAACAATCGGTGAAATAATAAACAATATGCACTTATAATCTACGGGGAGCGGTCATATAAAAAGAAAGCACACCTTTTTGACCTTACTACATTAGATTTGCCCTACATAACAGGATGCTCTGGCTGCGCAGCAGAATGCCTTCCTAATTATGGGAATATTGATTAGATCAAAGACGTGTGTAAGCTAGCTTAAGAAAGCAGTGGAACAATGTCAGTAAGAATAAAATAAAATAAAATAATAAATTATATATAATAAAAAAGATCTTAAAATAGATTCAAAGTTGAAATGAATAGAAATTGATTTTTTATTTTTTTTTTTAATTTCTGAATATTTTGTTGATTGAAATTTAGAAAGAACTTTCAGAAATCAAAAACGGTTACTTTAGGATAATTTTGTAATTTTATGATTTGAAGTTTATAATAAAGATAATAGCAGCATAAAGAATAACAAATATTATAAAAACATTTAAAAACTTAAAATATATATATTAACTAATAAAACCTGCTAAACTTAAAATAATTTTTAAAAGCAATTTATAAAGCATTTTTAAAGCGGCTAATTTATCAACAAAACTTTTAATTCGAGTTTAAACTTAAATAGCAAAAATATTTCCAAGCTGTAGTTGACATTTTCGAAATTCCTTCACATAAATTAAGGGCATTATTAAACCGACCAACCGGCACTGTTTACCTGAGTTTTGTTTTTTCAACATTTACGATTGCCTGTTCGGCGTTGTTTTTCCGTCGTCTGCCAGCGAAATGCTGGACACTTCTGTTTTGTGTTCTCTGTTTGGACTTTCGGTTCCACTGGGGGCCATTGGGTGGGCCGCATTGCCATGTGAGTGGGTTGGGAGGGCGGGTGGTGTGTTTGTTACATGTATGAATAATGAATCATTTGTCAGGCGCTTCTAGTTGCTACAGCCGTAGTAATAAGAGCCGGTGCACAAAAGGCCAGAAGTCTGGGCCACTTTTGCCGCACAACGCACTCGGCGGCACTCGGGCCAAGGAACTGGATCTTGGTGGGTGGGTAATGTGAGCTCAATTGGCAAATCTAGGACATGTTTGGTAACTGCGCTGCGAGAAAGTGACAAAGTGAAATATTGGCCAATGCTGTAATTACCAACACGGACCGGCCTCATATTTCACGACTGGAATGTTGTAGTTTGTTCAATTAGCAAACACACTTACACACACACACACACACACACACATATATATATGCGATTGCACAATCCTCCAAACCACCCAAAACAGCACCTACAGTACACCGCCCACCGCCCCGTTAGCTGCCGTTCGAGAGTGGTAATTGAATTAATTTAAGTTACAGGGTTGTACAGGACGTCGCCGGCAGCAGCGAGGCCATTGTCCTGGATCGCCTGCTGCCCAGCACACAGTACTCACTCGTTGTGACGGCCATCTGGCAAGGCAAGAAGTACCGCAGCCGCGGTCAGATCAAGTTCAAGACGCTGGGTGAGTACACCCCGTCGATTTGGTTCTCAGAAAAGAACATTCATAATCATTTGATTTCCATTTCCCAAGATCTCCCCAAGAACACCTCACAGCAGGACTTTCCGCCGGGTATCTACGGCAATGGGAGCAACGGTGCTCGCAATGGAAGCACTAATGCCAGCATCTTTGGCGACGACGTGACCTCCACGGCCACAAATACTCTGACTCATGGCACAACCAGGGAATTGCCCACTGTAAGTCACATAGATGCGAACTAATTGGATACTAATTAATATCAATTGGATTAGGCGGAAATTGATTTTAGATTAGGAAAAAAATGGTTTCAAGTTAAGAGTATGAAATTGGAAAACAAAATTTTTGGTTAATTAATACTAACTTAGCCTGACTTACCTAAAATACCAGAAAGGTAACATAATCTTTGTTAATTTCCCCGTACAGATTCGCGGGGTGGAGATCGGCATAGTCCTGATCGTGCTGATGGTGTGGGCCGGAGCCATCGCCCTGTTCTTCAACCGATGGGGAAAGATCCGGATGCTGCTGCCCTATCAACCAGACTATAAGCACGAGCAGCTGAAAGTTCCGGGAACGGGTGTCTGCAGTGCCAGCGGATGCAATGGACAGCATTCACACCAGGTGAGTTACGCTGAGGAAGTCCCAATCCCGATCGGGGAGGTGGGGATGATGGTTGTGCGGGTTTCTAGGATTACTCGGAGCGCTGAGCGTTTGGATATTCGCGAAGGAACTTATCTCTGTTTCGTTTTTGTTATGCTTCATTTTTAGAACCTACACCCCGATTTCTTTGTCAAGGTATTCAAAAATAACAAATTCTTCCAACTACTTATATACGAAACATACAAAAATATCTTTGCATTTTATTCGCTTTTTTCTATGCATCAATTCAAGTAACTATTCGACTCTTATTGAACAAAGTACACTCACTATTTCCTTTTTAATCCGTGCACAACCTTGCCCAAACCCCTCAACTATAGACTGAATAAACCTATTTAACATTTTCCGAGAATGACTCTGTTTAAAGATTTGATTGAAAATGCTTTTCTATCATTCAAACAAATTGTGGTCCGCTAAAGAATAATTTTAATGGAGGTTGCAGCTCAAAATTTACTGCCCAGAAGAATATTCTCTTAATGCATTTCTCCTGCAGAAGACCAGACCTTTTCGACTGTTACTTCTTATGATTTGCTTACTAAGATAGCACGTGCTAGTTACGCATTTGTTTTAGCATTTTTTCCGTAGGCTTATGGCACTAGTTTTGGGACATACTCTTTGGACTCGATCTCTGGCATTTCCTTTGTCGTTTCTGAAGAGTATGGTGTCTTCGGCATTCCGAAGTCAAATAGCGATTCCACCTAGACTTATCGAGCTCAGGATGCGCCATGCATATGAGAGCACCTCTAATTTATAACTCGTACTATCCACATTCCATAGATATACAGTCGAACTCTTCTAAGTTGTGCTGAGTTTAACTTTTTAAACTACTAAGAGTTGGAAAGTAAAATTAATTGATTTTTAAATACTCGTAAACTGTTTTTACTATTAAAGCTTGCAGTTAGAAGTTCACTTCTAGTAAATTTGAATTAAATTTAAATTATTTCCTCTCGTCATTCAGTTTAAAATCAGAATTTATTTATCAAAACATTATCGTATCGTGTAACCCGAATACCCTATCATTTAGTAGCTAGAGAAGTTCGACAGTATTCTTAATGCATTTAGCGGTTTTGGTTTTGAGCTTTGCTGTTCAGGTGGGCGCTTTTCCGAGATCTCACTGACGAATCGTTTCCTACTTTCACTTCGCTCTCGCCTGCTGTTCTTCTTCCTGCTCCTGCTCCTGCTACTGCCGCTCTTACTGTTCCTGCTTCCGATCTTTGGTTATTGGTTAACAGTGCTTGCCGCGCTGCGAGGGCTGCGGTCTGTTTGACCGCTGCTTCCAGTATCCGCGAAGGGAGCTGGAACGCGACTGCGGCTGCCAGTTTGCCCTGCTGCACAAGGCGGATGTGGAGAGCTAGCAACCAGCGCACCGCGAAGCCTCCTCGGCGGCCGTGAGTGCGGCATCCAGCCACGGACATGGTCACAGCCATGGCACTCCGGTGAACACCTATGTGCGCGGTCCCAGCGTCGATAATCAGTCGATTGTGGGCGCCAATGTGCTGGAGAATGTGGACAGCCTGGAGTGCATAGCCAATGGGGAGGACAACATCGAAGTAGAGGGAGATGATGCCCCGGACAAGGATCGGGAGGAACAACAGCTTCTGCAGAGAGAGAAAGAGCCCGTTCAACGAATATTGCCTCTTCAGGCGGCGGGCGCCATGAAGCAGCGTAAGTTCGCCCAACAGCGAGGAATTCTCAAGAATTCCCAGGAGCGCACCTTCGTCGAGGAGGACGAGGTGCTGGAGGCCAAGAAGCAGCTCATACTGCGTCGTCGCCGCCTCTTCAGCCACTATAGGCAGTACGACCAGTGGCGCAGACGGCAGTTCAGCTACGATCCCAGCTACTTTCGCCCGCCTCCGTTGCCGCCTCGAGCGCTGGGATGCGCTGATCACCACCTGGGAGCTATCACTGATGCAACATCGGCGGCATCTTCTGCCAGTGCCGGCCGAAGGAGGCGCCAGTACAGAAGGCAGTACTCATGCGCCGATCGGTCGCGGGAGGGATCACACGACAGTCGAGGCTCGTCGACCATGCAGCTCCAGCTGCAGAAGTACCACAGCATGGTGGCCAGCGACACCATCCACACCGAGTCATCTGTGCTCAACCACAGCAACTACAGCGAGCCGGCCAGCGTAAGTCAGCTAGCTAGTGTTGGGCGGAACGATCCGAACACAAAGTGGTTTACTTTGGCGAGGGGACAGCTTAATACTCATACGCAGTGTTGCCCTTCTGAAAAAATAATTATTAAACTTTCAGGCATTTTTGCCTTTACTTACGTTTAACCTTAACATTATTTTAATTAAAAAGCGAAAATAATGGCCTTAAGGAATCTTTTCTTAATTTATAGAATTTATTTTATGTGAGTTAATGAAAAGCTATAAAAACTTGCTTAATCAACAAATTTAAACTCACTTTAACTTTATTATTATGGATTTCTGTCAGTTTATTTTAATATTTATTTAAATCAATATTAATTTCATAAATTAATTAATTCAATGACAAACTTTTGTGTGAAACGTTCTGAATTGCATGATATGTTTGCAGCAAGCAATTATTAAATGCAATCATTACGATTTGTGGAGGTTCACCCAAATGTTATTAATTTTTTGAGAGTCATTTAACTTATTTACCCGTGTTTCATTGTTTGTTGTTTATGTTTTCTGACAGTCATTTAATTTATTTACCATTGGTTTCATTTTGTTTACCTTTTGTGATTGTCCAATTAAATCTGCTTTCAAGGTTTTCATCCAAAGTATTCCCGAATGAGTAAAAAAAAACGGAGAACAAGGGGTAATTCTGTGCCCCCGCCAAAGATTGAACCACTGACTTTGTCCACTGAAGTGAGCAGGGTGTTCCCAACACTGGCCCCCAGCACAAGCAGCTTGTGGTGCACGTGCACATGGTTTTGCTTGGAGTTCGTGTTCCCGTTCGAGTTCGATTTCGATTTCGATTTCGAGTTCCACTTCAGAATGCAGACCGGAGCACCAAATCGCACAAATCACCCATCAATATCAAAATCACCTTGTACAGAACTTGCAGCAACCTTCACTGGATGGAAATGGCCCGCACTCGCTCACTTCTCTATCACAGCAAAAATCACAAATCGCAATTCGCATCCGCTTGAGTCCCGGCTTCGTGTCTTGTCCTTTAGTAGTTTGTAGCCAGGTAGATTGTCCCTCGCTTGTCGCTTGTCGCTTGCTCCTGTTCTTGTTGTTCCAGTGGTGGGGGGTCCTTTATGCGGGCTTATGTGTTGTGCGTGTGAATCCCCTCGGAACTGTCCGCTCTACTGTCTCCTCTCTATCTCTTTCTATCTCTCTTCCATCTCTCTCTCTCTCTTGCTCTGCTCCTTTTGCGGAACGCAGTTCGACAGCAGTGAATGTGCCCACCCACCGTTGCACTGCAATAGCCGCGTAAGCAACTGGCCGGAGGATGCGGCAAAAGCCAGCATAGATCCTTACTGACATCCTTTCCATTGCAGCATATCCACATGTTGGCCGAGGAACACTCCACATCCATCTCAGAGCGCTGCACACGCAGCCGAATCAATTCGGCCATCTTTGTGTCCTCGGAGGGTCGAGGTTTCGATTCCATCGAGTTCCTGCGACGCCACGGATCCCAGAGTGTCCTCTGCAGGAAGGCCAAAAGTGCCGAGAACATCACGGACAACGGCAGAAGGGTTAGTTTTTTCATAAAACCATACACAAGTGAGTCTTCTTAATAATGAATTCCATTTTACAGAAGAGCCTGAGACCATGGCGAACCGACGATGAATCCTGCAAGCAGCAGCACTTGTCCCAGGACAGCAACGACATCGAGCTGAAGGAGTGCGGCGGCGCTGGAGGAGAACTACTCCGTCTGCCGGTCATCCACGATGGCAAGCAGTCGCCGACGGCCGTGACCAGTCTCCTGGCAAGATCGGCGGCGATAACCACGGCCAATATGATTGTCGGAAGCATTTCGCTGGAGGCACCGCCGCCGTACATGCAGGATGATGAGGGCGATACGTTGTCCACGGCGGCACTCATACATAGCGACGCTGCTGCCGTGGTCCACGAATCCCAGGACTCGGCGGAGACGGTGGAGGAGCTGGTCCATGTGCCGCTCCTGGCCAGTGCCACGGCAACGGCCAGCGTTTCGGCCTCCTCCTCGCCCAGCATTGCCATTGAGGCGAAACCGCGAGTCCTGGTGCACCAGCGATCCTCGACCGCCTCCTCGTCGCCGCACAGCAGCCCCAAGAACCTGGGAAACCTGGGACTCAAGATCGTCAAGCCCAAGATCAGTGCGGTGCCAATGGTTTCGGTCTCAGGTCCCTCGCCGCCCATTGAAAAGCCACCACTGGCCGAGTGCTTGTAACAAATGGCAGCCGAAACATTTATCTAAGCTCGCGCTCAAGGCAACTGGAACCTGGATCCTGGACAGCCCTCAGAAACCCATGAAGTCCCCTCAGACAAAACCCCCAATCCAAATCCTACTTAAATAATCTAAGACGAGATAGTTGAGATGGAGAAAGTATGCCAGCTGCTCAAATAAGTGTTTCGGTGGGAGGCTTTAAAACGTGGAATGCGAAAAGTTAAGTGCAAGTGCAAACGTGACGTAGTTATAGGATAGAAACAAAAGGATAACGTACCAGTGGTCATCACCAGGCAAAGAAAGCTTTGTATATTCAACAACGACTGAAGTATACACATACATGTACATTAGAAACGAAAACAATGGTAACCCGTATAACTTTTTAAGTCGATTATTGTGTATGTGTGTATGCATACCTATTAACTGATAAATCAGCTTTAATAACAAACAAGTAACCTATCAGGCTTTAATATTACGACGATGATGAATTTCTGGTTTAACCTAGTCTGTAGACTCACCTAGCTGTTGAAACGAGTAAATCAATTCTCTTTAATTGTTCTCCTATACATATAGCCAAAAAACCAACCACTTGGGCACCACAACTGTTATACACGCGATCTATATAGATTTACTAAATATATACATATATATATATTTATACACCCAGTAAAATTTCGTGTGTGCGTCCCAGAGTCCTGCAAGGATCAAAGTGGTTTTCTTTTACCAATTCATGTGCTATGTTTCTAACTATGAAAATATGACACGGATAAAGTGTGTGTCGAAACTGACAAGTACATTGACCCTTGCAGGCTTCTACTACGTACCTTAGAGGTATTCGGACACCCGCTATACACTTAGCTCTTAGCTTTAAGATGATGAAATCACATAGTCCAAATGTTACTTGCTAACATATCAAATACTCTACTGTACCCACGACCAAAACGAAACTTTTGAAACTGTAAACTAGTCCATAATTAGCTGTAAGCATCGTATAAAGAACTAGTAACTAGGCGTAGTATTTTGTCAAGTAAGTGCCCTGGATGACTTCTGAGTGTTTTTAAAACCAGATTCTTACATGTATTCCGTTTAGATGTTTCTGTAGCTCGAACTTTACCCTATACAGCAGAGTGTATCTGACGTTAAGTGAACATATATTGATGGATTTATAGAAATATATAGAGGAACGTTACTATAGGAATCTCCAGCTAGCACCAAAAACCCATTTGCTCCTGCTCACTGATTTAGGTAGTCTCTATACATTTTAGTTATGATACTTCAAATTTTATCTATCCACCCAAGCGTTAGACACTTGAAATCTATCTTGAATCCTATCCAATTCGTTTCAATATTGAAATACAACAAATGTAAATACACATCGCACTTGTACCTACATCAACTGAGATATTCTTCAGTGAAACACAAACGTTGTTATTAAGGAATTGTCAATTTATGGTCCAAAGCTACAATAAATAGAACATCATTTGGATGAGTCGGCAGTAAGCTTAACTAAGTTCTAGTTTACGTTCAATTCGCTAACACAAAACAAAAGTAAAACTGTGTGAATGTGTATTTTTGAAATCAAATAAACGAATTACATAAATGTACTCTTTTCATACAGAGTTTTTCGAGATCTTCTCGAAGATTACGCAGTGATTTCCTTGGTCGTAGTAGCTTTTGATTAATTGCACCTCTGACAGCTGGGACACCAGGTTCTCCAGTTCCTCCTCCTCGAAGACGTGGTAGTAGCGCAGATAAGTGGTATTGTGCTCATCCTTGGTTTTCCATGGCACCAGTACGTCCTGCTGCTGGAACTCTGTGCGATTGGTATGTACAGGAAGTGGGGTATTATTGGGCAATTGTTGCTCCAATTCCTGATGTTGCTTCTGACGTTGTTGCTGCTCCGTGGTACGTTCTTTATTTACTGCCTTATTTTGGCGCAGATAGGCGGACTTTTTATCATTCTTTCTCTGGTCTTTGGCCCAAACATAAACCAAAGCTCGCCCTCCAGGTCGGAGAACACGTGCCATCTCCATAAGAGCGACCAAACGTCGCTCCGTTGTAGCTAGGTGATGAATGACTGCTATACTGATGCAGCCATCAATGCTAGAAGAGCGCACTGGCACATTGAGACAGTCACATCGAAAGACATTCTGTCCCTTTCGACGACCGACGGATAGTAATCCTTGCGCCCGGTCACAACCTATGGCGAGCAGATTGGTATTGCAGCCCAGATACTTGCCATTGCCGCAACCAATGTCCAGCACTACAGATTGGGCATCAAAGGAATCCAAAAATTCGGCGACTTGTGGCCAGGGTGTGTGTCGTGTTTCGCTAAAGTGGTCTGCAATTTTATCGTATACCTCATGGACATTCTGTTGCTCCAGAGTTACAGCCTGAGCAGCCAACGAGGCCGTTATCTCCTGTGGTACCTTGGTTTGTCGTGTATCGCAGAGTGTAGGATACGAGCAGTCGCAGGGCCCTTTTCGGAGGCGTCGAAATGTCAAAGAAGTCCTTTTGCCGCGAGTTTGTGTGGTTAAACCTCCGAATCCACTGGGCACCACATCGATGTGCTTCGGCCTGATTCCATGCGTCCAATCGTAGCGAGCCTCACCTGACATAATCAACAAAGATCGTCGCGGCAATCTGACCTGAACTTGCTCGTCTCCTCGACGAAAGTCCATCACCACGTCGGATTGCAGGGAGAGCGAAAGAATGGGATCAAAAAATGCACTATGTGTGTCTACATGGGGAGGTATTCCGTGCCCGGGCTCATACTCATTCACTGTCAGCTGGTCAGGTGTGTTCCAATCCCAACTAGATGCAGAGTCTTTCAGGCGCGGCCACAGAATATCACAGGCTGATGGTATCGACTGTTCCAGAGGCTTTGACGAATCCACATTATTGGTGCCGTATAGAAACTCATAGCCAAAGTGCTTGACTTTTCGATGCTTCAGAGTGCCCGTGGCTTCGGATGTTCTCCCATCATCGGAAATTGCCTTAAGCAAAGTTGATTCCTCCTCTTCGCTGACAAAGTCAGAAATCACTAGAAGCCCACTGGGAAGAGGTTTGTCCCAATTATTTTTTTCTGCAACAGCCGGTAATTCCTTTACATAACTCAAGTATGCCACTGCTCCCTGTTGTCCTATGGTGGATATATTGTGCATACCCAAGTAAATGAGTTGGGAGTCCTCCAGGCTGGCACATACCAAAAAGCAATACGATTTTCCCGGCATCATGACCACTTGAGCAACACTTCCACCGGTCGCAGCCGCCGCTTGAAGCAAGCACTCCTCGGTAAGTCCATTGCTGAGTCCCACGTTGAGAATCGCCAGGTATAGGGTGGGATCATCGCTTGAGGACACCTGGCAGTCGCTTTTCATTATCGCAAGACATCTCCGTTGCTTTTTATTCGCCTTTTTGGCATTGTTTACCTTTTGCTGTTTCTCTTCAACGTGCATTTTAAGGCAAGTGTGTACACATCACAACAAATATTTTATAGGCTCTGTAAGACGAATAGTAAATACCCTTTCATATCACTAGTTTGGTTCACTAAAAGTATGTACAGAAAATTATCTATGAAACCAAAAATAATGAAATTAAAAAATCCATAAAGTGTGTCCTGATGTCTAAAGTTAATTCTCAAGCAAAATCATATTTTTTAACGATTTTTAGGGCAAGTGCTAATGCGAATGCCAATATTTTTATTATACACTTTATAATCCTAATACCTACATACACTAGTTGAAAGTGAGAAACTTATAGTACATATATGGGTGCGTGCACCTCTGGCAGTCTACCAGACCCGGTCAATCATACTGTTGTCCTGGGGCTTCTGGTTCATTGTTGTCAATTGCTGGTGATAGTTGCGCATCTGATTGCTACGGCGTGGCTGCGCCAGATACTCGAACATGCTCTGCAAGTGTTGAGACAACATCTTGCTTAAATCGCTGGGCATGGGATCCGTCCAAAAGAAGTCGTGGTTGAGAGCTGTGTCCGCATCGATGCGTTTCTTTGGGTCTAGAGTAAGCAGCTTGTCTAGCAGATCACAGCCGGTGGGATCCTTGACATATGGACGCAGTCGTTCCTTGACGCGACGCTTCTGGTTCTTCGGTAGCTCAATGGATTTATACAGTTCCAACTCCTCCACTCCAGGCCACACGTCCGGCGTAAATGAACCGCACAGCTGCGAGATGAAAGTCAGCTGCTGCTGCTCTGTGTTTCCTTGCATAATGGGCGAGCGGGTCCACATCTCTGCCATAATGCAGCCGGCTCCCCACATGTCCACAGGCGGACCGTAATTCCGGTCGCCGAGCAGTAGCTCTGGAGGTCGGTACCAGAGAGTCACCACGCGATTGGTATACCGGTTCTTGATCTCATTCTTTGGAATGCTAAAGGCACGGGCCAAGCCAAAATCCGCCAGTTTGAGAATACCATGCTTAGTTATCAGCACATTGGCAGCCTTCATGTCTCGATGCAGGATCTAGAAATGGGAGGGAAATTGCATATAATACAAAACATATCATTTGTGCTATGACTTACCTTGTTGCTGTGGATGTAGTACAATCCATTAAGCAGCTGCTGCATAACCTTTTTGATTTCACCAAGACTGAATTTCACATTCATGTTGGATAGAAGGCCGGCCAAATCGTGCTCACAGAAATCAAAGACCAAATAAAATGTGGATCTGTAACCATTTGTGGCGGTGGCCTTAGTGCGGCAGATCTCGATCAGATTTACCACGTTCTCGTGTTTCAACAGCTGCAGGATGCGGATTTCTCGAAGCGCCGTGATAGGAAACTAGAAGAACATACATAAGATAGGAATTTATCTCTAAAAAAGTTTTATTTTACATACGCCCTCCTTTTCGTTGTCCATCAGCACCTTCTTCATGGCCACAAACTTTTTGTTTCCCTTCTTCTCACGAGCCTTGAAAACCTCACTGCAAACGAAGAAGGTTGAATTTGAAATTGGAACTTTCTAATATGGGTTGTGGAGACTGACCCGAATGTGCCCTGGCCAATTTTCGCCACCTTTTCGTATTTATTGCTCTCGTCGCAGTATGGAAAGTCGTAATCCTCGATGTACTTTTGTTTCTCCATCAACGACATCGTGCGCGATGAGCTGGAGCCCACGTTGGATGGCGTTGACGTCGATGGCTGCTGGAGCATGTGAGACATGTGAGCCATAGTGTAAAATCACTCTATAAATACAAAATTCGAAATTCCAGATCCGAAACAAGCCGACAGACAAAATGAGAAGAAATCAGCAACAATTGGTGTTGTTACAGCTGTTAGAGATAAAACAACACTGTGTGTACACACTTCAGTAGTATATCGATAGCAAAATCGATAGTTCAAAAACAGCTGTGCAATCAATATTTTTTTCTTGGTACACACTGGCCCAGTGATATAACCTAGCGACACTTCGGCCACAATACAAAACTTTATTTAATGAATAAACTTTTGAATATAGCGCAGGCAGGGCCGCGCCAGTTTGTCCGGGAATATGCCTTTAAGTCAGATTTGAAAATCAAATGGGTGCGCCCCGAGAAGATCGCGTGCTTCAAGCCAGAGAAAAGTGGAGATCTTGGGAAGCTGCCCCCTCTTAATGCCGATGAATTGCTGCCGGACTACAGGGACTGCAAGGAGCTGGAGAAGTAAGTTACAGAAACTAAAAATAAATATAAAAAGTATTTAATAAAAAATATTTTTGTATGATTTCTGTAGAGCCGACGAGTTGGTTAAATCGCAGTTTAAGCTGACCAACAATCCCAGTTACCTGACCACAAAATTTTATCGCAATGAGCTTGTAAAGGAGGTGCAAAGGCATGCCCAGGATTACGGGTCTATGGAGGCCAAGTGTATGTAATTTTACAGAGTGCAAATACATCAACATCACTTTTAATTACTTTTGTTTTTAGTGGCAAAAATGACCGCTGTGATCCGCCGTTACCAGGTGCACATGGATACTCATCCGCGCGACAAGATGATAAAGGTGCGACTCAAGGAACTGATTGACAAGCGCAAGAAGTTTCTTAAATTCCTGAGACGCTGGGACTATCCCCGCTTCGAATGGATTCTCGAGAGGCTCGAACTGGTGTATAAGCCACCGCCCGCACATTTCCACTGGATCACCCGCAAGGAGTCCCTGCAAAAATTGACCGACACTTATTGTGAGAACTTAAAGGAAGAGCGCCTGGAAGCCTACCACAAGCATTTACAGGCCCAGCAAATTCCCTTCCTCGAGGAAGCCATCAAGAAGATGCAGTTCATACGACAGGAGCAGATATCCTGCGACGTACCCGTAACCGTGACCGAAGAGCAGATCGCCGACTCAGAAAGGCAACTGAAACAGCTTAAGGAACTGCAGCAAGCGGAGATAGACGCCAACAACCAGAAACAAAACAAGGATAGCTTCAATTAGGCCCGATTATTTAATCTTACGGTGTCTTACAATAAATGTAAATGCTGATGTTCTTAAATAATATGTTTTATTATACTTTTACAGTAGACTGGACATCGTACCATATGTCATGATCATCTGAGCGCAGACTGGCAAATAAATAATCAGGCAGTAAAAATTGCCTTGTATAAATGTGTAAAAACAGATGAAATTAGAAAGAAGATCCTAAAGGGTACGGTTTGCAGTTAGCGTCTACCGGGCGATCCGGTTTTCCGCTTACCGCCGCTACTGGAGCTACTTGAGCTGCTCGAAGAAGTGTCGCTAGAGCTGGACGAACTAGATGACGACGAGGAGGTCACGGAAGAGGTGGAGTCGCGAGAGGTACGCTTGCGCTCCTTGTCGCCATTTCCTGTGGCCTCTTTGCTCTTAACATCCGTAGAAGTGACCTCGTCGTCACCCCATAGATCGTACTTTGACAAATCCTCGTCATCTCCCTCGTCTTCGTCTTCATCCTCTTCCTCATCGTTTCTCTCATCTCGACTTGTCTTCCTGGCGCGCTTGAAATCATCTCGATGCTCGCTATGCTTCCGCTTTTTACGGCGCCCGAACTCATCGTACTCGCTATCAGAGTCCTGACGATCCTTATACTCCACCACACCGCGATCGTTGTAACCACCGCCGAATCCTGTAAATACTGGTTAAGAAGATATACTAAACATGTGGCTGCTGTGGACTCACCAGTCCGCTCTTCTACATCCGAGAACTTGGGAGCGTTGCACATGTTGCAGGTCTGGCGACGGGCCCAGTTTACATTGGCACACTTGCTGCACTGCCAGTCCTCGGCGCTAAACAAACCCCGCGACTTGTCGGCCGCCGCCTTGCCGATCTCAGTACCCAGCTTCTTCTTGCTGGAGCTGCTGCTACTGCTACTGCTTCCGTTGCCACGATCTCGGTCTCTATCCCGCTCCGGCTTATCACTGCCATCGCGGTCGCGGTCGCATTTGTTGCACTGCAAACGACGGGCGAAATTCAGATGCCGACAGCTGCAAAATCGTGGGAAAGGTGAGATTCGCAGGACTCTTCCACCAATTCGACTGATCCGCGCTTTGGCGGCAATCCCTGCATCATTACGGGCACTCACTCGTAATCTGGGCAAATCCAATCCCCGGGCGACGCGACGCTTCCGCCGCCGCTGCTTCCAGGGCCCCCTGATGCCACGCCTCCGTTCGAACTAGACATGCCTGGGTCTTGGCAGAGACCTCCCCCAAAAGTTATAGCTACTGGGCGTCCAAGTAAAACTCGACAGGTTTAAAGAGCAGCATCTAACCAAAATTTTTTTTACCAATATAATATTCTGTATACGGTACGTATTAGAGCTGTCAAAACATCGATTGCACCATCGATAGTCTAGTTCTAGCCGGCACTATCGATTATTTTTAGATTACAACGATAAAATGAATTTAAAATTTAATTTAGAAAAATTCACTTGGAGAAACTTAAAATTACGCACTGAATAGAAGTAATGATACTTTCAAATAAAAATTCAAAATAGTGATTACATCGTAAAAATACTAATTTAAAATTTTTAAATAGCCTAGAACTACTTAAAATTTACACATTTATGTACGGTTCAAAGATTTTATAGATCACTTAAGTTAATATAACAAAGGTTATAGAAGATATAAAATAGACACAAAAAAAACTAAAACTACATAAAAACTTATATTATGATTTTACAAATCAGAATTCCACTTAACACATGCACTCTCCCCAAACAATTAACGACACGGAGTTTTATACTTTTAGAGTTTTATTTCCTTAGTTTACAAACAAAAGCCGCTCCAAAAGTAAACACTGATTTTGTTTTGTCGTTTGTTGGATGGTTGATAAAGAAGTTTGACTAACGCATAACCAGCAGCTTTTGGGAATAGTCGGAAAAACCGACAGACGTCCTATTTTAGGCTTACTTCTTGCCAGTGCCGATCTTGGCCTTGGCAGTGCCGCGCACCTTCTTCATCCTGTTGCGACGCTCCTTGCGCTGCTTGCGGGTCTGCTTCTTCTGCTCGAAGAGACCGTGGCGGGCCAGACGGTACTTGGGTTCGAACTTCTTGGCGAAGTCCAGAGTGTCGTAGATGAGGGCAAAGCCAGTGGAGCGGCCGCCACCGAAGTTGGTGCGGAATCCGAAGGCGAAGACCACATCGGGGGTGACCTTGTACATGGCGGCGAGCTTCTCGCGGATCTCGGTCTTGTTCACAGACGACAATCCCGGGTGCAGGACATCGCAGACCATCTGTTTCCTGGCAAGCAGGCGGTTGGTCATGAACTTGCGGGTGCGGATGGTGGCGGTTGTACCGGACATTTTGACGGAGCTGTAATAAGATTGTCAAAGATTAAACTAAGTCTTTCATTCACACTTCATTCTCGAAACTGTATTGTTTTTGTCCCCTCCGAGCGGGACAACATAACCTCATTGGCTATGGGTGCTCCATGTCTCCACGTGTGACACGTTTCTGAGTTTCTACGACATCCAAGGACGCAACTTCCAATCACTGCGCATCGGGCACTAAGCTGTCAACCTTTTTCTGCATATTTAACTAGTTTTATGGACTAATTACCTTTTAAAACACTTGAAAAGGTTTTAAACACGTCGTTTTGCGAACGCGATTTATTAGAAAGGAAGATGGCCGTGTCTTAGAGATGGAACAAAAATCGATGCTTACTCGATACTATCGATATTTGAAATATGGCAACACCGATGTTTTTATTGGTAAAATGTTGCATTACCGCTGCAATAAACTAGATTTAATTCACAATAAACTTAGGGATTTACGTTTATTACAGGAATTCTAATTTAAAATAGTGATTAAGTGATCTAGGTGATCTGTAACCCCAAGAAATAATAGTTTAAATGGCTCACTTTTATTTTCATTTATGTCGAAATATGTATTTATTTCAGAGATTTGATGCCAAAATAAAAAGATTCTGTCAAGTCTTGTTCTATCATAAAGCCAGCGCAAGACAAAACTATCACAAATTTCCATTCCCAATGACGTTACTTCAGTGAACGTAGCCGTAGCACAGACTCAAACCAAGATGGCAACATTAAGCTGTTTTTTGGCGCCAGGTTAGGTTTGATTATGTTATTAAAATCAGGAAAATCAATATAAATAATGTCCTATATTAGTTGAATGAAATTAATAATCATAGAATTACCTTTTTTTTCCCAATTTTAAATTAATTTTTATGAAAATTGAGTTCCAAATCACAAACTTTACTTTTAATAATTTAATCAATAGCCTTTCTAGTTCATTTCCAAGAGTAACTAAACAAAAACATTTACTGTAATTATGGCTAAACCAGTTGTCTAAATGTAAAATACATAAATGCAGTGACATATCTAAAAACAAAATCATTAAGACTTGAAATTGACAGTAATTTATTTGTTGTATGTTTATTTTTTTTAGAAACTTTCTGCTGTTTCAGCTTTTACTTCATTGATATTTTTGGGGCATGCAGATTCATAGCACCAAAAACTGCTTTAGTTGCACTTCCTACACACATAAACTTAATTAACTTTGGTCAACTTGGAGCCGTTCTTCTTATTCCAAACATAAATGCTAGCATAGCTCAGGGCTGCCAGCAAGGTTACCACAAGAGTTGCAATTCCAGCGTAGAACACGAAGAGGTCAAATAAGTGCAATTGGCAGGAGGAGATGCCAATGCCACGGGTCCTCAAGGCGGATCCTCCTTTGTGTCGGGCGACGTAGTTCACCCAGAAAAGAGCACTGGCCAGAGCGCCAAGTGGACGATCTCTGAACTCTTGAGACACATCCCGGATCGTCAACTGGAAGTGTGTCTCCAGAAGCAACCTGTCAACTGCCCAGTTAAGGGAGTTAGTAGTAACATTACCCTCTTCTAGCTGCAGGCCCACTCCCAACCGGACGGCTAACTCCACATTTCGCCTTTCGTGTTGGAAAAGAGGCAATCCCAAAATGGGAACATTCCTCATTATGCCTTCTTGCAGATTCAGAAGGTCTCCATTGGTAAGGAATAACTTAACCCTCGGATGTGCCAGGATATCAATCTGCGGCACTGCATGCTGGATCATTACATTCTTGGGCAAACCTTCCAGAGTTTTGACATCGTGACAGGTCCAGATCACGTTTTGCTTTCTGCTGGAGAAGAAGGCAAATAAAGTATCCAGTTTGTCCTTGGGTAACTGGCCACAAGGCTGTTCATTTCCCAGCTGCACGTAGATGACCCCAGGGCGCGCCTCCTCCAGGAATCGCTTAACATTCCAGGGTAGCTCCTTTGGCCCGCGGATATGCAAACCTCCAGCGGAAACAATTTGCTGGATACTTACTTTAGGAGTAATTAGAGGTACATGACTATTAAGCAAGAGAACAGATAGCTGGCTGGACTGCAGTTCAGAGATCGATTGTTGCAGCTTAAAGTACTTGGCTACGAGTTGTTCCTGACCGCCGTAGTGATCATTGATAAAACGCTTCCTGCGAGTAATACACTCCCGGATATTGCCGAGTCGCTCTGTGAAGCCCAACTGGGGCAAATCCCTCTCAAAGTCAATGGGGGAACAGGCGGCAGGAACCAGTGCCTCTTGTACTGCATCCATGTAGTTACCAAAATCCGTAGATATTATTCCAACGACAGGACGTTGATGAAGAGCTCCCAATGCCAACAGAGCCTCCGTGTAAAAATAGTCTATTAGGATGACATCAAAATCGAACTCAAGGTAGGACATCTTTATCAGTTTCTGGATAGGTTCTTGGGCAAGGAAGTGATCTAGAGCACGGGCTCCAACGCTGGCCAATGACTGGCGAAGACTCTCAATTGGTAGACGACCAAGATCAGCGAGATTTCCTTTGGGTGCAGCCAGTTTTTGTACTGAGGAATATAGTAAAGTAACAAAATCCGCATTTCTTATCCCATTTGTACTTACACTCGCTCCAAAAGGGATATTCCGCTGTCACCGTTTCCGTGACATTATCCAGGGCTTCCCCCAAGCCATGACCCGTATAGACTTCAACCTATTGGAAGTAACCTTGTAGTGATATCCACCAAATAAACAAGATTATTACATACTATGTGCTCTCGGCTGACCAATTCCGTGACCAGAGTCCTCATTACAGCAAAGTGACCCTCGTTGGCATGGGGAAATAGCACTAGTATTTTGGCTGCCTGGGAAATAGGACCCAAAACTAGACCAAAAAGAGCCCAAAAAATCCAACATTGGGATTTCTATGAAATGAAATTCACATTAATCTAGGTCATTTCCGAAAGTACACATCATCGAATAAAAGATGGTCTTTCGATTTCTTATCAGTCAGGCTATATATAGAGGTGACACCTCTGGAGTTTTTCGCATATGTTTACTAACCATATTCCGTATTTTAAAGATCAGCCAGGGATTGAAATTAAGTTCCGGCCGTATTTAAGTTGCATTCGCTTGGAACACTCTTCCGGTTATATTGAGTAAACGAATCAGACTGAACTTATCTCTCCTTGCGCCTTTGACTCCCCACAAAAATAAAACACTCAACTGATTGCTCTCGGGAATATAATCTTTGAAATACTTCCAGAACTTCTGTGGTCACTGGAACATGTGTGGCACATGAGATTGCCACCGGACCCCAATACATATGCCTTGTATATAGATCCTATTGCTTTCATTAACGTATACAGAGAGATCTCGGAAAGGGGTACCAACTGCACATTCGTTCATATATGACTATGTATACAATTCCCCCCAGTTGAGCGATATGAGATCGTCTCTTGAGTTTATTGTTTCTCTTGCTCTAAAAGAAAAGAGTGAGGGGAGTGAGGAGCTACAATTTGTTCACATATGCATAATTGTACAATGTTCTTATGTTTGAGTGCATTTGCTAATTGTTACACTTGCAAGCTCATCATTTTCTGACAAAAGCTCTAAATATATTTTCCCTAGTTCCCGGTTACAAAGGAGCTGATTTCAGGTAATCAATTAATAGGACTCATTGATGGAAAACAAATGTTTTGTACTCTAAAACTGAGAAACTGAGGTTTTTAATCTTAGTTTTCGAAACTATAAAGTTATAATATTAACGTCAACTTAAGCCAAACTTCTAAGGTTGAAGTTCAATTGGAAGAAATGAAAGTTAAAAATGCTTAGCGATATTCAATATTTGACCTAGTTAACGCAGCGAAAAGTATTTTATTTCCTCAGAAACCTTCTTACACCTGTTCATTCAATCATAACCAATTAGCTCGCAGCAGCTCCAAACAAACTGAATAAATATATTTATTTACGTATGCGCCTGTGTGTGTACTTTAAATTGTCGCAAGTGTGTAAATCAGAAATGTGTGACGAGCAGAAAGATGTTTATCAACAACAAAGGGTACTTTATGAACAATCTAAATCGAGAACGTCAGAACATACAAAAGCAAACAAATTGGCAAAGATGGCAGAAACCGGTTGCCGCTAAGGGAAGTCGCCAAAAGAAAGCAATGGAAGGGGTTCCAAAACCGGTTCATTGAACCTGAACACCACCGGCATTATGGTATAGACACACAAAAGAGCTGAAAAGAATGATTCCATCTCCATTATCACACACAATTTTCTTTATTTATGCCATTTCTGTTTTTAGTTGAGCACAGTTACTTGCTTACGGAACAAAATGTAAATAAACATGGCGAGCTATGGTAAATGCAAATGTCTGGAAAAATCGATTATGCGTTTATGCTTAAATCAAATCGGTTATGTTTGCTGATGAATGATATTGCTTTAAACTCCAGTTTAGTCGGTGGCATCGGCCTTGGCGACGGAGAAGGCCTCCGCGACGGGGATGCTGCCGCTGTTGGCAATGACCACATCCTTAACGGGACGATCGCGGGCATCGGTGGCAGAGTTCTCGATCTGGCGCACCACATTCATGCCGGACAAGATCTTTCCGAATACAACATGGCGTCCATCCAACCAGCTGGTCTGCTTGGTGGTGATAAAGAACTGAGATCCGTTGGTGTCCTTACCAGCGTTGGCCATGCTCAACCAACCGGCGCCATAGTGCTTCAGCTTGAAGTTCTCGTCCTCGAAGCGCTCGCCGTAGATGGAGCGTCCTCCGGTTCCATCACCCTTGGTGAAGTCTCCACCCTGGATCATGAAGTCCTTAATGATACGGTGGAATTTGCTGCCCTTGTAGCTGCATAAAAAATGTAGTAAGATAAAAGTATTAAATTGTGCTATGAATATAAAAAAAATGTATACTTAAAAAACACTACTAGTACGAGTTACTGATAAAAACTAATATCAAAATAATATAAAATAGTAAATATCGTTTTGAGCTTCTCATTTACTTTTATGTGTGAGATTGCAGATAGTCTTTAGTTTAGAGAGCGTTCTTTGTTAACCCATTAGCCATAACTATTCGCAAGATTTGCTTTGTCAATTTGATTGGTCGCTTAAACGCCACGTAATTGTTCCAATCTGAGAGCTCCCGCTATAACCTACAAAGACTTATATTGGTGTGCGAGTGCCGTTAATCAGCGGCATCTTCCGCTAGCGTAGCAATACCCGGTACCCTACTTTTATATTTAGATTTTGGTCCTTAGCCGCCCAACTAGTACTCACCCTTCGCCCTGGGGCTTCTGTGCCAGCTCCTTGAAGTTCTCCACCGTCTTCGGAACGGTCTTGCCGAACAGACCGATTTCGATGCGACCGGCGGGCTCACCGCCAATGGTGATGTCAAAGAAAACCTACGCAATCAGAATTGGTTTATTATTAACAAATCATCTCACTTAATTTATGGCGCAGCGGATGTGTACATAGTACAGGTATATTAATTCTGAGAAAAGCAACAGGACACATAATAATAGAGCACCTACCTTCTCAGTCACTTTGGGTCCCTTGCTGTCATCGGCAACGACGATGCCGGCCACCAGGGCCACTACGAAAACGGATAAAAACAACTTCATGGTTCCAGAAATTCCAAGCGATTGAAATATTAGTTTCGGTGGCAGAGCTGCGCAGCCAGAAAATATGACCAGTCGATGGAGAGCCACAAAATCTGTCCTCTTTTGGATTTTAGATTCAACAACTGACGGTTACACTATTTTTATAGTTGTTATATTTGTTTACTTGTCATATTTAGCGTTGACTTAAACCAAAAACTTTTTAGTTCATTTTTTAAATTTTATTTCCCATCCTCGAACGTAAGATTTAATATTAGAAAATGTGTATTAGGAACAACGAAATATGAAGTTAATTCATTTAATTTCCATCCCATGAAAATTTTATTGTTTGATTTGTTATTGAGATTTAATTACAAATTTGGTGGCCGATCGGGGTTAAGGTTCAAGCTAATTTCGCAAACATAATAGTTTTTAGCAAAGCAGCTAACCTCGGTTATAAAATGACCATATTGCGATGCCAATTCAAGACATAGGTTGTCCGGCTTAAATATATTTGAGATTTCAGGTCGGATGTCCGTCCAATAGTTTTCGTTTTTCAGCAAATGTTCTTTTAAAGTACTCCACTCCTCTACATTATGAAGACTAACCAGACTTGCGCCCATGTTTTCGCATTTCTCCCTTGCGTTCAACCAGTCTAGCCTTTCCTTGTTCTCAATGTGAAAATATCTCGTACCAATCTTTTTAAAATTTCCTTGTGAAGAGTATTGCGCTTCATCTGTATTTAAGTGCAGTTCCAATTCATCATTTGACCGATTATCATCTTCAGGCCCACTCTCACCAGAAAATATGTTTCGTTTTAACCGTTCGCTATAATTATCCACATATTTCTTCCATTTGTTAATTAGTATTCTTTCTTGCTCTATTCGAAAAGCTATCGTACTCTCACTAATATTCGATTCGGAGTTATTCGCCTCCAAGACCTGTCAATATATATAAAATAAGTGTAAGGATTTTGTAGTGTTTTATTAATAGAAGTACCCCAAACATACCGAAAACGAGAGGCTACTTTGGCAAACGACTCCAATAATCAAGAGCCCTACAAGGAGTTGCATGTTGTCTGTTATACTGACAGCTCAGACTAATTATGTTCATTTATATACACAGTCCTTGATGTATTTTTTTTATAAGATAAGCTATTCTTAGAAAAATCTTGTGTAATGAAAGAAATGTATTTTACTATCAATATAACACTTAACAACAAATATGTATTTTCCAACCAGATTAACTCGCTACTCGGTAATTGAAAGTTTTAATTATTCACAATTATACCAGGAAAAAACGCCATTACGCTACTCGGCAATTGAAAGTTTTAATTATTCACAATTATACCAGGAAAAAACGTCATATAAAATGTTATCATTATCGGAACAAACTATTTAGAAATGTTTAGACTATAAATTTCCTAATATTAGTTAGTTGCTAACTATTTAGTAATCATTATTAAGATTTAATTTAGATACAAAATTACTAAATTTCCAGGGACCACCTAAAATTAAACGTCTTATAATCATAGAAAGTAACGGAATCATATTCTGTATAACAATATACGTATTTTTATATCCATCTGTCCTATCTGTCCATATGAACGCTGAAATCACAGGAACTATACGAGATACACATTTGGCACAAAGCCTGCAGATTCTTGAGGTGCTACGCAGCGCAAGTTTATTTCAGCGTCTTGCGGCGCGCACTCTAACGCCCACAAAGCACGAAAAACTAAATAAATCGCAATAAATCTCTTTTCTTACATTTTTAAATTTAATCGATCCTATGAAAGTTTTTTTTTTGGATATGTGATTAAGATTATATTACAAATTTGGTGGACGATCGTGGTTAACTAGTTTTTAGCAAAGCAGCCTCGTTCATAACATTACCACATTGCGATTCCAATTCAAGATATAGGTTGTCCGATTTTAATATATTTGAGATTTTCAGCAAATATACCTTTTGTTCCATTTTTTTGCATTTCTTCCTTGCGTTTAACCAGTCTACCTTTTCGTTGTCGGTAGCATTCAACAATCTCATATTTATCGTTATATTTATCAACATATTCTTTCCATGATTTAAGCTGAATTGTTTCGTTTCCTATTTGAAAAGAAAAAGTTCTCCCATCATCAGACTGGCTCACCAAGTCCTGGAAATATATATTAAATAAGGCCAAGGATTTTGTAGTGTTTCAGTAAAATAAGTACCCCAAACCTACCGAAAACGAGAGGCTACTTTGGCAAATGACTCCAATAATAAGGAGCACTACAAGGGGTTGCATATTGACTGTTATACTGACAACTCAAACGTATTATGTTCATTTATATACGTATTCTTTCTTGTAATCTTTTATAAGATCATGTATTCCTCGAAAAATCTGGTGTTATGAAAGGAATTTAAATGTATATTTATTTCTCTTAACTATAAAAATGTATTTTTCCTCGCTAATCGAAAGTAGTAATTATTTGCAATTATTCCAGGAAACAACGCGGAATACCATATAATTTCGAAAACTTTAGACTTAGAAAGTTAGGATGAGGCATACGTGTTGGATTTTAATCTGGCCCCGACCATTCTAACGCCTACAAACCGCGATTTATCTAAAATGTTTTAAATTGGATTGTTTCACAATTTATTAAGATATGTATGATATGAAGCCTCAATGGGTAGTGACGTCAACGCCATTAATAAGCCAAGCTTTTTTCTGACAAAAGGTGGCGCTGGTTGTAGTATTTACTGCATTTCTTCTAGCAAAATGATTATTATAGCGATTATCGGAAATATAGCGTCTCTTCTTGTTCTACTTCTATATACATGCATAATTGCAGCAACTGATTGCAGTTCCCTTTATGTGAAGTGACTAATCCTAATCACATTTGACTTGTTTGAATGCATCAAAGGTTTTTCCGCTAATAATAAGAATGCATATTATGTTTAAATAGAAATACATAGTCTTATTATATACTCAGCTGTATAAATATAATGACCCCAACAGACTATAAAAACTCAATCCAGATGGGTTTCAAGCATAGTCAACATAGTCCATTGGTGCGCTATACTAGTAACGGGATGCGATATATAATTGTTTTAATTATTTTTGGAATTGCTTGTCAAAGAAGTTTTGCAAGGATTGCGGTAAGTACTCCTCCTAACCTTACAAGGAATAGTTCTTATTTTTTCCTTTGTATTATCAGCAATGGAAGATGCCTAGCGAAGGAATTCCTCCGACTCCTAATATTCTAGACAGTCTGGAAGATAACATAAAACCTACACCTTACATAGGCCCAGGAAGGATGAACTCAAATTTTTTTAAACAAAAAATGATTTCAGACTTTCTTTGCGAACTAACTCCTAATTGTGACGATCTGCTCAGGCAAATACGTCAGCCATCTACTAAAACGGAGCTTGATGAAAGTTTTCTAGATTCTGATGAATCAGTTGGACGTTTTGATTACGATTTCAACGACTTGCCTAAGATCCCCCAACTCGAAAATGGGCCTGTACCAAACTCTATACTTCCTGACCAAGGAACTCTTAATGATCCTTTGATATCATATGATTATCCCTTCATTGGTAAGAAACAAACGGATTTCAACGACATTGATTTGATATTACAAAAACCTTTGGGGATGGGCTCAGAAAATAGTCTCTTTGAAAGTGAAAATACTGAATATGAGAACCAAAAGAAAAGATTTGGAGACTATCTTGCACAGATTTATTACGAATACAATGCCATGCTTGAGAAGGTCTATAAGGCAAACGATTTAAAACCAGTGATAACCCTTTAATATACTTTTCCGAAAAAAAAGGATTCTGGCGTCAATGGAATACGTATTCCATTCCCTTACGACTCTGTTAAAGGGATTAACATATATTCATACATACATGTGGAGAGACCTAAGCCTATCGTAAAACAGAGAAACTCTTATAATTTTCTCAAACAATCCTCCCAAAACATGACACGTGAAAGATAAAAAATTCAAGTTATTCAATTTGTGGAGACTTTAGTAAGATACATATCAAATATCTCAATGTTTTTACCTTGTTTCATCGTATATTCTCGGATAACATTAGTTTATTTTCAAAACAAAACTGTACACGACATTGGCAAAATAAAAAATAAAACAAAAAAATAATAGAAAAAGTATTAAAAATTAACAACTTAGTGGTTCTATTCTTGATGGAACCATTCGAGATTTTAATTTTTTAATTTTTGCTTGTTATATACAGTAAATACCAAGTAAATACGAAAAGCTTTTGATCATTGGTGAACTGCAATTTGTGTTCGGGACTTGTCCAGTTCCTTGGCTGCTTTTTCTGCCCTTTTCTTCTCCCTGTTGGCCAGCACCTTCTCCCTGGACTTCTGAGCCCGTTCAGCGCAATCCTTGGGACGTGTTTTCAGGGTCATATCATCCACAGCCGCCTGTTTACGGGCGGATCTCGAAAGACACCTTTCCATGCAGCTGATGTCCACAAATCTCCCAATGAAGCAACCACAATGTGAACAATAGTGATTGATGTCCTGCCTGCCGGGCCATTTTTTACTAAATAGAAAAAAAAACAACAATAAATAATCGAAGACTTTCAAGAAATAATTATAAAGGAGCAAACCAAAGTTTTGTGAATACCAGAAACCTCTGCAGGCAAGTAACAACCTCCAGCTGTACCACACTGGTACCAGACTTTTCACACGAAGGACAATGAATCCATGTGGGCTGCTCCTTCAGGTAACCCACTTGCTGTTTGTGGGTGATACTAATAGCCACAATCTGCGGTTCGTCTACGGTCATGATGTGGATTCCAGCAAGAACGATCGGTGACTGAAACTAGAACCGAATCTGAAGAGATCATAAGAGGCGAAAATCAGAATTTGAATCTCTTTAACGATATCTCTCTCGCAGAGGCGTTGGTCTGGTAACTAAGTTACCGCATATGTATCATCATCTCTTTGTTACAAAATTATATTTGAGGTACACTGAAAATAAAGTTTTATACGTTTGTCATATTTTTTTGTCTATAAAATAAAGATAAGAATCGCAGATAGTTAAAAACTAATATAACTTTTATTTTTCATATTTTTTTCAGAAATAATAATAAAAATACACTTAATTTTGCCAAATTCTTTGTGATGATAAATTGATCGGATGACATCTCCAATGATGAACTACAGCTGAGGTCGTCGGTATACTCCCAGGTACTCCCCGCAGGCGCCACAGTGGTGTCTCTTCGTGCAGCAACGCAGCCAGGAACGCACCACGCGGGTCTTGGCCTTGGTACTGCAATAGGGACAGGTTATCTCGTTGGGGCCAGGACCCACGGCAAAATAGAGAGGTTTCGGATCCTGAGCCATGACGGACCGACCGATGTTGTCTGTTTCAAAAACAAACGAAGACTGAGGGTGGCGAAGAGAAATTTGAGGTATACAATAATCAAATAGCAGCTAAAGAGAAAAGCCCAGAGAGGGAGAGAGTAGAAGAGAAAAGGTGATCTTTTCAGTTTTATTTTTGTTTTGATGGATTTCCAGTGGGTGGGCATTTGGTTGTTCAGAAAAATTTCAAAAAAATGTGCGAGCTATGCTGCTATGCTAGGCGGTGGTTGCCTTTAATTTCAGTGGTTCCCTCCTCTTCATCGAGCGTCCAAAGTAACAGCCACAGTTGCCGCAGTAATGGCTTCGATCTGTTTGCTTGCAGGGCACAAAGTAGTTGAAACAGCAGCAGCAACAAAAGCTCCTGGAATAGGATTCTGTTAACCTTCTTTTAAATATTAAAAGGTTCTTCAACCTACACAAAAAGACAGCCCACAATGCGATTGATTTCACTGGCCCACCACTTGAGATCATTCTGCACCACACTCAGATCCTTGATGCCACAGGCGGGGCATTTGATCTCTACAGGTTCGCGGGGCAAGTTCAGGAAAGTGCCTGCCAGAGGTGTGGCAAAGTTCTCATAGATCTTGCGCTCCTTTCGATCCTCCAAAGCCTTTGCCTCCCGCTCTCGGAGCTCCTGCTTCGTTTCCATTTCCTTATCCGCCAGCGTCGTCGCCATAATCGCCCAACAATCGAACTGAAAGCGAAACGTTGCCAAACAGCCAAGCAACCTGTTTGGATATTTCAAAGAGAGAGGAATGAACAGAGAGAAATAATGTCTCTTAGACTTAGAATGATCTCTCTTTTCGTAATTCTTAAGCTTCCCGGAATGTGTCCTTTGATATCCTTTTGTTCTTAGTGTGGTGAAAATTTTTGTATTCTATTATTATCAAAACTGTTTCCTTGTTTTAATATTAGTCAGTGTATCCCCCGATAAACTTTTATTTTTCGAGTGTGCCAAAGAGCACGACTCACTGAAGAGCTGCCAGAGAATTGATTTACTGTGCGTCTTTAATTGAGTTAGATGCGTAATAGAATTATAGAATGGAGAAATATTTGGCATTAATATCATGTTAATTGGTCCGTTTAATAGCCTATTTGGCCTTGCGCTGGATTCCCACTTTGCCGCCACACGAGCTGCAATAAACGCCCTTGGTGGTCCATTCCCGGTTGCATCCACACCAGGTGCACACACAGCAGATCCAAAATAGCGGAAAGATGCTGCAAAGAATGCATATTAGAATTTATCTTCTACAGATTCTCCAATAAAGTACATCCCATACCAGGAAAGCAAACTAAGACAGAAACTGGCATCCTTGCAGCTAGCTGCTCTCATCACAGCAGCTTCACTCCTCTCCCGGCAGAGTGGACACAGTAGTTTGTAGGTGGAGGGTCCTACGGCATAGTATCGGAGGCGTGGCTGCTGGCTGGAGCTGGATACTGGAGCAGCTGCTTCCTGGGTTATTAGGTTCACCTTTTCTGCTGCATGCTCATCAATAAAGGGCACCAGGCCATCCTCCAGAACCACATTTGCAATGATGTTCCTGGCACGTTCCTCCGCCGTTCCAGCGGGCACCAATCTCACCCGCAACCTCTCCACCTGCTGGTGCTGCTCCATGTTAACTGACTATCTGATCTCCACCAGAACAAACGAGACTCATCAGGGAGAGCGAGCTGGCTGTAAAGAGCATTTCGAAGAGAGATTCTAGGGTGGAGAAGAATTTATACGTGACCATGGAGCTATGATGTCATCAGCAGCTATTCAGGGGATATTCATTCGATGTGGCCCCTCAACCAGAACCAGATCGACAGCCAAACGTTTGGCGAATGTTTGTTTAGCCAACATATAGAGCAATCCCACATTAACCACATGGTAAACGTTTCGACATTCCATTAGACATTTATTTTTAATGGAGAGTTCAATAATAAAATGTTTTCTGGAATATATAACTTTATAAGGAAACTACAAAAATAAATAATAAAATATAAAAAATGACTTGTTTTAATCTATTACTTTAATGAGAATAATCAAATCAAACTGGATAAAAACTGGATTGTTTTTATACAAAATTCCATTTGAAATTTTTCAACATTTTTGCTGATCAGTGTTTATTAGTAGTAAGACGTTTAACCGGTAAAAACAGCTGATAGCAAAGTTTGTTTATGTTTATGTTTATGCTTATTGTTTATGTTTGAACTCGCTCTGTTTATATTTTTCCCCATTTCAAGCTGAGCTGAGTGAATTTCTATTGAGAGAGAAAGAGCTTTAAGCTTTGAAAAAGTCAAGTAAAATGACTTAATATTTATTGATGTTAAAAGAAATCCATCAAAATTACAGTTTTCCATTTATTACATCTACTATATTATAATTTTTTACTCAAAATTAAGACATTGATAAAAATATCTAAAAAAGGGCAATAGCACGTTCTATAGTTAGAGATTTATGATTATATTTTAAGCCAATAACACTCTTCTGAACTTTCATTCACGACATCTCTGAACACTTCCAGAGTTACTATATTGATTTACTTTCTCTTGGTCAAACGAAGTTTCAGAGGCTCTTTGGTCACCAAAACAGGAGCAGCATCGAAGCGGAACTCAACCTCCTTGCGAGGGGATTGAATCAAATCAAAATTGGCCAAAACCTTAGCCACGGCCACCTTGGAGTTTACTTTTCCCATGCGAAGAGCTAAATCAAGTCACTAAATTAGGTCCCACATATCACTACAGCACTAATGCCTTACCTATGCAGTGTCTGGGACCCTCCCCGAAAGGCATATAAGCTGCCTGATCGTAGTTCATGTTATCCGCATCGAATCGGTGGGGATCGTAGCCATTGGGATTGGGGAAGTAACCAGGATCTCGCTGGATGCCAAACAGTGAGATCAGGATGGGTGTTCCTTTCGTTATGGTGTGTCCAGTACCGGGTACTGGATAATCCTCAGTACACTCGCGGTTGAGAAAAGGTAGACCCGGGTATTTCCTTATGGTTTCTGTAAATATGCTATCAGTATGGATCAAACCATAGGAGCCCTAGGAGGAGAAACCTACCCATGATGCAGAGTTCCAGAAACTTTAAGTCTTTCACCGCCTCATAGGTGAACTTATCCTTGGGCTTTAAATTGTGCTTTCGAAGCACTTCATCCACCTCCTCACGTGCTTCCTTTAGAAGCTCTGGGTACATGGACAGCTCATAGAGGGTAAAAGCTGATGCAGCCGCAGTGGATTCCGAACCCGCCACATAAAAGAGAAACGCCTGGGCGGCAATCTTCTCAATTGACATCGACTTGAGCTGTTCCTGTGCAGTTTCCATGTCCCACACCTCGTCATCATCCTCTCCTATTTTTCCAGTATTTCGAAGACGAATCAGCAGTTGCAGCAGGTCCTTGCGCACGACATTGTGCTGTTCCCGGAACTCGATGGTGCGTTTCATCATGTCGCGCAAGGATGTCAGAATCCTGCTCTCGTAACCCAAGCGATTCATCAGTTTGGCAATTCTAAAAAGATTTTATATGCATTTTTTTATATCTAAACAAAAAGGTATGTAGAGAAAAGCTAAATTTAGATACTGCACTGGCCATTAAAATTTAGGAATCTTGAAAAGTAATATTTGTTTCGGTTAGGCGCAGTTTTTGAACTCACGGTGGACATATGAACATGGATATGTTGTGGATCTTGAGGAGCAGGAACTCGTCCTTGGCTGTTGAGCTGCTTATTTCACGAAACTCGTTATTCGGATTGCTGAAGCTGTCGATCTCCAAGCCAAAGATCACAGAGCCAATAATATCCACAGCATAGGTAGTCATCACTTCCTTGATTTCCACTTCGTCATTCAGATCCAGAACTCCCTCCAAGTACTGCACCAGCTTATCACCCACATCGTCGATGGTGCCAAACATGGCCTTGATTTTCCCCGACGAAAACGATGGAGTAAGTTTCTGTCGCAGATTCCGCCATGAGGCACCTCTCAGATTGAAAAGGTTTGCGGATAGAGGATCCTTGTCCTCATCCACGTACACCCCGCGATCGTGGAAACTTGCAAAATCACTGGTCATAATCTGTCGAGCCAATTGGGCATCTCGGATCAGAATACTCCTCTTGTTCATCATGTAAATTCCAACGATTTTGTCCTCGTGTCGGGCGTATATATCAGCCAGAGCCATGCCCAAGCTCATTTCCTGGTTCATTACAGTATCCATTATTCCAAAGGGTATTTTCGCCGGCTCCTCATCCACACCCAATCTTTGCCAGTGGGTATAGTGACGTCTCACATATTTGTAAAACAAAGCCACGGAGAGGATCAGGAAAACAATAGGCCACATATTGAAACTTTTGCGAACTCCTCGATGCAGTCTTTCCAAACTGCACAAGTCTACTGGGTGGGATTCGTATTCTATATATAGATAGACCCGCCCGATAAGCACTGCAAACGAGAAACCAAAACAAAAATGTGTTTTATTGGCTTTTCGTTCTCTTCCAGCAAAACAAGTGACTTCTCAGCTAGAAGGAGCTTTCGACTCTTCAGGGAGCAGGGCAGAAGACAAGCAAAGAGACTACCTGTTGAGCTAATAACAAAAACACAAACTTGTTTCAAATTAATTTAAGTTGAATTAGAACAATTAGGGTACCTTTTCTAATATTTCAGAAAACAAGCTTTAGCGATCTTAATGTTGATTATTAATGTCTTATCTTATCAATAGCATCTTTATCTACCCTTTTAAAGACTTTATCAAATATTTCTTAAATAATTTATTTAATAATTCTCATTAGAACGTTTCGATTCTATAGCTTTGCGCTGTTTGCCCAGCTTTTTCTCGTCGAGCTCCTCCTTTTCCACCTTGTGAAAACTCTGCCAGCGGCCATTATCCTCCACCTCGCCCCTTTGCAGGCGGAAGAGTGTCCTCTTGTACCAACTCAGAGTGATGTCACGTCCTATGAAGCAGCCGCAGGAACTACAGTAGTGATTGACATCATGACGACCCTTCCATCGAATGGGATTGCTGAAAAGTATAGAAAATATTTGTAATAGAGAGCACGTGGTTTTGTGTGCGATTTCACTCTTAATAAATGTAAGATCATAAAAGTCAAGGAAATGAATTCAAAGATAAATAAATCACTCACAGTAATGACTGTCATAAAATTGTATTTTGGAAATGCTGCTTTAATTTGATTTGATTATGATTCTATGATAATAATCAATTGTGATACTTTTATGACCTAATTAATATCTCCTTGATTCTCCTTGAAATTAATGGATGTTCCAATTTTTGTTTTTCAATAATTTTGTTATTGTTTTAGTTATTTATTTATTTCTCTTTTGACCGATTTGTTGGCCTAACCTACCAGCAGAGGAGTACGTTTAATGAGCACACGATCTTCTGTAGGACGGTCACTGCCTCCGGCGCCACGCGTGTAATCTGTATCTCCTGGCATGCTGGGCACTCCAGCTCCTGTGGCTCGGTAGTTAGGTGACCCACCTGTGGCACCGCCGAGATGTCCCCCTCGAAGGCACTGCCATCCAGACTCTCGGTGCTGGCCATTTCGAAGCGACAGAGCAACTGACTGAAGAGCCAAGAACATTCGCATAATGTATCCCAGTATCTGCATTAGTATCTACATCACGATGAAAAAGCTAAGAGCGAGCCCAGAGAGTGGGAGAGATACACGCTTTTTGGAGGCACCGCCTGAGTGATGATCGAATAAATTCAAGTAACTTATTAAAAAATTTGACAACAGCTGCCGGTTTATTAATAGATCGCTTTTATTTCAGAGAGCTAACTAAGTGGATGACCAACTAAGTGGGACGCCAGTGGAAGCCCAAGTGACCACCGCAACGGCTGCAGAACACGCGCTTCGACTTCAGGCGACTTTGCAGACAGGAGTAGACGAATGTCAGGGCGAAGATGGGGAAGCAACTGGAAATCAACAAGGATGAGATTTAATCCTTAAAATTAGATTCTCTTTTAAGTATCCTACCAGGAAAGAGTGGACAAGAGGCAGCTCAGCTGACCCAATGCTCCTGTCATCTCCACGGTTTCCGTTTTGGAATTTTGCTGGCACAATGGGCACCGCACCTGGTAGCTACTGGGTCCAATGCTAAAGAATCGCACTTGTGGCTTGCCCGGACGATCCTCCAGCGTGATAGTGGTTGCCGCCGAATGGCTATCCCCCCCTTGGAGATCCACCTCCAGATCTGCATCCAAGTCGTTCCTACGAGACATTGCGACTGGCCAGCATTAAATACTAAACATTTTGGCAAATCCCCCAGCAGTGAAATTAAAATCAAAGAGAAATACCTGACCAAAGAGATGGGATCTAAGAGAAAGCACTGAGAGGATTTGCAGAAATCAACAAATTTTTATTTGGCACTCGGCTCTTCAGTCTCAGCGCTCGTCACTCGCCGCAAGGTCAACAAAAAAGTGCTTAAAAACTATGGAAAACAAATAAACAAATGCGGAGCACCCACTCCGGATTCCCCTTCCCCGCTGTACTCCTCTTCTCACTGTCGTTTCCATGCCCCCAAGAGGTAACCACACTTGCCACAGATGACCTTACAATCGTTGGTGGACCGTCGGGGGCAGCAGGGGTAAATGGGGAGCAGGGCAAAGCAGCTGGAAATAATAACAAAAAAATATAAGGATTAAAAAAAGGCATTTTAAGAAAATGTCTTTTGAAAAGTGCTAAAGACTTTTTTTTATTTTCTTTTAATTAAAAAATAAGATTTTAGTACAAGCATTTTAATTTAAATTTACAAAATTTGTTTAGTTTTTAGAACCTGAATTTATCTCAGTAAACCTATAATTTACTTTCCTTAAGTGTCAATGAAGAATGAGAAATTTTATTACTCAAAAAAGCATAGGAACTATTACTGGCACTGAATAATATTAAATAGTTAATAAAATAATACCAAACAAATTAGATAAATAAAAGTGTAATGTTTTTCAAGGTAAACAATCTAAGTACCACCAAAATATGAACTTTTATTCGTTTAAATTCATATTTTCAGTAGCCAGTAAAGATTTTAAAATTTTAATTAGAAGTAAATAAGAATTTGTATTTATTTCAATAAATTAAAAATTAGTTAAATGAATTAATTTATAGAAAGATAAGATTAGAATTTTATTATTTCAATTTTTAGTTTTGTATAAACTGAAATAACTTATGTTTTAGCACTCACCACATGGTCAAGAGTCGCTCCAGCCGGACTCCCTGCTCATGCAACCGCTCATGGCACTCTGGGCAGTACATCTGACGAAGGCAACTAATGTTGGTGGCCGTTGGCGGTGGTGGGGATACCTTATCGGCCAGCTGGCCTGTGGAGTTGCTCTTCCGACAAAAGTAAGTTTCCGGCTCCGAGTCCTCAGCATAGCCGTAGGGATAGCCCCTGTGAGGGGGAGTGGACAGTAGCAATTGGTCCAGAGCTTGAGCCGACTTCTGCTTAACTTGGCCGCAGTTAGGGTTCAGGTTGATCTCCACCAGATCTGCTGGAAACTCTTCGTCGTCGGGAGCTTGCAGATGGAACTTTAGCTGTCGACTCATGTTGTTGAACTGACTCGACTCGGGTTTTCTATTTGCCTATAAATTGGGTTATTTTACAATTGAAACATTGAAACCATAAAAAACATAAGTCAAACAGTTAACGTTTTGGCAAGTAGAGAACGGCAGGGGGATTTGTTAAGGGGAATGGAGAGGGGTGTTAGACAAACCAGTTGTTCATCTGTTTTGTCAAGCCCCCGGTATTTGCCTAACACTATTTTCATGGCTGTGATGTTAACGGCTGCACTTGAACGTAGATCCGACCGAGAAAAGCTTCCGCAAAGCTTCCGGCGAGTGGGTGGCATATAGAGCTTTGCAAATATAGTAAAATTAACCCCTTGAGCATCAAAATATCAGAATATCAAAATATTGAAAATAATAAATCTTTATTGTTTTAAACATTTTTATATGTTTATTAGTTATAGATTAGTTAAATTTCCAATATAAAGTTATATAATAATAAGTATAAATATTTTCATTTTCATTCGCATCTGTGAAAGGTGAATAATATTAACTAAATAATATGACTGAAGGTGTTGTTCATTAAAGTTTAAGTTCTTTGCCCTTAGATTGACTTTTCAGAATTGAATCTCTACAGATATAGCGATTGTAAGAGATTTTTTCGAATTAGGAGAACCCTTAAAAATGTAATTTAAGATAACTAGTACTAGTAGTAATAGACTCCATGGATTGAAGTAGTGGTTGTAGAGGCAGAGTAATGGCAGTGGTAGTCATCATCATCTTTTTTCAGCTACACCACAGAGCAAACCGCCGTGAGCAATCCCGACTGCATTAAGCATGTCGCGATAATCTTTTCCTGTTCCGACATTTTATCTATAGAAACCAGCTTTAAATTTAACTTTAAGGAATAGGTGCGTAAAGGAAGTTTTGTATAAATATGTAATAAAAAATATCCCAAAACTCAAACTTATGCCGAGACAGAGTAAATGTTTCACCTTTTAAACAACTCTAAGCAAACTTTGGTCAAAAATAATTTATGAACAGATTGTGGAGAAATCAACCGCGATTGAGGGGGATTTTTAGAGCGTCTTTGTATAGGAATTAGTTATCAGAAAATATGAATCTAATTGTGAAATTGAAATTGTGAATATTTCCATCTGATGTATGTGTAGGCTAATTGCTAATTATTGCTCTGACTAATGGAAACATTTAAAATCGATCTTAAATTCTTTTGGGAATATGAGATTGTGGCACGTAAATAAACGTTTTAAGAACTCGTTAAAATATATATTATTTTCTATACATTTCAAGTATCAGTGTCAACTAAATAAGAAGGAAAGCTACAATTGAGTTTCTCGACTAGCGTATACCTTAGAGTCTGTTGGGCATGTTATTAATAAAGTTGCCACCAGAAGCTAGCGCCACCTATTTGTGAAAACGGATAGGTATTATTTAACTAACCGAGCATCTTAAGCATTTCAATCATAATTTCTTCAAAACTCATTTCAGAAGCTGAATAACAAATTTAAATAAATATTATAAAAACCTGGTAAAACAAGTGAGTATTATATATTTAAAATGTAGGCTGGAAAGAAGGCATGATGATGCTATAACCGGTAGAGAATGTTATTGAAACCGGTCACGCACTTGCTAAAATGATTAAATTACAAAATAATAAGGCGAGAGAGCCCGAGTCGACAACCTGTGTTTGTTTACATTCTCCGCGAACAGTAAGTCTCTTAGCCAAATACACGTATTCCATTTTTTCCACATAGACATACGTAAAGAACTTATTCATCACCGTCATATGTGTGAAAGTGTTATCAAATAAGTGACTCATCTGTCACCTATTTAAAGGAGCATCGCTGTAGTTCACTAAATCAAGTGAACAATAAAACAGATATCCGTTTATGAGTTTCGACAGAAACCACCATTGTATAGAAGCTATCACTACGTAGCGATAAGATAGCAGCCCAACGCTAAGGCATTGCCGGATCTCCAGGTTCTGTTCGTTCTTCAGTGCAACGCCAGCCAGCAAAGCGATCGGTTCATTTTGTTGAGAGATCCAGAATAAATAAAGAATCTAGAAATATGGACAGCAAACAGCCTCCGCCGTACAGTGAGCAGCCCGGATTCACGCCCGCACAGACCTATCAGCCCGGTGGCCCCACCCAGCCACCACTGTACCCACCAATGCCTCAGCCACCGCAGTCTTCCACGGTGATCATTCAGACCACGACGACTACCAACCTGGTGCCCATCAGCAGTGGACCTACTCGCGTCCGTTGCCCCTCCTGCCACGCCGAAGTCCTGACCACCGTTAAGGCCACTCCCTCCAGCAGGACGCACTGCTGGGCCCTCATCCTGTGCCTGTTCATGTAAGTTTTATAATTAGTCATCTGACGCAATGCCAATAGCTATAAAAAGCAAATATTTAAAGAAGTAGGTCTGGAAGAAACTTTCTATGAAATCAATATTTTTGGATATATCATGGCAAATAGGTTAGAGCTTTATTTTTGCAAAAAAACAGATAATAAAAGATTTATAATCATTGGAATGAGGCCAACCATTAGAATAATAATATAAGAGTATTGTTATTCGAAATATCCCTAAATTCAACGCTGTGTAAGATATTTTATAGATCAGTTGCAATAACAGCTCGTGAATATATATTGCTTAAAGCAAAAAAGGCTACACCCATGCAACACTTGCGGCCTCTTATCGCTTGGAAAGTACAATAAGTTTTTACATAGGTATTATGTACAAGTATATGAGTCGTCGTCTGTGTAGGGGCCATACTTGAAAACCAATGTTATCTCAACTGGAACTGGAGTTGAGTCAGATAACAAAAGTGCCTGCAATGGGGCCGAAGACAAGCAAACTGGCTAAAATTGGCCCTAGGGCGTTGTACAGGCCAATAGGAATTAGTGTTCGAACTAATGAATTAATTCCCCGCACTTATCTAATCGATCTTTTTTAATCTAAATATTCACAGCTGCTGGCCGTGCGTGTGCCTTCCTTATTGCATGGACTCCTGCCAGAATGCCAACCACTACTGTCCCAACTGCAGCGCCTACATCGGCACCTACGAGAACTAACGCCTATTTATGCATATCCTACCTATAGAGAACCTTAAACATTAGCTTCATATTTAAACGAAATTTAACTGTAAATACACATTGTACGACCGTCACACATTAAACATGAGATTTAAACCGGAAAAGGGAACTGCGATGTGTTAACTTGCTTAGCCAACTTGGATTAGTTCTCTTGCAGCTTTATTCCCCGTGTAGGTCATAAAGTGGTTCAGTTATAAACTAAATTTTGGAAAGTTCAATGCCACCACTTTTTATCAGTTAGTGAAAGTATACCTGAAGGCGAATGACATTAACAGCTACTTAAGGCAGCTTAACATTTTAGATCGATGGCGATGATATACCATATGCCATTGGCAACATCTCGGTGACTATTATACAATTTTGATATTTAAGTCGCTCAACAATCATCATAGCCAAAAATAAGTTATTAATTCTACTGGCCAAAAACGGACTAATCACTCAGGTGGCTCATAAAACACTCGATTGTAACGTTCTTATGAAAGCAATATAAGATGTCTACCAAACATTTCCACAAGCCCAACCCTTCTGGCACCTAAGTTATCGTTTGGGCCATAATTAAATGGCATGGAGTTAGTGGAATCGATTAAGTGCTGCAAATGTCAACTCTTTTTATAACCCACCATCGCCATATCGTCAAAGCCGTTTGGTTCATTCAAAAAATACCTGTCGATTAGTCAGAAAAGATAACCACGCTGCGATAGAGTGGTGTTGTTATTAAATGGCTAATGATTTTCAGTTTCAGTGCATGCCCCAACGTAAACATGAACAGCACATGGGTGGGCACAGCTCCAGACACGGAAATGGTAACCGCAACTATTCAGCCAGTTAGTGGGGCTGTGGTGACCCAGATACCCATTTATACTTTGAACGAGGTGGGGACGGACGCACTTCCGCTGACTGTTGGCTGCCAGTCGATGCGGGTGAGGTGTCCGTCCTGCAAGGGTGAGGTTACCACCAGTCTGGTCACATCCCCCACCCGCAAGACCCACCTGTGCGCCTTCACCTTGTATATCTGCTGGTAAGTGGAGAGTCCACATAGTTACATATATGAGTGTACTACACCGCCATCCTTGATCCGTCAGCTGTTGGCCCTTTGTATGCTTGCCCTATTTCATCAACTACTGCAAGAGTGTTCAGCACTACTGCCCTAACTGTGGATGCCACATAGGAAGCTATGCATTTTGATGTGATTGCTTTTTTTCACTGCCAGTCAGCATTTACATGTCCAGTGTTATTAAAGACGATACGATATAGGTAAATTAATTTAAAACGAAAATATATCTTAACAAATAAATTAAATTTGGTTAATGTTTTTTAATATTTCGGAAGCATAATGGTGTAACATCATCACACCACTTTAAGTAATATTTATGTTTATAAAAAACTCAATAGAAGAATATTATCTTGAAGATAAGCGAACCATGTATACCTATGTATGCATATATCAATATCTAAATAAACAACTTTATAACGTCTTCGAATTTCGGTAATATTTATCGATATGTGAAATTCAAATAGTGATGGTTCAAGCGATATATGCAAGCGCTTGATCGTATAGTTGTCTTGCTTCCACACCGCCTCGAACGCGAAGTTCTGTTTCGATTTGTTGTTTTTGCTTCAGCGAAGTAAAGCACATGCATATCAGGAGCTTTCATTTTGAATTTTGCATTTGTCAGAGGAGCACTTAAGTTTTTTGTGCTGGATCTCTAAGTACTGCGCTATCTATAATGGACTACAAGAAAATAGACTCTCCACCGCCTTATTCGGATGACTTTGCTACCGCTCCTCCGGCAGAGATGGACTTACGGCAGTACCAGGCCCCAGCACCCCAACAGCTTTATCCACAGTTTCCACAGACATCCCAGGTAACACAAATGTCTGTACCGCCACCGGTGAACGTCGTTCATCACCAGACCACTGTTTTGGTGGACACTCCTGGGCATGGAATGGTTTGTCCGCATTGCAATGCCCGGATTCGAGTTCGAGTGGAACGCCATCCAACTGGAAAAACTTACTGCCTGGCAGCGTTCCTCTGCCTATTTCTGTAAGTACATCCATACATACATAAATTCATATGCGTATATGTACATACATATGTAAGCTACTGCAATGATAACAACACAGTTAACAAAACGAGATTTCTGGTTTTTACAAGAACCTCGATGACTGGGTGCTATTACAGTGTCCGCAGTTGTTATATATGTACATATATATACGACCAACATTTCGCGGAAAATATGATGAGCCCGATAAACAATATAGTCCGTTATTTTCTTTTTCCCCCAGTTGCTGGCCCTGCGTGTGCGCCCCTTGCTGCTGCAACTGCTGCTACAAGACTTCGCAATTCTGTCCCAACTGCAACGTCTGTTTGGGATCGTTTTGATGACGCCAGCGAAAGATGTCGCCAAATTCCCAAATGTACCCCAGTATATAACCACATATGTACATATGCATATACTTAGACTCCGATGAAGTGGTGTCTTTATCATACTAACACTTACCATATATGTTCATATATCTACAAAAAAAAAAAATGTACTTACATATAATCTTCAACGGAATTGGCTTTCCGTTTGCGAAACTGAAAGAGAAAAATGATAAACAAATAAAGCTTTGCTGAGAGTAACAATTTACGGGACTCCCAGAAATTGAATTTTCTTTGTTTGCATGTGTGTTTCTTCAGATCTGGCAACATTGGCGGGAAACGTCAAATGGATTTTTAAGCAGTACTACAAAATGGTAGGAACTTATTACCGGGCGCTCCGCATGATTGCAATTACGCCTTAGTACATCAGAAACGTCGCCATAGCAATATAAATTGATCATTAAAAATCAAATTCCTCAGTTATTTAAGTAAAAACAGTAAAACAATTTATTAAAATTTTCTTTTTTTCGTTCACTGTTTTAAACTTTAAGTACTTTGCTTAAAAATAAAAGTAATATTAATGAACAAAAAATGGCAATTTAAATCGCTTATTTAAATTATTTTTTGCCAATTATTTCCTAAAATTTTTAAATCGTTTAAAACATTATATACTTTATTACATAAAGTAATTAGAAATGTATTAAAATTATTCGAAACCACAAAAGAAAGAAATTGATACTTAGTTTACTTACAAACATACATATATCATGTCATATTTTTAGGTAAGATGGCAGCTTTTGCAACACGTGTGTTTTTGGCTAAACAAATTTTTTGATAAAGCTATTTATTTAATCATTTATTTATCTAAAGTTAAAAATTAGTTTAAAAATGAAAGCCATCATAGGGTTAGAAGCAAGAGCAGCTAATGCCTTCTGCCCGCAGCGAAATTTAGTCATTCATTCATTTAATTATAATTCAGGAATAACATTAGCAAACGTGACTAGTAAAAACATTCTAAGAAAGGGCTATGATTTTAAATTTGTTTTTCATACTTCAAATTCTATTACTAATTCTTTATTCGAAAGTTTAGAAATTATAACTCATAGGTTGATGGTAGGGGGATATAGTATGGTGTTGCTAAAATTCTGGCCGCACAACATTTCTGAACCTTCAGCAGAGAGCAATAAGTTTTAAGTTTTCGCAAAATTCGAGTTACACATACATATCTTTGGCGACGTGACCCTAGGCAGGCACGATGGCAGGTGGCCCTGGAATGATTTGTCCATATTGCAACGCCCATATTCGCGTTCGAGTGAAACGCCATGCAACTGGAAAGACTTACTGTCTGGCGTTCATCTTCCTTTTTGTGTAAGTACAAAGATACATACATATGTACATACATTGAAATTCCTATATGGACATATGTAAGCTACTTACCGCTATGAGTGCAATGATAACAGCACAGTTAACAGAAGGAGATTGTTATAAGATCCTCGCCGACTGAGTGCTTTTACTGTGTCTTCAGTTGTTTTGTAGATATGTACATATATATGTATGTATACATTTCCCGGAAAATATTATGAGAAATTTCCGATTGTGACCGATAAAAAATATGTCCATTCTCTTTCTCTTTTCCCCCAGCTGCTGTCCCTGCGTCTGCGCCCCTTGCTGTTGCAAATGCTGCTACAAGATTTCGCAATTCTGTCCCAACTGCAAAGCCTGTTTGGGATCATTTTGATAAAGCCAGCGAAAACAGTCGACAAATCGACGATTCATATCTACGCATGTACATACATCTTACATACATATGTATGTTACTAAGTATATCCCTGCAAGGAGCTTAAACCGCCTTTGTAATCACCAATTGGAATCCCTTATAACATGAATACGATAGTTTCGGAAAAGAATAACTTAAAAATGGTATAAATAGCTGAATAGGATTTAATTGGCTCTGACGAGGCGAGCCACTTAATAAAAAGCATGTGTCGGCGCTTACAAGCTTCCATTAAGGCCAACGAAGGAACAATCAAATATTAAAATCTTTGGAATTGTTGGTTTTTTTCAATATTTTATGAATTGTACGAATAATTTTTGCACGTAAAAAATGACTTTTTTGTGTTATTTATTTTTATAACTTTTTAATTTTATGTTTAAAGTATATGTATGCTCGAAATGTATATCTTTCATGTGAGATATTACATTTTAATTTCCGTTACATATTTCCAAGATATTAAAGAATAAGGATATTTATGTACATACATACATACATATGTTCTTAGACTCCCATGAAGTTGGGTCTTTATCTTACTAACACTTATATACATACTTATATATATCTACAAGAAAATTTACATATGTATGTACAAATGTATGTATAATCTTTAATCGACTTGACTTGACTTGACTTGCTGAGAGTACCAATTTCCGGGACTCCCAAAAATTCGATTTCCTTCTTCACAAGTTTTATTGCTTGTGAGTTTCTGCGGATCTAGCAACATTGAAGGAAATTAATTGTGGGATTTGTAAGCAGTTATATGTTCGATATTTTTTACACATTTAAATTAGTTTTTGTTAGTTTTATTTCCACAAAGTTTAAAATCTTTTATTAAATATGGTGAATGTAAAGTGATTCGAATTATCTTAAATCTTTTCCAAACTACAGTGCAGGGATTTAGTCTTAGAAATTGATATATTACATATGTACTTGGTATATCATTTAATTCATGTCATATCTTAAAGTAAGATTACAGATTTTATCACATACGAGTTGTGGGCTCACCACATTTTTTAATTACTATTTAAAACAGAAGCCTGACATTTTGAATTTAAAAGGTATGTTTTTAATAAGTTGGAAAAAATTATAACTTATAGGTTCAGGATGAATTTTGGAAATATAAAATTGTTGTACAACGTTTATGTTTAAAGGGTTATTTATAAACTTTCCCAAAAAGCTTAGTTTCAACTTTTCAATCAACTTTATCGTAAAGCAAGTTATCTTAAATATCAAAACAAATATATACATATGTACATATGTATATAACTTCACTGCTCGCCATATCCTTCGTTCATGTTATTCTATTCCAAAAAGTAATTTTGGCTATTTTGATAATAACTTGTTAAAAAATCTTCAAATTTTAACGGTATAAGTTTTTGGTTTCAAAAATATGTCAATGAAAATCTGATTATATATAGTAAAACAGGCATAGAAACAACGGTCAAGTGCAAAGTTTCAAGGGTTTTTATCGTTTCGGCTTTAATCTGATTTCATCAGCGAAATTTGTGCAGCGCAGGACAAAACTCTTGCAACATGTTGTTAGGAAACATGTTGTTAGGCAACATGTTGCAGGTACATTTTCTGAGTAAATCGGTTAAAGTTTAAATTAAACGGAATTTTATTATAATATATAGTTTTAACTGGCATAAGGTATTTTTTTTAATGGAGCAACTGGTACGAAAATGATAACTAATACCATTAGATTGCCGCGTGAATACTTCTGACTCTGCCAAAGATAGCAACCCTGGTGGAGGATATAGTGTGGCGTCGCTAAAATTCTGGCCGCACAACACTTCTGAACCTCTAGCAGTGCGCAGTAGGTTTTGAGTTCTCCGCGAAATTCGAGTTGCATATACAAAGAGTTGTTTTGACGACGTAGACGAGACAGTGTGAGTATGCCGGCAATAAACGGCAATGGATTTTCAAACTCAAGTGCAAGCAATTACTATACTAATATTAAGTAATTGAGTGAAATGTAAAAATTAATGGGTAAATAGAAAAATACCATAATAGTCAAATAGTTGGCGCACCTCGAGAATTATTTTGGGGAAAAGTGATAGGGTGCACGCAGGATGGCAGGTGGATACCAGGCGCGTTAATCACTGGCGCCGGACACACCCTCAGCTTAATGATGATATTATGACATGGTCGGAGCCAGTGTGAATATAAATAGATTGTCTTGATTTAGGGGCAGGGTCTCGACGCGTAAACAAAAGTGGCAAGTACCACCCAGACGAACGGAGAGATAGAGATGGTTGTTGGTCTTGGGGTGAGTTTTGGGCAAGGCCAGAGACGCTTTCGCGATGACGACATCGGCAGACAGCTTGCCACATGGCATTCCATACTTTCGGTTTCTGTGGCTCTTGAAAATGACCTCACACACATTAGGCATACAACCCAAAAAGAAATTATTGGGAGGGGGATGTGGTGGAACAATCAACAGCAGATAAGGCTGATCAGAGCTTGTTTTTTGCATGGCAAGTGTGCAATTAAATTCTCCATCAAACAACCAATTTAATGCTCATTCCCCAATGGCACGCGAAGTTTTCAAGGTCTTTTTTTTTTTTAAAAAAAAAAGGGTTATTAAAATTTCCTGGTTGTTTTTTTCTGCAGTTCAACTAGCAAGATGTCCACCCCCGTTGGTCCGGAGCCATGCAACGTGATCTGCCCAAGTTGCCGCCAACAGGTGACCACCAAAATAGAGCCGAAGTCCACCACCAAGACTCACATAATAGCTCTTATTATGTGCCTCACCTGGTTAGCCAAGTCAACCATTAGCTTTACTGTTTCATTTTAATGACTTTCTCTATCGTTTAGTTTGTGGCCCTGTGCCTGCTGCCTCTACTGCACTCAATGTGCCCGGAATTCTGACCACCACTGCCCATCTTGCAACACCTTCATTGGCACCTACGAGCGTTAGGAAAGCTACGCCGGAAATCCTTGCTTTTCCGTGGTCTGCAGCCAGCAGCCGTGTCGAAATGCTAACCAAAATATTATCCGTATTCGTTTGACTCCTCTCTCACTTTTTTAATACGCAATATTTTGAGAACACGCAAAACATTGTAGTACCGAATTAAGCTTTTGTATCGTGGCACATAAATAAAATGATTCAAGAAAGAAAACGAGTGGTTTTCCTTTGGGGGTTGGTTTTGCTTTAAGAAAAATCTGAGGAATGTGCTACGCTTTAAATAAATGTATATAAATATGTTTATAGAAATATGTACAAATATTTCATCATTTGAAAACTGGAGTTCATTTAGACTTATAACGATGGGTGGCTTGCGTCTATATATGAGTTATATAACTTCTTAGTTTAAAAATATCGCTTAATACGTCTTAGTTTAATTTATCCCTTACTATTTAATATCCCCTAAGTGCAGCCTTATAGTTGTAAGTTAGTTATAATGTCAGCTCATTTTTTACAGGCCTCGTGACTCATTCAGTAAGGGACGTTTAATAGTTCATTAGGGAAAAGGACACTAACAGGATAGGTCGGAACAATATAAGTAAATGTATCTCCTGAATTAAATAGAAAATAGAACTATAGCTACTAAGATATTTAAATAAATTTAATTTAATATACGGAATTATAAAACCAAAAGGATAAGCCTATAGTTGGTTGGGTTAGAGCATCTAGTTCGTTGGTGTACTTTGTTAGTTTTTTACCAAATCATCGCTCTCAATCGAATGAAAGCTAATGACTTGAATTTTATAGAAAACTAGCTGTTAAGCTTTCAAAAGCAAAAATATATATTAAAATGATTAAAATTGTTTAGTGTCAAAAGAGTAGCCTTAGAATGTTAAACCTTGATAAAGGTTTGATTTCGCCCACACGCTTCCTGCATATGAATGTTGATAGAGACACTCATGACGCAGAGCATTTGCCGGCCATAACTTAATATACCACCACAATCGCTAGATGGGAAGAACCGAAAGCCAAGCAATCAAGAGGCCCTGTGTATAGAGCTCACATCAGTCGCTAGCCTGAATTCGAACGCGTAGCACCTCGGTCGGGAAAGAAAAAAGAAAAAATAAAAGGAAAACATGGAGAAGAATTTTTCCTACGACTATCAGCAGCCTCAGGGCCCTGCTGCTCCGCCCAGCTATGACAACACTCAGCAGGTCTATCCCAACATTAACCAGCCACAGCCGATTATGACACAACCTCAGATTATGCAAGGTAATTAAATCTATATTTTTCTAATAATTAAAACTTAGATGCAGACTTCATAAATTATATTGATATAAATAAGGAGAATGTTGAGGCATTTTCACAAATAAATGTTCGAGACAAAAGTGAATATACATATATATAAAAGAATATTCGTGTTTGTTTATTCGTGTTTTAGGCGCAAATATGAACTATCAATAATAAGATTTGTGTTTTAAGTGTTAATAATACAAAAATGTTAAAAAAAGTAAAGTATGTTCAAAATAGGAAAGAAAACTTATTAGAAAGCCAACAAAATTGTACCAAAAAGTTTTAGTTTTTAACATCTTAAATAGATTTAATATAGATACTAACGAGCTGGATTTTTCAGCACCTCCTAATGTATTGGGTGGGGTTCCATCCATGGCCACCTGTCCGAGCTGCGGAGTCCGTAGGCAAACGAAAGTCGAATTCGAGCCCAGTACCAAGACCCATTTGCTGGCTCTTCTAATCTGTATGCTTGGGTAAGTTCTTTTAATCACATTAAAATTCTTTTCTTAACTAATAAAAATCCTGTATCCTGTAGGGGCATTTGCTGCTGCTGCATTCCATATTGCACCGACTCCTGCCAGTCGGCCAAACACACCTGCAGTAGCTGTGGCGCCTATGTGGGCACATACAAGAACTAGGAATGTTAGAACCCGAAACCAAATATAAATTCAAAGAAACTTTAAATTTCCCAAAATATATACAACTATGATGTCATTCAAATATGCTCGGACGAGGTCATGCATTCCTAATAGATTTTCACCACCTCTTTATCGATGTTTGGATACAGATTTTGCGCACCGACATAGCATTTGTAAAGCATAATTTTAAATTCGAATTGAAATAAATAAACAAACTCAAAAACAATTCTTCCATTAACATGGCGCTTTGGGGAATACAAAATCGGTCGGAAGTTTAATACAAAAATCTGATTAAAAATATATTTTAATCACTAATCAAAAGTTTTTTACTGGAATAAACTGGCTATGTATAGCCATAAATGCAGTTTCTTTCTTCAATTTTTCTACATTTGTGCAAGCAATAAATTGTATATTGATTAGCAGGGACTGCAACTGGTAATAAAAATAAATAAATAAAACTTATCGCTAGCTCTTCTTGGAATTCTGTCCCAGCAACTTGTTATATATAAAATAAAGTGAGCTGTGGTATAATCTATAATTTCATAGGGTCAGATGGAAGCCATTTCAAATGATTAGTTTGTTTTATAGAGACTTTATTAAACACTTCTTAAGTCAATAAGCTCATTTATGGACTTTGTAATATCTTTCTAGCTTAATGAAGAACCAATAATAAAATTCCTTGAAATTGTGTCGCTTCTACATAGAGAAACAATCCCTGGTTCGACTTAAATCGTATAAAGGTTCATATTCAGAAATGTGTTTTTTCTATGAAATGATAAAGCTCGGCAGATAATGCATTTATAAACATGAACTGAATTGAAATTCTCAGAATAAATAGACTTATCAGCAGAGCTTGGATTTCTTCGAATTAATCTCTGAACCCATGCTAAACGGGTCTTAAGCTTGTGCTGGGATTTAAATTCCGTAATAAAAGTATTTCTAAATATAAAATTCATTTCTTTTACCAAATAGTTTTTGCTTTTCTTTTGCTTCTATATTCAATATTGATTCATTCATTTTAACTACTTTTCCTCTTTGGAGATTTTACACATATAGTTAGAATTATTCAAAGCACCAAGGCGAAACCTATCAAAAACAAGTTCAATTGATTGCTTACTGCTAATCCCCTTAGTTAGTTATAAAACTATTATAAGCGTTTCTAACAAGATGATTTCCATAAACTAGAAGCATTGCAACAAGAACAAGTTGTGAAATCCCACAGATGAGTCAATAACAAAAGACAAATCTACGCCTTGGTCCAGAATTAACTCATGATAACGCCAAACGATGACTAACCGACTTCCGATTGTAAACCATTTTATTATCATTGCTATTAGTTTAGAAAATATAGCATTCAGCTCTGTATCTGAACAGTCAAACTGCGAACATACTAAGGCGATTTTCAATCTTCAAAAGCAAATTTACAAATCCATCCATCCACATGGGTTATTTCACCATTTGGGATGATTCAACCGCCAGCATTACAATTGCCAGCAGTGCAGAAAACTTGCAACGCGCATCCAGTTCAGTGTAGAGCTGATTGCTGAGCTCAGCAGACATCAGTATAATATGGACTCCAACAGTGAATCTGAGGATCAGGGGGGATCCCAAAGTATACCCACTCCTCCTCCCCTTCCTCAACCGCCACAAATATATCAAACCCCTCAAAAGAAAGAAGATTTTGTGAAGCCTGAGAATTGTTACAGCTGCCAAGAAGCAAACGCAAGGGACACACTGAGCCATTACGACTACGAAAGATTTAAATGCCGCAGAGTATGTGTTAGAAGATACTGGTAACTATTTCTGTTTCCTTTAATTACAATTTTTTTGAATATGTTTTTATATTTTCTCAGCGAAAATTGTTCATCAAGGGAAACTCGCCGTTCTTCAGATAAGAAACTTAATAAATTGAACGAAGGATCACATTTAAATATGTAAAAGAAAACAGTTTGTTATCTTATTAAACACAATATTAAATGTATTTCTTTATTTTGTGCCTAGAAGGCGTCAAATTAGAGAATATGAAGATCCAAAACCAGAGGATTACGAAAGGAGACGTACTCGTCCTCCCCTTCCTGAACCACAAATATATCAAACCCCTCAAAAGAATGAAGATTTTGTGAAGCCTGAGAATTGTTACAGCTGCCAAGAAGCAAACGCAAGGGACACACTGAGCCATTACGACTACGAAAGATTTAACTGCCGCAGAGTATGTGTTAGAAGATACTGGTAACTATTTCTGTTTCCTTTTATTACTACTTTTTAAATATGTTTTCATAATTTCTCAGCAAAAATTGTTCATTGAAGCAATCTCGCCGTTCTTCAGATAAGAAACTTAATACATTTTTCCAGCGAAAACTATCATTGGAGGAAACTTATTAGATTTAAAAGACCGCATTTAAATATGTAAAAAATAACAGTTTGTCAAATTCAACACAGAAATAAATGCATTTTTTATTTTCCAACTATTTGGAAAATTTAAACAATCACTAATGTTCTTTTATTAAAAGAGCGTTGCCCTTAGCTCTAGTTTTTCGCAGAGGAAGCTCTCTTCGGAATTATGTTGCGTTGATTGCAAGAGAACGCGGTGATTCACCCAATTGCAACAGGCAGGCAGGGAGGCAAGACTAAATCGCTCAGTAAACAAACAGTCTGGGCTTGCAACGCATTGAGTAATGTCAGAACTGAGCTGCCCTAATTGCCATTCAACTTCGATAGACAGTAAAGACTACCTGGCTATACCGCGGTTGAAAAAGCTGAAAATGACTTTTTGGTAACTTTTGATTGTAATTATAAAATCATATTTTCAAATCTTATGACATTTCTTTCATATTCAGCGCTTTGTGCTGCGGTAGACGATATTGCGGAAATGGCATTTATAAAAGGGTTTGCAAGTGCCGCACCTGTGGCTGGAAATGCGAACCTTTCAGGTTACCCTAAGATAAAAATATTCCTGTATTAAAAAATTATAAATATCTGTTATCAGCTGTTGAACTTTATGTTAATCTGAACAGTCGAACTGCGAGCATACTAATACGTTATTCCATCTTGAAGTAAAAAGTATCTACTGATTTACCATACATCCACATGGGTTATTTCACCATTTGGGGTGATTCAACCGCCAGCATTAGACTTGCACTTGCCAGCAATGCAGGAAACTTGCAACGCAAATGGGCAGTGCAGTATAGAGCTGATTGCTGTGCTCAGCAGACCTCTATCTAGGATGGAGTCCAACAGAGAAACTGAAGATCAAGGGGAATCCCAAAGTATACCCACTCCTCCTCCCCTTCCTCAACCACCACAAATACATCAACCCGCTGAGCAGAAAGACTATTTTGTGAGGCCTGAGAAGTGCTATAAATGTCAAAAAAGCAACGCCAAGAAAAATATGACCTTTGAAGATTACCAAAGATTCCTAGGCCGCAGAGTATGTGTTATTAGATATTGGTAACTATTGGCGTTTCCTTTTAATAATATTTTTTTTTAAATGTTTTTATAATTTCCAGCGAAAAGTGTTCACTGAAGGTAACTCGCCACAATAACGATTTCAATTAACAATAAAATATATTTAAATATGTTAAATATAACAGTTTGTTATCAGATTCAACAGTGAAATAAACCAACCAATTCGGAAAATTTAAACAATGACTAATTTATTTGCATCAAAAGAGCTTTGCTCTTAGCTCTAGTTTTTCGCAGAGGAAGCTCTCTTCGGTATTATGTTGCGTTGATTGCAAGAGAATGCAATGACTCACCCAATTGCAACAGGCAGGCAGGGAGGCAAGACTAAATCGCTTAGTAAACAGACAGTCTGGACTTGCAACGCATTGAGTAATGTCGGAACTGAGCTGCCTCAACTGCCATTCAACTTCTATGGACAGTAAAGATTACCTGGCTATACCGCGGTTGAAGAAGCTGAAGATGGATTTCTGGTATCTTTTATATGTTATTTATATTTAAAGTTCGAGATCTGAGGAATTTGCCTTAACTTTCAGCGCTTTATGCTGTTGCCGTCGATATTGTAGAGTTGGCATTTATAAAAGGGTTTACAAATGCCGCTCCTGTGGCTGGAAAGGCGATCCTTTCAGTTTACCCTAAGATGTACATATCTGCATTTGTTTTAACAAATAAACAAAACTCTGTTATCAGCTGTTGCACTTTATGGTTGTTGATTGCAACAGAAGTGAAGAAAAACATATACATATGTATTACTCGTATAAACTAAAAGCTTTTGAGCTTGGAGAGCTTTAAGACTGCTCGGACCGAAAGTGCCATTCAAAAAGCTCTTACATTTTTAATCATTTTTATATCTCTATAAAAAATGTTTTAATGTTTTTTAATGTTTTTTTAAAATACCTTTTATTTTTATTTCAATAAATAAAACATTACCTAACAAAGTGTTTCTTCTAAGCAAAATGTTTTGAAAATTAAGTATACGCACTGGACGGACGAAATGTTGAAGAACTTCATGCGTTTCTTAAATAATTTATAGCATGGTGTCATAGTTTGTTTGCTCTTAATTATTTTTAATTAGAAAACTTGTCAAAATATTTCGAGACATCAGCAGTCTCATTTAATTGTTAATATAAATGTGTGGTGGTGTCTCTGAAAAAATTCTCATAAATTTAGTAATTGATTATTATTATTTAATGAATCGTAAAAAGAATTGTTTCATATATATTGTTGAGCAACTAAGAGTTTTTAATTGCTGTAGATTAAATAAATTCAATTTCCAAATTTTATTCCGAAATTTTTTTCAAATCAAAACCAAATCAACTCCGCAACAAAACTACGCCAAAATAGATGTACAGCTTAACAAAACAAGCTTCGAGCTACAGCAGTTTTACAGAAACTCCCAAAAGCGCATGCTCTACAAAATAACAGTAAAGCGCATGCGAAACTGGAAGAACGAAAACGAAATAGGAACTGCTGATAAGCCCGCCGCTCCGTCATTGCACTATGGGAAATTTTCCCATTTTTATGGTATTAATTAATAACTTTTAAACTAAGTAAGATATTTTTAAACGGCTTTATTAGTATTATTATAGAATACATTAGAAATAGTTTTTGGAAAAATGGGCGTGGTTCCGGCTGGTTGCGCACTACTGCTCCTTTGTTAAGCCTTGATCCAATAAGATTGCTAGTGTCTAGTCCTTTGATGCTCGAATAGGTCGTTTTATTGGGTTTTTTAAAAACTGGCTAATATCTTTTGCCATTTCGGGATTATCCGAAAGTATGTTAAGCACTTCAGCAAGATCTATGAGTCCCTGAGATCGAGCAGCTTTACTCGCTGTTTCAATTAGCAAGGGTACGTTGCTACTGTGAGCTTTCGATAAGGCTGCTGCTTCTTTTCTTTGCGCTTCATCCCCTTTAGCCGAATAAGACAATTTTGGGAGTCCAATTTGTTGTTTTTCAATTTCACTTGATTCACCGAAATTAATTTTCATTGCGCTTTGCAGCCATTTCTTATGTTTATTTTCAAAATATTTTTGATTTCTGTTGCATTTTTTCCATTTTGCACGTAAATTAAAGCAAAAAAACTGCTTTTCGTTCTTAAATAATTGTTATGCTTTAAAACATCAATTTTTTCATTTAATTTGCTCGACAAAAAATCAAGAACAATTTCTTTTTGTCTGGATTCGTCCGATTCCCTGCGCCATGCTTCAAAGAGCTCCGCGTTCGAGAACTCGAAGTTACCTGCCAAAAAACGAATGTACGCAGATTGTGCGGATCGCTAAAGATTAGTAAAACACAGACAAATCGATATATTAGTACACACAACACATAATACAAACCAGTACAATTGGTGTCCATCAAAAATTGAATCAATAACTTGTTACACTTTCAAGTTTCACACTTTCAAAGTTACCAACAAATAATGCGAGTTTGCAAGCGCTTTTTTTTTGGCTGAAACAGCTGACTTTAACAGCCGATAGTTTTAACAGTACACTGTTAATTAACATTTCTGGTACTGAAGTTTACAGAACCAGATGTTTAGAATATGTTTTCATAAAAAAACTCAACTATTAATAATTTGATAAAATGAGTAAATACCGTAAAGTCGGGCAAATTCCCCATAGTGCTCTTTGGCTGTAAATTCTCGATTTTCTTATCGCCATCTCACTTGAGTATAGAAATATATACAATTATATATTATATATTACCGCGAAAACTGTTATCAAAATCGGCTTATCAGCTTCTTATTATTCGGAAGAATTACAGTACGAATCTGTAGATGCTAAGTTGAGTGCAGTTTTAAAAAGATGTCGTTCAGGAACGGTCGATCGACAGAGGTTTATAAAAGTTTGTCGGAACCAAAGACCAAACATAAAAAAACGGTCTCAGCAAAACCATCACCCATAGATTCTGAGGACGTAAAGCTTAGTTGGAGCCAAAGAATTCGTTTTAATATTCGGTATATTAAAGTGCTTATTTTTACTTTAATCTGTTTTTAATTTACACTTAACTATATTTCAGCTCCCTCTGTTGCTGTGCAAAACCGATGACAAAATAGACAAATGACTTCCCATTCCCATACAATTCAGTTTTCAATCATATTTTTAATTTTACGAAGTAAATTGTATTAATCAGTCTTTATCTGATGAAAATTCGTATACGTATGTAGGACATTATTTATAAATTAAATAAAATATAATGCAGTACCTGCATATGACCGCAGCTAATCATTTTTATCAAGACTTCAAATTGCGGTTGCACGTCATTAAAATTCCCTATTGCGCTAGGTTTTATTCGTATTTATAATGCAACTGGGGTGAACATCTACGTAATTAAGTTGATTTATATACTCAATATTTGATTTTCAATATTTTCTAACAATCTGAATTTAAGCATAACGGAAGATTTGATTAATCTTTTAAGAACTTATAATTGAGTAATCAGTTTTGTACGGAAATACTAAAGAAAATTTGACTTTCAAGCCTGATACTTTGACGTTATGAAGTCATGATAAGGTTTATCTGGAAGAACCTAAAATCTCTATACTTAAAAATAAGAAGAGGATGCCAATAGTTGATGTTGCACCATCTCCACAACGGAAGTTTAACCAGAAGACTTAATCAGAAGTAATTTTAATACAAACTCCATGACTCTTTCTGTATGACTGAAAAGGCTGACATGTATTTCTTTATTTAAAATACTTTCTGTAAGGGTATAATTTGTATGTGATGATAAATCTCTAGACGTGGAATAAAAGCAGGTAGAAGCAACCGTTTCCGACCCTGTTATATAAATATATATAAATATATATATATATATATATATATATATATATATATATATATTGATCAGGATCAATAGCCGAATCGATTTAGCCATGTTCGTCCGACCGTCTTTAAGTCCCTCTGTCTGTATGGACGCAGAGATCTCGGCAACTAGAAGAGATACAACGTTGGGATAAAGCATGCAGACTCCTAAGACACCAATGCAACACAAATTTGCGCCATGCCACTCCAACACGTATGCCCACAAATCGCTTAAAACTGTGCCCCTGCTATGCATGAATGTTGAGATCTCTGGAACTACGAGTGATAGAATGATGAATGATGAACTGAACTTGCAAGTCTTAGGGGTGCCACCGGAGCATTTATTGTTTTACCATCTGCTCACGCCCACTGTAACGCCTACAAACTGCAATAAACTAAAAATGCTGATATCTCTGGAACTATAAAGACTTAAATGTTGGGATTAAGGATACATGATCTGGTGATGCTACCGGAGCTCAAGGTGAATTCACCATTCTGCTACACCCTATCAACGCATACAAAACACAAAAATCTATCAATAACATTAAGATTTATATTTTGGATTTATGTATTGTTTTTCAATACCTAATGATAACCAGGCTAGGCCTGGAACATGATTTCTAAGTACATTAAAAGTTAAGGTATTAAGGGTCTACATGGACAGTGACTTTACTGTTAGTGATTAAACATATATTTTTCGGTTGCGTCAATCTGTAGCACTTGTAAAATTTTCAACAGAAAGCAACATAAATTGTTTAGCACATTAACATTAGATGAATTCTTATAATATATGTATACTCGTATAATTAATAGTGAAAATATTAATTATATTAAATGTTAAACATGTAATTCCTCAGTATCAAAAGTACATTAAATGCCTTCCAGTGTAAAAACACTTTCGTTTTCAACAAATTAAGTTGTTTGACTACGCACACACTCGTCTATAATGTAGTTAAAAGCAAACAAGATAAAAAGCTATGAAAAGCTTTAGTACACATTGTTGCCAGCAACACCGGGCAGCAACTTTTTGTCTAACGAATACGAGAGATTCGGACTCAGTTTTAGTTCGTGATTTGAGGCCAAACGAAGATGCAGTACAACCAACCGCCGGTGGGGCCCACAGGGTATTCACATCAGATGCCTCCACCGAGTTACGAGCAAGTGGTTCATGTCCAAGCGCCAGTTCGAGTGGTTCACGCGGCAGCACCTCCGCCCGTGGTGATCATACAACGTAGGCTTAAATTATAGAAAAATTAAATGTTATATAGTATATTGTATATAAATGACTTACAGATCAAGCTGTTTTGCCAGTGGGTCCCGATCCCAGCTTCATCACTTGCCCGCATTGTCATGTACAGAAGTTGACCCGCGTGGAGTACTCGCCCAGTGTGAAAACCCACTGTATGGCGGCGATTCTCTGCATAGTTGGGTAAGATCTCCAGACGACCTTCCCAGTTCTCAAACTTATCTAATCTCTGAATCTTTTGGGAAAATCACAAACAGTCTCTGGTGCTGTGCCTGCTTACCTTACTGCGCCACCAGCTGCATGAATGCAAATCACTTCTGCGGCAATTGCAACAAGTTCGTTGGCGTCTACAACAGCGATTAGTTTCACCCGCTAAATAAATAGAACCAAACGCATCAAACCAAATCGAACCGATCAACCGATCACACCCACAACTCACAAACACATACAAATCATTTACGAATGCGAACATTTTTGGCCAGGTGTCGACAGACAAACGATGAAATTCCCCCAAAAAGGGTAAACAATCGGGCCGGCGAGCTTTTGGCTTTATTTGATAAGAATACGCGATACGAGGCACTTTTTCCATCCACGGCGCTCCCTTGAGTCATTTCCCAGCGATTCACACACCCAGTTAAGGCTTTACATTATGGATCCCGTTTATCCAGCTGCTCCCTTGGAAGCGCCCAAGGGATCCGTAGAGTCGCATGCGGTCCCAGAACACCAGCAGCTTTTGCCGCCTGCTCCACCGAGCTACGACCAGGCCACTTCCATTTCGGCGGAAACTACGGGACCAGCTCCAGACATACCAGCTTCAGGAACGACGACTACACAACACACTGTTGTGGTGGTACCCAGTTCACCCTACGGCCCGGAACCTATGGATGTGCAGTGCCCGCATTGCCATAATTACGCCCGGACACGGGTCTCCTATAGACCCAACTCGCGGACCCATCTGATAGCCTTGATATTGTGCCTATTCCAGTAAGTAAACAGAAAAGATAAGCCTATGTGTTGGCCATCTAAGCTCAATTAGTCATTAGGTATTCTCGTTCGCAATGAAGGTAGCTATTAAAAAGGTATTGTGAATAATAAGAAGATTGTTGATAAAGTCATAAAATTATCTTGATTTAATATACATTTGTTAAAATGTGTGTTTAAATAAAATATTTACATAAATGCGAAAAAGTGAATAGTGCTAATAATAAAGCATAAAAAGTATGTCGTTGTGATATAATGAAGACTATTTTGATACCTTCCCTTATCAATGTTATGATATTGCAGCGATTTGATAAGTTGTCACCTGAAATAATGTTTAACCAGTTGTTTTTCAAGGCACTTTCCAAAATCCCTTCCATATTTATATGGAACATTGCTAAGGCTGCTTCCAGTAATAATGTGCCAATATAGTTTATGCAAACTAATATTTTATGATATTAATAATATTCTCAAGGCTAACCCCGTCATAAAAGGTACAATTCTGCAATTCAAATAACAAAAGCAAAATAACACATAATCAGCAATAAGTATCCGTCTGTTTTCCACTCTTCTGTTAGTCATATTTTTCGGTTCTTTCCCTCATTACAGGTTGTACTGCTGTGTGTGCCTGCCTTACTGCATTTCCAGCTGCATGAATACAAATCACTACTGTGGCATGTGCGATCGTTATTTGGGCACCTACGATCGAAAGTGAGCAACGGAGGAGTTTCTGTCTGGGCGCTCTGTTCATGTGTACACATTTTCTTCATGTAATTAGTTAATAAATGGTCTGCCACAAGCAAACTGAAATCAAGTATTTCGTATATAAAAGTGGCAACTCAAAAGCTTTAACGTTGAACAGAACTTTGGGTTGTTAAAGGAAGTAATTAAAAACAGTTATTGCACGCAAAGGAAAAGCTTTTATATAGGCATGCAATATTAAATAATATTCCCTTCTAAAATATGCATTAAAACAGAGTAAGAAATGAAAAAGGATAAAAAAATAAAATTAGTTCTACACAGCTCAATTAATAAAGCCATGTTAATGCCAGTTTATTAAGTTAACTTTTTATTTTTGCTTTAGTTTCCTAAAGCTTTTTGTTTTATTTCTAGCATTGTTAGCCTTTAATATTACGTTCAAGGGCGCTTGATAACTCTTTCAAAGGTAATTAAATTGCAGACCTGTTTTTCTGTCTGTATATCTCTGTATCTCTATCGGACATCCTATTCTTTTACCTGAGATAAGTTGGATAAACAATGATACTCATTGTGTGCATTAGATAAAGCTTGGTAAACATTATTCGAGAGATACTTTCGGTTTTGCAATAGCCCGAAAAATAATTGCTCAACCGGCTGGGAGCTTTTTTAAGCTCGCTCTGCCGATCTGAGCCAAAAACTTGAATGCGATTCCGAAACTGAATCTTTACCTGGATCCAAATCCACTGGCAGTTGTGAGCGGCGATCGAAGTGCAAAAGACCCCGTTTTAGTTGTAAATACGCAAAGTAAACAAAAATTAGTCTGCTGGACAGGAACCGGAATCTCTTACTCATTGCAAAAAAGAAACCCAAACCTGAACTTTAAACTCAAAGTCAAGTATTAAAGTGCTTGAAAGATGGACCAGAAGCGTGCTATGCTGTATCCACAGGTGGATTTCAACACTCCGACCGCCCCCTCACCGACACCAACGAGGGAGTTGGGTAATCCCATGGGCCTGCCCGTGGAGGCTCCGCCGTCATACGACATGGCGGTCTCTGTTCCGGTGGTTTCCGCACCAGCGATTGCCCCAGCTCCGCCGCCCGTGGTGGTTGTCGAACAGCCAGCACTACAGCCGCCTACAGTGGTGCCGATCGGTTGGTAGTTTATATCAAGTTATAGTTCGAGTATAAAGCTCTCTTGACGTCACTTCTGTTGTTGCAGATACCTTGAATTTGGGACCGAATCGATGTAGAGTTCTCTGCCCAGCCTGTGGGGCCAATAAAACTACTAGGATGACTCATACAGCTAACTCTAGGACCCACTTGGTAGCAGGTCTACTCTGCTTAGTAGGGTATGTTGAGGATTTAATAAAGAAGGATAGACAATATTTTAATATTTTTAAATACACTTTGAAGTTCCTAATTATAATGAAACAGATTTCAAAACAAAATATATATAAAAAGATTTTTATCCATATATCATATTATTTCGATAAATTTATAAATTTATTTAAAATCAACTCCAAAAATACAATTTAAATATTACCTTGATTTTATTTAAATTCGTTACATTTTCTTTCTTTTTAGTTTTTGCTGCTGTGCCTGTTTCGTCCCCTATTGCATGAACAGTTGCCGCACAGGAAATCACTACTGTCGCAAATGCAACACCTTCCTGGGAGCCTACAATCCAAAAGGGATGAACCGATGATAAGACTGCGATTAGATGTGATCTAAAAGATAGAAAAAAGATAGAACAGTTAAAAGTAATACGCAACCACATATCAGCTGACGTTTGCCAGCTATAATATTTTACAGTAGCCATTGGCTAAAATGCACATCGTTAGCGTCCAAGGCCAAACAAAAAATGGTAATCTATTATTTAAAAATATTTGAAGTTGCTGAAGTTGTTTAAGTTTTCCTAATATTAACCGATAAATACTATAATAAACATAAGCAAAACCGCTTACCTTTGCATTGTTGATGAAGTAGCTGGCCTTTAAATGGTTAACATAAATAAAAGCGTGGGTGATAGCTTCGGTTGGCTAAACAATATAAAGTAAACAAAAACAGAGGACAAACAAATTTCAAATTGAATTTATTTTAGCGCTCAAGCTGGCAGGAAGGTTGCCAGATCACTTACACGCTATTGCTTACCAACACTGAATGTACAATCGATATATCGATAACCTTATGTTGAGCAACTAGATAATATGGCAATGCTGCAGCAGCCAAAAAGACAATTGCAGAAAGTTTTTTTCACAACAAAAAGCCACCGAAAACGCTCGAATTAAGCAACAAATGCGTGCCAAAAGCACAGCGAATCTCCACTGAGGCCACCGTGTGTTCGTGGGCGTGGCAAAGGTGGGCGAAAACAACAAAACATCACAGGAACACAGGCAGCAGAAGCAGCACAGCAGTAGAAGAAGGGGCGGGCAGAGGCAGAGGGAAAAGTCGGGCATTTTCAGCTGCCACTTCTTCGTTGGATTGTTGTTTTTCCAGCGGCCCAGGCGTTTCCCCTCTTCACCTATATTATGGACAAGAAATCCTCGCCGGTGCGACGACAAAAGCGGCAGGCGAAGGTGATCGAGGAGAACTTCTGGGACTGCAGCGTCTGCACATATAGAAACTCGGCGGAGGCCTTCAAGTGTCGCATGTGCGACGTGCGGAAAGGTGAGTGACCCCGATTCCGATTCCGAAGATTTGCCAGATTGCCAGGCACGTTCCGGTTTTCGTTTTCTCGATCGAAAATTAGACAAATATCTTTAGGATTTCAATATCCATCTGCAGGGATACACTTTGAGATAAATGTAAGCAACAGCAATGTAAAGTAATTAACTAGGCAGAGGCAGATAGATGTATCTTGTAGATACAAAACATTAATCTATTAATTCTATTCAATGGTTCTTGGAAAAAAAAAATTATTTTAAAAGGCTTAATGAATTTAAAAAATGTTTCATTGTTTTAATCGTATTTCCTGCACTTGGAAGATTTTTAACGGAATTTGTTTAATCACCTCCTAGCTAATTTTATGATTCGTTGCTTCCGTTTAATTTTAAAAAATAGTTTAATCTTTGATATGTGTGATATTCATTCTTTAAAACTTAACTATTGTTTAAAATTTAAAATTTAATTAAAAAAAATATAAGCATGGATTGTAACAAATATGTGTGCATATTAGTTTGGCATAAAAATAATAGGCTAATCATAGGCACGAATATTAAAAATATGAACTAATTAAGCACCTATCCCATTGTGTAAAAGTGAAAACCGAAACACGCCTGATTAATTACAAATAACTGGGCCACTCGCTAACGTTTTGAACCTTTTGTCCGCAGGAACCTCCACGCGAAAGCCGCGCCTGAACTCAGCGCTAGTCGCCCAGCAGGCAGCCACTTTGCCGGGCGCCAGCGCCAACATGCCCAACGGGAAGTCCGCCTCCGGGTCGCGGCATGGCAGCGGGCACGACCGGCAACGGCACAAGCGGTACCCGGCCCGGTTGAAGAACGTGGACCGATCGACGGCGCAGACGCGAGAGGTGACGGTCAACTCGGTGACCGTGTTCATCACAGAGTACAAGGCCAAGCCGGTGAGCAGCCGGCGCGAGTCCAGCGAGCAGAGCTTCAGCGAAAGCAACGACAGCCGGAGTTAGAGGAGGCATTCCAGGCATCCTCACGCCCAGCTCCCCAAATATTCTACGCCACGGTTCCCGGTCCCCTGTTACAAGTTGTAAATTCTAAGTGTTAGGCCCCTGGCGATAACAATTGTAAATCGAAATCCGTTTAAGTTAACAAGTATTAGGCCACGTTCAAAGCCCCGAAAGCCACGCCCCACAAGTTCATGACTTCCAGCCCAGGCCAAGATGGCGAAGCAAAGGAAAAGCGACGGCGAGTCGATTGCATTTAAACGACGCTCTCCAAATCCAATCTTTAAATGCGCTAAACCCTGTAAATAGCGACGCATGAGTTCCCTGAATATCTCTGTCTCGTATCGTAATTTTAGTTGTAATTTAATTCTGCTACTCTAATTCCTAATTTATTGATGAAAAGGTAACTATGTATAACCGCCGTGTACATGTTCAACAAAGATATCATTTGTTTTGTAAGTGTCGAATTAAAATATGGTTTAACTAAGTGCAAGCTAATCTCAATGTTCCACTAGCAGCGCCCATCTCCAATGGTTTGTCTAACTATTTTAAACTATACTTTTTTTTACAAAAACAAAGAAAAAAAACTAGAAAATGCTGCTTGACAACGAAGAGTAGGGAGAAGCGAGCCACGTAGCTTGGTTGTAGACAATTTGCTAATTTTAATTTGTTTGTATACAAGACTGATTAAGCGTTACCAACCAGATATATAAACGCCCACACACCCAGCACCCAGCCTGAGTCCGATTTTGATTTGGTTTTCACCAATAGAAGATCCTCCCAGCATACAATAGACGAATACTCAAACTCGCAAAGAGAATTTTGTACTTAGCGGAGCTTAAACGCTCTTCCACCATAGCAATAATTACTTAGCAAACAAAGAACAACAAGAAAAAAAAACAAGAATTTTGATATGAACGATTGTATTTAATATTGGATAACGGATATAATGGTTTATAAAGTGCTTGATATTTGTATTTTGAGATAGATTATTTAGCCACACAAGAACAGAACACTTACACACACTCACACTTCTCAAAACTGCCGACTGTAGTCAAAGAACAACTTCCAATAGACAAACTTCAATTTGGATTATCGTAAAGAACATTTACAATTAATATATGAACAGTTTGTATTCCAAATGCTTGGCCAGTTGAGCATTAATCAACAGCAACGAGAACAACAACAACAAAGACAAAACTTAAGCAAATGCAATTAAAGCGCCGCACTCACACAACCACACACGGATAGTTAAAACTTGAATTCCAATTGTAAAGCATAAACTTTTAAAGCATTATAAAATACATTAAATAAATTTCGAAAATGCTATTCCAAATCGTTGTCTCTCTCTCTCCCTTCTGCCTCCAAGAGTTGAGTTTAATATTTTTTATTTGAGCTTATCCGACTTGCTAAACTTTTGTTGCCAAGTTTTATTTTTGATTCTTTTTATGGCTGACATTCGGCTTAAACTTTAAAGGTCTTTAAAGAGCAAAGGAGCACAGAGAGAACCACCCTGCTTGGATGCCAGCACATCCACTGTTTCTCCAGGACCCCGGACCACCCACGCGTCGCCTTTCCCTCCCCTTTTCGTTTTGTGTGTGTGTGTGCTGGGCTGTGCTGTTCTCTGTGTGTGGGGGGAGCACCATCTGTATCTGTATCTGAGTATCTGCTTACGCGTGCTCCCGGCCTCGAGTTTTCGGGCCTCAGATCAGAGCAGTGTTTCTGCCAGAGTTTCGGTTTCAGATGCACGGAAAATGGGAACAGGAGCTGCTCATGGAGATGGAGATGGAGCTCGAGCCGGAGTCTCTAGTCTCTGGTCGATGGCTACGCCTTTGGCAGCTGCCTCAACTTTTCGCACAGAGCCGGAGCACATCGCACGCTTCGCAAATAAATTACAAATTGTTTCGTTCCAGCTATGCTGCCACAGTCAAGCTTCCCTACAACCAACTACCATCTGTTGTGCTGTTTAAGTTTGCATGCTGATATATGAGTGCAAAAACACTTACATTACTTTAAAATGTGTAACTTGTTTTTAGCTCATATTAACATTGTATTTATTTATTAGTTCATTAGTTGGTTTCCGATTTTAAAGTAGAGCTAATCCTGTTTTAAGCTGTATAGCTGTTGGGAAATTTTTCTAGCTAGTTGGAAAAAAGTAAATAAAGTTATTAAATGGACAAACAATTAAAACTACTTAGCCTAATATTTTATGAACAGAAAATAAACATAAAACTTTTATAAAAGTTTTAATGTCTCAGACATTGTAATCCTTTAAAAAATAATGCTACTGCAACAAAAGCTTCCTTAATAATATATAATAAACGACAAAACTAGTTAATCTGACTTGAATTTTATTTTATTTTAGCTAATTACAATTCAATACAACGACGCTTGACTGTACTAACGTACAAACACACAGAATTCCACCCACATCTCACACCCAGTGTCAGCCCTCGCGCAATTCGCTACAGACTTCTAGCTCGGCGTTCGAAATTCTCCCGTTCGTATTTTCTCTAAAATGTTAAAATTCACAGGACCTCCCACCATGTCACCCCCCGATTTCCATCCCTCTAGTTTTGGCCCACAGGCGGCGGCAGGACCTGCGTTATCAGCGCCACACTCTGTGCGCTTATCTTCCATGTGCGCTTCGTTCCTTGGCTCCAGTTCCAGCACTAGCTTCGTTCTCCTGCTCGTCCTTTCGGCATTCGTCCTTCGTGGCCCTCCGCCTTCTTATCCGTTTGTTTGTCCGTGCTTCCGCCTCATCTGTGCGACCGTCCGCACATCCTGTGCCACCCAACGGGTCCTTCCTCCTTCCTTCTTCGCTCCTCGTCCTTTGTCCTTGTGTGTAGTTGGAAATTCTCGTTTTGCTTGGAGGAGCGAGAAAAAAAGCAAAATCAACGTTGCAGCATTTGGAAAATGTTAAAAACTCCTTGCTGCTGCTCCTGCTGCTGGGCATTGCTTTCGCATGACGCATACGCCGCGCTGGCCGGCTCGAGGATCGCCTGGAAAATAAGCGAAGGCGGAGGATTAGGGGGCGGCGCTGGATGTGCCACTGGTAATCCCCGCAAGTAACTTGAGCACTTTATGGCACAACGCGCACGTGTGCCTGAATCTGTGCATGTGTGGGTGTATGAGTATGTGCGTGGGTGGGTGTTAGATAACCAATGCTGAGCGGGGGAATCCCGTTAAAGCTGAGATAGCTCCCGGTTTTAAACACTCTTTAGGCTTTAGCCATTTTAATTACATTAAAAACTTTTGCAGGCATTAAATAAATTGGAGCCGAAGATGAAGATGTAGCCAAAGCTGAATACGATTCCCGAAGCTGCCAGCGAACGGCGAACT